TCCAATTAATTAATTTTTTTTAATTTTAATAGAGTTGCGCTTTTATGCGCTTTTATAAACGCTAGACAATTAAAAAAAATAACTGCTATGTATTTAATAAAAAAATTATCGCAACTTTTAATGTGCTTATTAAAAAATTTTTTTTATTGTTCGCCCTTAATTTTTCTTTCTTTTCTCTCTATTATTTTTACAAATTTATTTATGCTTCTCTAAAAATAAATTAAAAAATAAAATAAATTTAGTGGAGGTAAGAATTTATTAGTTTTAATAAATTTTAATTTTTTTCTCGCCCTCTTTATCATAAAATAATAAAAAAATTTTTTTATGAACATACTCACGTACACAAATGTTTTTTTTAATACCCCATAAATATTTTTGTTTCGAACCAAAAAAAATTTTTTTTTCGAAAGAAGCAAAAATCAAATTAATAATGAAGTGCAAAAAAGGGGTCAGTTAAAAAAATCTTTCATATATGTACAGTGTCTGGAAATTCGCGCTCAATTTTTTTTTAATTTTTATTTGAATTTTTCCTACATTATAAATTTAATATTTAGTTAAGTTGATAAAAAAAATTTTTTTAATATAATTAATCAACAAATTATTAAATTAAATTTGAAAAAATTCAACAACAATATTTTAATAATTTTATAGGAAATGTCACAACAAGGGGTAAATTTTTAAAAAATATTTAAATTATTTTTTTAATTAGGGTAAAATTAAAGGTAAAAATCAGAAAATAAAAAGGAGGGAAAAAATAATAATTATTTAAAAAATGATTTTTTGTGTCGTTCCCGAAGGTCTTTTTTTTGTGGGGAAGAAAGATTGGATAGAAGAGATTCTTCCTTTATTATAAATATTTCTCGTCCATCATTTTTTTTTTCAAAAAAAAAATTTTGGCTCTACTCTTTTACAAATCTTTTCTCATTATCATCATCCTATATATCCATTTCTCTATATTTTTATTAAATACTCAATCAAAAAATGAAAAAAAATTTTTTTCCGCCGCGCAAATTGGGTAGCGGTAAAAAAGAAAAATAAATAAACTTTTTCCTTTTGGAGGATAATTTTTTATCTGATTAATATCTCTCTCTAATATGTACTAAAGAAATTTTCCTTTTTTTTCTTAATTAAAAAAGAATCTTGGAAAGGAGGGATACCGCCAGCCCAAGGTACTGCCGAGCTATACAACTTCGTTCAAAAATTTTTGAATCAGGGATGCCCTCATTTTTTAATTTCCTTCCCTTAATCCCCCACCCCTTGATGCTCTTCTTCTAGAACATTGAATAATACTAAAAGGTTCCATAATCGACAATTTTACGCAAAGTTATAGCCAGTGCTTCGAAGCTCGTACCAAAATTCGTACTCGTACCTCGTACTCGTACTCGTACCTGGTACGAAGTACGAGTACGAGTACGAGCAAAAAAATGAGGCAGGTACGAAGTACGAGTACGAGTACGAGGCCAAAAAAAGTGAAAAGTACGAGGTACGAGGCCTAAGTACGAGCTCGTACTTCTCGTATTTGGTGTTAATAGGAAAATTGAAAGAAATATGCTTAATTTCTTTCAATTGCCTTTGTATGGTTGGGTGGCCGAGTGGTTAAGGTGCTTGGCTGAGCCAAAGTCTGTAATGACATGATATTGGGTTCGATTCCTATTCAATTGCCAATGATTTTTAATATTTTTCTTTTAATGAATAACTTATTTATAAGTTTAATTTTGTTTTAAAAATTATTCTGTTTTTACATGGAGTAATTATTAGATTTTGACCCTCTAAAATTTTTAAAATATTTTTACTTTGAACACTAAAAAGTGAATTTTTTTCTCCTACGGCCTTCCAAGGCCTTCAAAATTTTTGAAACTTTCGCCAGCGGCGCAGAAAAATGGAAGAAATATGGCTTCATGGCCTTCAAAATTTTGAAAAATTTTGTCTGCGGCGCAAAAAATGGAAGAAATCTGAGTTAAGGACATCCAAAATTCTAAAAATTTTTGCCTGCGGCGCAGAAATAGAATAAGATTAAGAGGATATCGGGAGATAAAAATGTGAAATTTTGGTGAAAAAGGTATAAAGTTTCATGAAAGAGAATGAAAAACGGATGAAAAATACCGGGTTTCGGGTAACCTCTTGGAGAAAATATTGCTCCTTATACTCCAAAATGCTCAAAAATTTTGCCTGCGGCGCAGAAAATGGATTATATGTGAGGATTTATGGCTTCAAAGCCTTACAAGATAAATAATTACCGTTTAAACGCTTAAAATTTAAAACTAGATGTCCTGGACTCCAAAAAATCATAAAAATTTTCGATTTTTTGCTTTTTTCTCAAGTACGAGTAAGTACGAGGTACGAGTACGAGGTACGAGGCCAAAAATAGAGGTGGTACGAGGTACGAGTACGAGTACGAGCAAAAAAATAGGGGTGGTACGAGGTACGAGTACGAGTACGAGGCCAAAAAAAGAGGTGGTACGAAGTACGAGTACGAGTACGAGCAAAATCGAAATTTCGAAGCACTGGTTATAGCGTAACTCCTCTCGCATACACCCCTTTTGTTTCTGCCTTCTTTCTCGTTTTAAAAATTTTTTTTAATCTTTAATTTTATTTTTGCACTTTATAAAATTAAAGAATTTTTGTTTTAAATAAGAGGAGGAAAGGAGAAGAATCTTTAACCTAATTTTTACACACCTCTTAAACTTGAAGCTATTATATCTTTTTCTTTCTTTCTTAATTTTATTTTTTTTCTTCCCAATTGTTTGGATTTTTAAGGGAAAGAAAGGGAAGGGAAGTAGGGATATTATACTAGATAAATGGCCAGCTGTTGCGCTTTTCGGATTTTTTTGTTTTTGGATTTTTGGGGGGTTGGAATGGAAAGGAGGGAAAAAGAATGTGTAAAAGAAGAGGATTTGGAAAGAAGGGGGAAGAGGGAAAGTTTAAAAAATTTAAGAAAGTAAGGGAAGAGGGGAAGAAAAACAATGAAAAATGGGAGTTGAGGAAGAAGAAAAAATAAGGGAGGGGAAAAAAAAATTTTTTTTAATTAAAAAATTTTGTTTAAAAATTGATAAGTATTGTGTGTGTATATTTTTAATTAATTTATAAGGCTGGCTGATCCGGATCCGAAAAAAGACCGGATATCCTAAAATTTTTGTTTGGGTCCTAGAATTAGGAAAAAAGGAAGAAGCCTGGCACATTAACCTTTCAAATTTTTCTCAAAATTTTTGGCGCCTGTGGCGCTGAAAAAAGAAAGAAACCGTACTGCTGTTGCCCTTTTGCCCGCCCTTCCAGTCACCCTTCCCCTATCAAAAATATTTAAAGAAAAATTTTTTTAACAATTATTTTTCTAATTTTACTAAAATAATGTCAAGACAAATTAAAATTGAAAAAAAAATTTTTTTTTTGTCCTAAAAATAAAAAGAAAATTAAATTTTTAATTCAGGATAGAAGGAGAGATAATTAATTTTAAAAGGCTTTTGCTTGATGCTTATTTAATCTTTTCATTTTCTGTCTCTTATTTTTTAATAGTTTTAATGGGATTGAAAATTGAGACAGATTGTATAGAAAAATAAAATAATTAAGAGAGGGGGAAAATTAAATTTTAGAAGAAAAATTTTTTTTCCAATTTTTAAAATTTAAAATGTAAGGGAAAATCGAAGAGAGATGAGGGGGCTTAGAGATAGTAGGTCTGGACCTGGATCCAGTCTAAATTTTTCCTGGATCCAGAGTTCAAATACAGGCATTTTTATCATTCTGGATTTTTTCTGGATCCAGATCAAGAATTCTGTCCAGGTTACTAACCTAAATCCAAATCCAGAATTTTTGAAAATACCGATCTCTATAGGGGGCATTTGACCGAAAATTTTTTTTATTTTTCAATTTTTTCCTTAAAAAATTTTTTTTCTTCAACAACAAAAATATTTAAATATTCCTTTATTTAAATTTAAATATCCATAAAATATATCCATTAAATTAATCTACATAATCCGTTCTTTTGTTGTTTATAAATAAATATATACAGTGAGTAGGGGGAGAGAAGACACTTGATCCCCCCCTCTTTTTCTTCTTTTTTTTTCAATATACCGCTCATTCATCTTTCTTCAAAAAAAAGTATTTTTTTTTCTAACATCTTCTTCTGTAAGTCATCAAAACAATTTTTCTATTTATTTTTATTTTGTGTCCTTGGAACCACAACTGCTGCCCCCCTCTCTTTAACTGTCTCCCCCGACAACCAACCGTTCCTCTCTTTTTTAATTTTGCTACCAACAAAATTTGCATGTTCTCCTTGTTGTCCCATTAAAATAAAGGGAATGAGGAGCGCAAAATTAAAAAAAAATTATTTGTTTTTAAAATTTATGGAAAAAAAAAGAAAAAAAGCCGACGAAAAAAATAAAAAAATAAATTAGCAACTTGGAGTTGTTTTTGACTCTATAACTTTGTAATTAATAGGGTTAGAAAAGTTAATTTTATGTTGAAAAATAGGGGAGATTCTAGGCTATAAATTTGGTAAATTTTTGGTTTGTAAAATTTATTGGCATAATGTTGTGAATTTTTTTTAGTGGACTAAATAGGAGAGGAGTAGATTTGGGGTGGTTAGGGGTCTTTGGAGATTTTTCAAAAATTTTTTAAAATTTTTCTAGCCCTAAGTCTAGCCCTAATTCTAGCCCTTTTGGAATACTGTATATTTTTATTAGCCAAAATTTTTTTAAAAAATAAGGAACGAAAGGCCAAATTACAAAAGGGTCAGATTATAAAACGAGAAAATTATATAATGGTCAAAGTACAAAATGGTCAATTATTACAATCCTATGCCTCTAATTAAGTTTCAATAAGTTGAGGAAAACCTGTTTAATTTTGAAAAATAATTAGAGGAGAAAATACGTAATTGGGATGAAATGTCTCATTTTTTAATTTATGGGATGAAATGTCTTTTTGCAACAATTAAAATCAAATAAATTTTAATTTTATTTGTTTTCTTCTTTTAAAAACCTCCCAATTTATTTTTTATTTATTTATAGTATGCCGACAACAACACCAATTCAACTACTACCCCCTCCTCAAACAACCATTCTTCTTCAAACGCAGCAGCCTTAAATTACAATTTGCCCTCAGGGTTAGGAGAATCACCTCATCATCTTTATGGCATCATTCCACCTCATACACCAACTGGACATCATCCTCCAGACCCTCAACAACTTTCTTCTTTGGGATTTTTTGCTGCTGCAGCTGGTGGGGGTGGAGGAAGTGGTGGTAGTGGTTATCATGCTGAAATGGGGTCGTTATTGGGTGGAAATGGGGGTAGTGGAGGAGGTGGAGAACAGATTGACTCTAACCAGCTTAAACAAAAGAAAGACTTAATTTATAGGTGGGGTTTTTAAATTGAGATTTTTTGGAAAAATAATGGAGGTAAAAATAAGATTTCAAGAAGAGATTTTTTAAAAATAATTAGAAACACGAAACTCGAAATGCGAAACTTAAAACGCGAAATGTTAAACTACTAATTTGAAACACAGAATATTAGATACTAAATTCGAAACACAAAATATTAAATACTAAACTAGAAACACGAAACTCAATTTGCGAAACACGAAATACGAACATGAAACTTAAAATGCGAAATGTGGAACTATAAATACGAAACACAGAATATCGTATGCTAAATACGAAACACGAAATATTAAAGACTTAACTCTAAACACGAAACTCAATTTGCAAAACTCGAAATGCGAAACACGAAATTAAAAATTTTTAATTTTCTAAATAAATTTTCAGCCATCCACTCTTTCCTCTTTTAACCGTTCTCTTCGAAAAATGTGAATTAGCAACATGTACACCTCGAGAACCTGTACGGACAAATGAATTTGGTGCAGTAGGAGGGGGAGATCAAGTTGATATTTTAAATGTTTGTTCTGCCGGTTCTTTTAGCGAAGATATTGCTGAATTTGCTGCTACTGTACAAATGAATAAACCTTTTTATGTACCCAATCCTGAACTTGATTCTTTGGTAAATTGCTGTTAATTTTAATTGGGGATTAGACCCGGACCCTTTAGGGCGAAAAGTTCGAGGTTAGGGTTTGTTTAGAGTTCAGGGACTGGGTCAAAGCTAGTTTTGTAGCCTCACCTCATTATGAGATTTTTTCAGTACCTTTTGAGGTTATCTAAGAGTGAGGTCCACTTGTTTTTGGTATTATATCCCGTTAGATAGAGGAAACCCTTTCAATTGTGACTAACCGAAACATTAAAGCTATCCAATGTCCCAAAAAAATTTTTCTTGCCTTAAATATAAATACTTCTATAATTTACAGATGCTTAATGCTATTCAAGTTCTTCGTTTTCATTTGTTAGAATTGGAAAAGGTGGGTTATTTAAAAAATATTTTTTTAAAAATAACCAAAGCCTTTTTTAAAATTTGAATTTTTTCCTCATTAAAAATCCACACTTTCTTTCCCCGTTTATTACTATCTTTTTTTAAATTGTTTTTCAATTGAAAAATAAATTTATGTAAATATTCATTTCCAACAGAGAGTTTCAAGGAAAAAATTTTTGAAAGAAAAATATTGAGAGAAGAAAAATGGGGATTTTTAAACGCCAGCCTACATAAATAAAAGGGTCTTTTTGGAAAATGTCAACTTTTTAAAATGTCGAGTTGACATTCGACGTTTTCCTGTCTTTTTAGGTCCACGAATTGTGTGACAACTTTTGTGCCAAATATGTCAACAAAATCAAAGATAGAACACAAATGGATATTATAGCTGGTGAACAGCCACAACAACCCCCGTCTGCTGGGCCGCCTGGAATGGTGAGTGTGAGGGGAGAAAAAATTTTTTTTTGAAAATTTCAGAATTTCTTTAAAATTTTTTAAATTTTTTTCTAAGTTGGAGCATCAAAGACGAAGCAATAGCCATCAACATCATCGAACTAATAGAGCTGGAGGGGGGTCTAACCAGTCCCCGGGCACTTCGTCTTCCCTAGAACAACCCCCCTCAAATTTTTCTTCTAATAATATGGGGGATATACAACACCAACAACAATATTTACATAATATTGACCATAAACAATTTGTGAGTTTTTTGAAGAAAAAATTTTTTTGTATTATTTTTTGTCAAAAATGAAAAAAAAAATTAAATTATTAGGGGTAATTCACTGAAAAGACAATTCACCGAAAAAGATTTTTATTCATGTAGGGGTGATTTAACGAATGGACAATTCACCGAAAATTATATAGTTATTTTGGTGATATCATTTTCTTAATTCAATAGTATATTTAATAATGAGGGCCAACAGTAGAATAATTTAAAAAATAATTATTCTATGCGGGAAAACCAACAACAACAATTTTTTCCGGTAAAATAAAGCGGATCTCTTTTTTAAATAATAAATAATCCCCTCGTAAAAATATATAACCGCAAAATGACTGGAACAAAAAGAGAAAGATCGGCGATTTTTTTGAAAAATAAAAAGAAGGTAATAAACCGTAAAAAGTCATTAAAAATAAGCTAATTGTATATATTGTGTAAATAATTACTGTAATTTTTAAAAAGAATAATTTTTGGAGGGGTAATTCGCCTTAACATACAATTCACCGAAACATGCACAGACAATTCACCGAAAAAAAATTCTGCTTATGTTTTGGAACAAAAAATATTTTTGAAATTGGAATAAAGATAATCTGAAAAAGAAATGAAAGAAGAAAATTTCCAATCCTTTTATTGTACTATTTATCAAAAAAATTTTTTATTTTTTTTTCAATTATTTTTGCACCAAAAATGAATTTTCGGTGAATTGTCTTTTCGACGAATCACCTCCACAGTACTAAGATTTTTTCGGTGAATTGTCCTTTTGGTGAATTAACTAAATAATTATTTTTTAAATTTATTTATTTTTTTCTAGCAACAATTGCCTTCATGTTCCTCATCATCCTCCCAACAACATTTTGGAGTATTTAATGGTATTGATATAATTAACAATCCATCATCTCTTTTACAACAACAACAACAATTATTTTACCAACAAAATTATTTAAATAATTTAGGGGGGCACCAACCTCACCATTTATTAAATAATAATCTTGTTGAAGGGCAACAACCAACTTTGTTATTAAGTGGACAACAACAACAACAACCCCAGGATGTTTGTGATGCCCCTAGAAGGTAGTAGAAGTGTAATACCTCCTCCACTCCCTTCCCAGTTGGCCTTGGTTAGGCCAGAAGGTGTGGGTTGATGGGTGGCTTTCTAAGCGATATACCTTCTATTTAAGCTGCCCCTATTATAAGATACAAACTCTAGCCATAAATGGGTACCTTTTAGTGAGATTTGTGTTAATTATTAGTAACTATCAAGAGACCAGTAGAAGATAAAAGAAATTTGGGTAGGTGCGACATCTGGTCCCCAGTCTATATTTTGTGCTATAACTTTTTTTGTTCTTAACCGATTTGAACAATTATTATATCAATCGAAAGCTCTTTAAATTCTATATTATTTTCCCTAGAAGATTGTTCTAATCAGATCATTTTACTAAAAGTTACAGCCAGACAACTACCAAAAATCACGATTTCTCGCAGTTTTCGTGCTCCAACTTTTTATGTGATGGTTTGATCATATTGATCCTTTAGGAAATAATAATCGGTATATTTAGAGCTTTAGATTGGTATATTATTCGCCGAAATCTGTTAAGAATTGATAAAGTTGTGGTCGAAAGTTGAGCCTCGGGTAATGCACCCGGAAGGATGTAGAGGTGTCCTTATAATTAGAGTGTCAGATTTTTTGTCCTTACTATTAGAAGTAGATTTAAATTATGACTAAGTATCTAGGCTTTGGTTTAATAAACCAATTAATTGCTTTAAAAAAATTTCTCAGTGCAAAAAGACCAAAAAAATCCTCATCAATTACCCCTACTTCAACCTTTCCACCTCCAACAAATAAAATTGAAAAGGATGTAAAAATAAATCAAAGTCCAGATACAACAACAACAACAATATTAAATGCTCAAAATAATAATAATAATGAAGATTTAAAATTTAATAATAATAATTTAAAAATGACTAAAAATGAAGGGGTTAAGGAAGGGGGAATAATTAATGATGGTGGGGGTTATAAGCAGCAACAACAATTAGTTGGTGGAGGTGATTGTTTGGATGAAAATGGAGGTAAATTTAGAAAAAAATTAGATAAATAACATTTTTTCTCAATAACATCTCTCAATAACATTTTTTTATTTGGGTAATCCCGAGGACGCGAATGAACCCCGATTTTCAAATCCCCCGAAGGCTCTACTCCGACAAACCCTGTTCCTCCCACACTCCCAACCTTCTTGAATGGTTAAGTTTTGCTACCCTGCTTTAACCATACAAAAATTCTTTTTAATGTATACGATGACATCTTTTCTTTTTATTTTAATTAAAATAAGTAAGGTTTTATTTTCTTGTTTCGAAATTGAGACTAAAAACGCGAAATTTCGACTAATTCTTGATACCATCTTTTCTCTCACTTTCTCTCATACGTTGGCTTTTTGAAAAATTTTTTTACATATTTTATCCTTATTAACTATTTTTTTAATTTTTTTGATATTTTTCGGCAATTTTTTAAACATTTTTTTGCCTTATTTTCTTACTCGTGTTTTTTTTGTTTAGATAAGAAGCCCAACAACCTCTAGATGAGAGAGAGATAAAGGCCAGTTAATTAAAATTGATATATTTTTTGGAAGAGTTTTTTCCAATTTTTTAAATTGAAAGTTATTTTTGTATTTTTATATAATTTTTTTAAAAATAAAATTAAAAATAAATTTAAAAATTCTTTTTTCTGGAAAATGACATTTTATCCCAAATTTTTTTATTTTTTTTATTTAAATGTGAGGATATTTTTTAATAGTTTTTTAGACACTTTGGCTCGCGCCATAATAATTTATTACATTTTAAGAAATATTAAGAAAAAAAATTTTTTTACTCCATATATATTTTTTCATTTATTAGAAAAAAAATGATAATAAAAAAATAAAAACTTGGCTAAAAAATATTTTTTTACAACTTTGACACAAAGTAGGAAAAAGAGAGTTTTTCTGACTTCTGGTTAAAATAAAAATTGAGGACAATTTTTTAGGGGAAATACAGAGTAAGTTGTTGGTGTTGATGGTTGTTGGCCTTATCTAAACAAAAAATAAATAATAATAAAATTAAAAACAATTAAATTATCTAAGCTTTCTCATATTTTTATTAGGGTCATAAAACTAAATTTTCTAACCCCCAACACCCCTACTTGACAGAGGGCCGTTTTGACAGAGGGCCGTTTGTTCAGTTAGAAAAAAAACTAAAATTTTAATCAATTTAGTTATTGTCAAAGTTTCCGTTTTGATTCGCGCGCCACTTCAACCCCCCCCCCCCCTCCTTCCCTCTCCCTGGCAATTTTTATTCTCAAAAATTCATCATTAAAAATATTTTTTTATATTTTTCTGTCAAAACCAGAAAAATTAATTTTCTTTTTTATAAATCTGCCTTTAATTTATTTTTCTTCATTTTCAAAATTAATTTTGAAAAAAAGCTTATTATTTTTCTGCATGAATAAATAAAAATTTAATTTATTTTTTTTCTCTTATATATATTTTTAAATATCTTCTTATTTTTCAATTTTATTTTTATTAATTTGCACACACTCTAGTCCTTATTTTTTTGCTTTGTTTTTAATTTTAAACTTGCTTCTGCTTTGCTCTTAATTAGAGATCGAGATTTTTGACAAGCCTGGGCTTATTTCTGGGTTGTGTTTCGATTTATTGACCTGAGCCGGATCCTGGGCCTATAGTATATCCATGAAATAGTCAAGAGAATATAGTTCAGGAAACCCCAGGAAGGTCAAAAAATGCCTAGGCATGAACTCTGGGTAATGATAAAACCCAGGACTTTGTCCAGATCCAGTTCGATCTCTATTCTTAATTTTTTAACTTGCTTTTTGCTTGCTTTTCTGCTTTTTTAAAAATTCAGAAAAATTTTTTGTAATAATATTCGCTTTTTTGCTTTGCTTTTATTGTTTTTTAGAATTGCTTTCAACAGTGTCTTCTCTTAATCTTGACAAAGCTATGAATAATAAAAATAATTTGAATAATAAAAAGGAAAGGAAAAGAAAGGGGAAGGAGGAAGGTAATACTGAAGAGGAGGGGGAGATGAAGAAGAAAATTAATAAAAAGAAGAGGAAGAGTAAAGAGGAGGAAGAATTTAAAGAAGAAAAGAGTTGCTTAAATTTATCAAATCCGTCAACTTTTAAAAAAGAGACAGAACGCCAAGAATTTATTTTTGAACAGAACAATAATTATTGGGAAGGGTTTTATAATGTTGAGGATGAAGATGGGTTTTGTTGTTGGAATGATGAAGATGAAGAAGATTATGGAGAGAATGGAGAAGAAGAGGAGGGAGGGGAAGAGGGGGAAGATGAAGAAGAAAGGGAAGAAGAATGGAAGAAGAGTGAAGAAGAACGGGATGAGACTGAAGAAGAGGGGGAAAGGAAGAGGAAGAAGAAGAGGAAGGATGAAAAGGAAGGGAATGTGGAAGAGTCGGAAGGAAAGGATGAGGAAGAAGACGAGGAAGAGGAAGAAGAGGGGGAAGAGGAGGAATATGAGGGAGGAAAGGAAGACGAAGAAGCTCTTCTTCTCTTCCAAGGAGAACACATCCAACATTCTTCAATGTACTCTTCAATACCTAACAATCGAAGTTGTTCTTCCTCCTCATCATCATCTAATAATCAAATAAATTCATCGCTTAATCAATCATCTTCTTCCTATACTTATTATACCAATAATATTATTGGAAATAAAAAGCGTGGATGTTTCCCTAAAAATGCTACAAATAAGTTGAAGCATTGGCTTTTTCTTAATGTTACGGTGAACAAATTTTTTATGCTTTTTCTTGTTGCTTGTTTTGCTTGTTGTTTGTTTGTTTGTATTTTATTGTATGTTTTTTTGTGTTTCTATCCAAACTTTTCTTTAATTATTCTTCTATTAATCCTTTCTTTGTCTTCCTTTTTTCTTCTTTAAAATTGGCAATTTTAACTATAAGAGACTTCCCTTGATCCTTTGAGATAGCAATTATTTTTCCTCCAAGTTTCCCTCTTATTATCCCTTCATATTAGTGTTCTTCGGTTTAAATCCGAACCGACAAACCGAGGATTTTCCCGTGTTCGCTTCCAGATATCCGAAGACTTTCCAAGAATTGACAACCCTATTCCCTATCTTTGAGTAAGCAATCCGCAAATCTCCTAGCTTAAGATTGCGTTGCTTCTCGGGCTAGTTTGAGTGATATTGAACCTTCGAGAGAACCAAAGATTCATAAAACCCCCTTCCTTTTCCCCTTCCCTTCTTTTCCTTTGTTTTTTCTTGTCTTTTTTTAGGTGAAGATGGCATTTCGTTAAGCGGAACTTGTGATTATGACGATGACCAACAACACTATGAATCTGGGGACAGTGAATACAGCAATAATGCTTCTAGAGGGGAATTGAAACCCTCCAAAAAATTTTTAAATTCTTTCCAACGCCGTTTACAAAAACACGAAGAAATTGGAGGGGATTTTGATGATTATGATGATGGTGGACAGAGTGAGGGAGGAGGGGGAGGTATTGGAAGTGGAAGAAGAAGAGTCCCCAAAGTTTTTAGTAAAGAGGCGATAAGCAAGTTTAGAGCATGGCTTTTCAACAATATTACGGTGTGTGTGTGGTAGTTTTGTGTTTTTTTGTGTTTTTCATATAGACCTCTATGTTATGGACACTTGTGGGGCCTTTAAAAGCTCACTATAGGACCCCACTATAGGATAAAGCCTAAAGGTTTGGTTTATAGTAGGGACCTGTTTGTATTGCTGTGTTGTTGTGTGTGTCTGTATTACTGTGTTGCCTCACTATAATGGATACTCACTATAAACCTTAGCTTAAAAATTAAGTTTTTCGATTGGCCATTGGGTAGAAGAACTGCACAGGCGTTACCCTCCAATTTACGATACATTTACCTCACTATAGGAGACTTTATTCAACCCAAGGGTATATTTTATACTGAGATTTGACTGTTTTTTTAAATTTTTTAATAAAAATAAAATTTTTTTATATATTAGCATCCATATCCAGCAGAAGAACAAAAACGTCAATTGGCAGCAGAAACGGGGCTAACCATTTTACAAGTTAATAATTGGTTGGTGGTTATTTTTTAAGGAGAAAAATCGGGGATATTTCTTGATGGATTTTCTTGATGGATTTTTGAGGTGCAAAATGCGAAACAAAAAAAATTTTTTTTTGAATGAAAGTAATAAATTATAAAAAAAAATATTTATTTTTTTATAATCTCGAGATGACTAAATATTTATATTTTCTTTTTTATTATCTCGAGAAAATTTAAGAAAAAGAGGGGAAAAATATTTTTTGGGGAAGAATATAAAAATGTTATTTTTTTTATATTTATTACGCAACAAAAAATTTTTTTATTGTCTAAGCTGATCTTAGGCAATAAAATCCGCAAAAAATAGATTTTTAAAAAATCCGCAAAAAATTTTTTCCCAGAATTTTCAATTAAAAAATTAATTTTCCTTTTAAGGTTTATTAATGCCCGTCGCCGTATAGTCCAACCAATGATTGATTCTAACAATAGGGCAGGTCGCCCAGTTGCTGTTTTTAAAAATCGTAGACGTAAAGGAAGTAGTAGTTGTGTTGATGGGGGAAGTGGAGGGGGAGGTGTTGATGGTGCTTCTCCTTCTGGAAATTCTGATTGTGGAGGAGGGGATAATGGAAGGAATAATAACAGTATTAGTCCTGAGGATGTGAGTTATTTGATTTTTAGAATTATAAGGGGATTTGTGGTGATACGTGTGTGTGTGACTAGGTTCGAAGCCCGAACAGAACCTACAAATGAGAGGATTTTTCAAATACCCTCTGTTTTGATTAAAAAGTATTTTCGGGCAATTGTCACTCATTAATTGTGGCTAGAATTAGTGCCTATTGAATTTGAAATGAGTGGAAATTGGGCCATGTTTAGGGCACTACCTGACCTAAGCTTACATGAATGCTAGTTGGTGTTCGAAAATGCCAGTCCGTAAATATCGCTTTTACACACCTAAAAATCTTCTTAGGATTTTCTTGGGACTTTTCTTGTAGGTTTCCTCAGTCTTGGTTGGAGGGAAGTCTTGGTCTTGACCAAAAAATCTTTTTGAAATGACTGTATTATCTGAGTTTTGCTTGACACAATAGACTTTTCCCCAGTCATATCCGGGTTCTAAAAAAATTTGAAAGGTTGAGGGTTCATCCCCACTATTTTTGATGGTATTTTGGAGGGTCAGAGAGACACCTCAATTTTAAATTTAAAAATAAAAATTTAAAGGAACAAGTCCTTTCTTCGTCTACAACCCCTCTAAATAATAACAATTTTATTTCTTCCCAACAACCAACAAATATATCTACAACAACCACAAACATTAATTTAAACAATACAAACAATAATTTACTTTTTTCTTCGGCTTCTAATAACCCTTACCAAGCTGCTGCGTCTTTAGCTGCTGTTGTTTCGAATCCTTATGCTGGGGGATTTGGGTAAATAAATATTTTAATTCTGAATTAATATTCTGAAATTATTCTGATTTTTTTTCTGACAATATTCTGGATATTTTCAGAATATTCTGAAAAATGATTCTGATTTTTTCTGAAAAATTCTGAAAATATTCTGATTTAAATTCTGATTTTTTTCTGACAATGTTCTGGAAAATTTCAGAATATTCTGATTTAATTCTGAAAATAATTCTGAATATTCTGAAAATATTCTGATTTTTTCTGACAATGTTCTGATTTCATTCTGAAATGTTTTTAAAAATTCTGAAAATATTCTGATTTAGTTTTAATATTTCTTGAAAAAATTCTGATTAAATTTTTTTAATTCTGATTTTATTCTGATTTTTAAGCGCTTTTCCATTCACCACCGGAATGACTGGAATGTCGGCAGCTGCTGCAATTATGCCCAACAATAATAATTATGGGGTATTAAACTCTACTGGAGGGAATACATTAAATTCTGGTTGGATTCCACAAAATTAGATACTTGTGTTAATTTTAAATTAATTAATTTTTTTTTTATTTTTTCTCTCCATCCATTTTAAATTTTGATATTTTATTTTTAGATATTTTTAGTAACCAAAAATTTTAATTTAATTTTTATTTACTCCTTAAAATGATTTATTATAGCTTTTTTATAAAATATTATTTCATTTTATACATAGAAATTAAATCTTTTAAATCGTTTAAAGAATAAAATTTTTTGTTTTTATTAAAAATTGCCCTCAGGCAATTTAAAAAGGCTCTTGTCCAGTTACGCGTCCACTCACAACCTTTACGCGTCCTAAGAAAATTTTTATGCGTCCAATTTATAACGATAGGTACTCGGGTCTGTGTGTTAGAACGAACCTGCGGTCCGGTAGCCTGTGGGTGTCATAACTCTGGGGGAGTAAAGTTTCCATTGGACGCATAACGTGTATTCCGGATTAGAGCATTTTAAATTTTATGAACCCAAGGCATTTAAAGTGAACTGAGTTTTGTTGCCCCAACTTTTTCTTCTCCAAGATTTTCCTTCAAATGTACAAAAAGGTCAGATTTTCGTCCTTCATCCTTCTCTATTTCCCTTTCTCCTCAAATTTGTCCTCTCGTAGAATCTTTTCCACATCGAAGAAATTCGGGTCAGAACAATTATGCATATAAACTCCAAGAGGATTTACACTTGTTGATTTCATATTTGATTTAACAAAAGCTTGATGAATACTAGTTGCCGTCCCCATGACTCCCCAAAGTACTTTGTCCATAGTTGAATTATTAAATGGTAGTTTTTCAACGTTCATTTCTTCAAATTTCAATTTAAACAATTTTCTGACTTGGGGAAAATGTCTGTCCAAAAATTGTTCAGCAACAGACACCTCTTCAGGCAAAAATATTTCATTTTCAATTCTGTTTGAAGTGAATAATCCAACTGTCTCTTGTATAAGATGTAATGTGTTGTTTGGATCTGTTTTGTTTCGGTAAAAGGGATGTTAGTAGGACGTTAGGCGTTTCAGTCTTGAGGCCACATTTTGGGTCATAACTTTCTTGATTCTCAACGAATTTCAATACATAAGTATTATATCAATCGAAAGCTCTTAATGTGGGAATTATTTTGTCTAACAGGACTATTGCAATTAGACAATCCTACAAAAAGCTAAAGACTAAAAATGACCAAAAATCACGATTGCGCGCATTTACCCAAATGTAACTTTTTGTAAAATTATCTAATCAGCTCGATCTTGCTAGCTTAAATAATCCTTACAATCAGAGCTTTCGATTGATATAATATTTAATCAAATCGGTTAAGAATCAAAAAAGTTATGGCCCAAAATATGGCTTCAAGACTTAAACGATTATTCGGCTAAACGTCCGTCCCCTTACCCGTTCTGTTTTCTTCTTCAAATTCTTCTTTAACAATCCCAATTACATTTATTTTTTGTTTTTTTAACTTGACACAATCCCGAAATTCGTTCAGTCCAATTTGTTTAATAGCGTCATTTAGAAGCATAGGGAAAAATAAAGAGACTAGTCCAGCCCTTAATTTGTTTGAATATAATTCTTCATATTGTTTGTCTGACAGACAATAATCCGAAATTTCGTTTAGAATTTTTTCGTAAATTTCTGTGTAGTTTAGTGGTATTTTTGTTGAGGAAATGTCGTTTGTTGAGGCATTTGTTCTATTTTCTGAATTAAAGTCCGTTAACGTCGGGTTAGTTAACCACTACACCACGGCATAAATAGACCATTTTATAACACCTCCCCCACATAGCTTACTTCTTATACCGAAACAGCCCCAAAGGTAGAAATTTCCACTGTAGTATATTGAAAAGTTTACCGTTAAGGCTCAATCCGACATTTTTGTTAAAATTTGTAACGCAGAAAATAATTAATAGAATTTTAACAAGCATATTTTATTATTAAAATATGAAGGAAAATACTAATTTAAAATTGTATTATTTGAAATGAGATGTAAAATAGAAAATATTTAAATGGAAAAATAAAATTTTTAGGTCAAAATTGTAAACGGGAGAACTTTTCTTTTACTTAATTTCTTGTTTTTAATTAACCGGTTAATTTCAGAGACTAATTTTATTAACTGAAAAATTATATGACACAAAGAAAATTGAGCCAGAATTTAGAAATAAACATTAATTATAATAAAAAAAAATTTAAGTAGGTATATAGTAGTTGATTAGAATAAAATTTAAAAAAATTTAGTAAAAAATTTTAAACTAAGGTCGAACCTCAATTTTATATACCTCATTATAAGCTACAACTTTTTGAAGCCCAAAAAGGTATCAAGAATTGAGGTCTGACTATAAGGGCACATCCTAGGGATGGATTTCAAATGAGCTAAGATGGAAGGGAGTTTGCCAAACCTAATTTAGACTACCCAGCCCCCTTGGCATGCCCTTGTCTATCTAAGAAAAAATTTCCCTAAAATTAATTAGTCTACTACCCCTACTTCTTCCTGACATTTTCTCATAGTTTCAATAACATCCAAAGCATATCCAACCGACCAAGCCTGTGCAGGACACGAATCTCCACATTTTTCTCCTTTAGCATTTGTTAATTCAGGCAAGGATGCCCATTCTCCATTTGTCAAAATTTTTTCATAACGATATAATCTACAACGAATTTCATCTAAAGTTTGTTGCCATTCTAATTTTCTGCCATTTTTGTAGAGTAATGAAGCTATTTTTAATTTGGCACTCATATAGGCACAAGCTACCCAAAGCCATTCCTTTTTTAATTAAAATAATTTTTCTAATTTTTGTGGTGTAGTTGGAAAAGTTTAGGTTTAGGCAAATTGGAGGTCGCGGGTTCGAACCCTTTGAAAGAAAATCTTTTTAATTTTGACTGCTATGAACTATTTTTTAATTTTAGATTAAAATTTGAGATTAGGCCAAATTTTTTAAATTTTGTGGTGTAGTCGGAAAATTTTAGGCTTGGGCAAATTAGGGGTCGTGGGTTCGAACCCTTTCGGGGAAATATTTTTAATTTTTGTTGTTATGCGCTCTTAAACCAAAAAAGTTTAAAAAAAAATATTTTTTAAAAATCCAAACCGGTCCTTGATGATAATTCCACCCTTTTGCTGTCACTTTATTAGTTCCATCATCAGAATTATTATAATATCCATTATACGCCCAGTCTTCCGGATCCAGTGTACAAATACCCAATGGCGCGTTTAATGCCAAAACATTGCCAGCACATTCTAAAGCATTCCAAGCAAGAGATGGGTCGATTAAATCGGGTGCCTGAAAAGACAAAAATTTTTTAATTAAAAAAATTCTTCTGCTCACCACATCAAGGGCAATACAAAAATTAGGCCTCAATTGATAATCAGTATAATCAAGAGAACTTTTAAAAGAATCTTTTATAATTCTTTTACGATTCACAAATTTATCTGTACACGTTTCTGGAATATAAAAATATTCCAAAAATGATTTTTGAATTTTTGAGGCCCAGTCAGACCAAGATAATGAAGTTCCAAGGGAATCTGAAAAATAAAAATAATATTTAAATTAATAAGGCAAGAAAAAGCTTAATTTTAATGAAATTTTTTTAGGAAAACTACTTCCGGAAAGTAAAAAAATAATTTACGTAAAATAAAATAAATTTCTTTCCGGAAAATACAAGAAAAATTAAACACCCTAATATTAGTGGTGTAGTTGGAAAAGTTTAGGTTAGACTAACTAAAGGGGTCACGGGTTCAAACCCTTTCAGTGAAATCTTTTTTAATTTCGTTTAATTTTTAAAAATAAATTTTTTATTAATTTAAAAATAAAATTTTCAAACCATTTTTTAATTCTTTGTTAGGAAATATTCCCTCATTTAAATATTTATCCATAGCTTTAGCTACACAAAATGCCAATCCTTGTAATTCAACAGCAGCCCCATCACGTGGTGTAGCTGGTTCTCCTTTATTTCCTCCATTTGATGAACTACCCATTTTATCCATCCAAGTACCACAATTCCAACGATTTCCACCAAATATTAAACCAGTTTTGGGGCAAATATAGGCTTGGACATTAAATCCTGGAAAATAAATTTTTTAAAGATACAAGAAAACCATCCGATAAAAAACACTTATGGGACTTAAAAAAGGTCCCTTATAATAAGGTACCAGTGGCCAACCAGATTAAAAAACGTCCCTTAAAAAGAGGTGTAGTTAATATCTGGGGAGGTCTGATGTTGTCCAAGAGGTGTATCTTAAAGGTGGCAAAGTTTAGACAACTCCCCCACCCAATTGACAACCAAATTTTAAACTAAAAAAATTTTTACAAACCTTCATCTTTCATATGTTCATCAATTGAATGTCCAGCATGTCTTTCACGAAAATTGATACCCTCAAAATGACGACAAAGAGCTTCATAAATTGTACAATGTAAAGGTTGTTTCTATAAAAATTTTGAAATTTAAAAAACGTTTTAATAGAAAGAAACCTTTAAATCCTCTCCTGTTGAATCATCTGTTGGATATAAACGAAGTACTGGTTCTTGAAGAATTTTAGATCCATCGGGGGCCTATTTTAAAAAATTTTAATTAATTTAATTCTGTGGTGTAATCGGAAAGGTTTAGGGTAGATAAATTGGAGGTCGTAGGTTCGAACCCTTTCGAGGGAAACTTTTTTAATTTTGTTTCATATGAACTCTCTTTTAAATTTTAATTAAAATTGGCCTTAAAATTAAATTTTTAAATTTGTGGTGTAGTCGGAAAAGTCTAGGTTCAAGTCGTCAGGGGGTCGTGGGTTCGAACCCTTTTAAGGGAAATATTTTTAATTTTGTTCCCATGAACTCTCTTTTAATTTTTAATTAAAATTAGGCTCTAAAATTTTATTTTTTTATTTGTGGTGTAGTCGGAAAAGTCTAGGTTAAGGTCATCAGGGGGTCATGGGTTCGAACCCTTTCGAGGGAAATCTTTTTTAATTCTGCTTCCTATGAATTCTCTTTCAATGTTTGATTAAAATTTGGCTTTAAATTAATTTATTTAATTTGTAGTGTAGTCGAAAATGTCTAGGTTAAGGTGTCAGGGGGTCGTGGGTTCGAACCCTTTCGAGGGAGATCTTTTTTAATCTAGTCTCTTTTTACAAAATTTAGACCAAATAAATTTTTAAAATTAAAAAAACATCAAATAAAAAAATAAAAACAAACCGTTTCTATAAATCTAATAACAGCAACAATCCAAAACCAAACAGCATCACGACAATTGTATCTAGGCGCCTTTCCTTCTGCCAATAAATTTGGAATGAGTCCATGTCTAAGAGTTCCAGCATATGCCAAAATACAATTTTTAGCTTCTTCAAAACGTCCAGTTAAAAGAAAAATTCCAGGTAAAGCAATAAAAGTATCACGTCCCCAATTACGCCAAATTCCTTCAGCAAAATGTGGAAGACCAGCAGAAAGAGAAAATTTATTATCCTTGTTATTTGCTAATGGTGGTAGCAATGCATTTGGAATATGGGCAACAAAAGCATTTGAAGCAATACATAAAAGTTCAGTAATACGAATACGTGGAAGAGTAGGAGATTGTGAACTGAAAAAATAGAGAGAGTATAATAGAGAAGTTAGAGAAAAAAATTTTCCGGACCGAAATTCCTCCCCCCACCCCTTTCCGGAAAGATAAAGAGATATTTCAAAAAAATAGAACTTTTCCAGAAAAATAAAATTTTCGGGTGAGTAAATTTTCCGAAAAAAATAAATGAAAATTTCAGGAAGAATAAAACATTACCGGAAACCATAAATAAACATTCCGGAGAAATAAAAATATTCCCCGGAAAGTAAATATTTCTGAAAAAAAACTCTTTCCGGGGAGAATAATTTCCGGTCAAAAAACATTTAAATAAAATTGCCATAAAAAATAAATTTTCTTACAAAATTTTCTCCAAAAATACTCGTTCAATAGCCACATAAAAATAAGTAAAAATCATTTCAAAATAACAAGGCCGCAAATGATGAGGAAAATTTTTAAGTAAATTAAATGCATGTTCCAAGAGTATGGCAAATTTTTCAAGTGTTGGTGAGAAAAGTTTAAGGCGGTTGATTGAATATTCTATAAAAATTAAAAAAAATTTTTTGATATTATTAAAAATTAAACAAAATTTTTTTATTCTATTTATAGACCCTTAAAATAAAACTGAATAAATTACGGAAAAATTTGAAAAAGGGTACACCCCGATGTACCGCGAGCCCAATGTACCGCCGAACTATAACTTCATACAAAATTGTCGAATCCGTGGCGCCCTGGTATGGTTCGATTCTGCTGGTCGAGCCGCATCGAACCATACCAGGGCGCCACGGATTCGACAATTTTGAACACAGATATAGCTCGGCGGTACATTGGGCTCGCGGTACACTGGCCTGCTCCCTTTGAAAAATTATAGATGAAGGGACAGGGTAGGAGGGGGGTCATGGGTTCGACCCCGCTCGGTGGTCAAACATTTTTTAAATTAGTGAAAAGTTTAATAACTTCAAAAAAATATTTTTTGAATATTCCTAGTTCAAAAAATTATTTTTTTTGAATATTCCCATTTCAAAAAAATATTTTTTTATTCCAATTATACACCCTTTAATATAAAATATTTACCAATTAACCAAGTTCCCTGTCTCAAATTTTCACAAAATGGGTGACCAAGATCATGACTTGCTTGAATATTTACAAGTAATTGACGTATACCCATAAAACCACAATAAGGTAATTTTCCAAAATTAGGGATTTGGTATGATCCAGTAGATAAAGTTGATAATTCTTCAGATTCACAACGAAAAAGTAAAAAATTGAAATCATAAAGAGTTAAAGAATTGAGCAATTTGGTTGTTTCTGTTGAAAAAATGAATGCATAAAAATTTAAAAAAATAAATAAACCTTCAATTAAAGAATTATTCTCAATTATATCTTTAATAAACATGCATCCTTTTCTGGTACTTTCGGTTGGATTAATTCTATTTTTTAAATAAAAAGAAAATTATTTAATGAAACAAAAACATTCCGGAAAAATTAAATATTATTTGATAGAATCTTTCCGGAAAATATAAAAATACATATAAACTTTTCCGGAACATATAAAATAATAATCCTTCAGAAAAATATAAAGAACTAACTCTTCCGGAAAAATATATAAACCTTCCGGAAAATACAAAATACAATCTAACCGGAAAATATAAAGTAACTATAGATTTTCCGGAAAATTATATAATATCTAATAAAATGTTCTCCGGAAAATATAAAAACATAAACCTTTCCGGAAAAATATAGACCTTCCGGAAAATATAAAATAACTATAGATTTTCCGGAAAATTATAAAATTAACTAAAATCGTTCCGGAAAATATTGAATAAACTTTTTCAGGAAAATATAAATTATAATTCTTCCGGAAATATACTATAAATATATAACTCTAATTTTCCGGAAATTATAAAACTAAAATAATAAAACCAAACAAACTTTAAAACAACAACAGAACCCGACGTAAACAATTTAAAATTAATATATTGCTTGCCATCTTCATTTAAATTTATTTCAATTGCATCAGAAGCATTAAATTCAACATTTTCATAGCATTCAACAACAAAATTGGGTAAGCCAGTTAATAAATTATTTTTGGAAGAAATGTCGCCATTTTCGGAATTTTTGGATAAAATGTCCCAAAAAATTAAATTTTTTTTGAAATTTTTAAAAAATAAAAAAATTTACTTTTTCAACAGTTTTAAGTTCAAATAATATTTTTTCAATTTTTCCATCGATTAGAATTGCTTTGTAATTTGTAGGAGTCCATTTAAATGTTGAAAAACAAGTATTAGCTATTAACAAAATTGATTCATTATTTGTTGGATTGTGACGGGTTATAGCTGTAATATCTTCATTTATTTGATCAACAAAAGTCTGAAATTGAAATTAAGAAAAAAAAATTTAAAAATTAGAATAAACTTGAGTATATCCATCATTCCAAAGGCTATAGTGAAGCTCTAAAAAAATTAAAAAAAATTATTTTTTAAGTAAATCGTAAAAAAATTTTTTGAAAAATGTGAGCTAGGTTTTCATTAAAAATTAAAAAAGGATCTCATACCAATCGAAAATAAATTGATTTTCTCTGAAAGGATTCGAACCCACGACCTCCAATTTGTCCTAACCTAGAATTTACCGACTACACCACCGTCTTAAGAATAGGCTGGACTTGTAAAGGAAGAACCCCCAAGACCCAAATTCTATAAAATAAACAGCAAACCATTAATAATTCTTCTAGCCTTAAACATAGCTTCCTCAAAATTATTTTCCGCCCATTTACGATATAGCCTAGTCTCGTTAACAACATCAATATGTTTTGAATAGAATTCATCATATCCTCTAACTGTTCCAGTAGCACAACAAGTAGCTGCACACATTGCTGCTGTTGGAAGGGAATCATAAACTGTACGCTTCTTAAAAGTAAAAATTTTTTCAAATTTTTTAATTAAAAAACCTGTATCGGTGACGGATTATCATGTGTTTGATCATAAAACAATGCATGAGCTACATCCCATGGAGCAGGGCGAACAGATTTTGGATGAAACGCCCCAACAGGATCTCCTCCATAACGATAAACAAATCTGCCTTAAATTTAGGAAAAAATTTCTTGAATTTAAAAAATTAAACTGACCTTGTTCATGACAGTTATGAGCGTTTTGAGCCTCTAAAAATTTCAAAAAAAAAAATTTCTAGTTAAAAATTATTTTTCAAAAAAACCTCTAATTAATGAACTTATCCCCAAACGATTAACAAAAATATTATCCAAATGTTCATTTCCAGTAAATAATTCTGCTACTACATATAAATCTTTACGTACATTTCGAGCAATTTTTAAGAGATGCTAAAAAATTTTTTTATATTTTTAAAATTTTTAAAAAAATTAACACAAATTTTTCTTATGTATTCTGGCTTATTCATCGGATAAAAATAATTTTCTCTCAAAAGGATTCGAACCTTCAACCCCTTGGTTGTTTAAGTGTAATATGTATTTTCCCACTAAACCACAACGCAAATTCTCATAGCAAGAATTAGATTTTCTTCGGAAACATGTACTTAACGAAAAAATTTTTTCATTAAAAAAATCTTTTATTACTTACTGCCCCTTTACAAAAATTTTTTTTATTTTTATTTTGAAAAATTTCTAAAAAAAAAAACTAATTTTTCCAAACCTCAGCCACATATATAGGTGTCGAATGGCAATTATCAATTCTTAAACCATTAAAAATTTTTGTACATTTAATAGTATAATTTTCCATATAATTCCACAAAAACGGGCAATCTTCTTTTGAATTTCCATAATTTAATTTCACAGAATCCCCCCAACAAATTAATTCTCTTCGCAAATAAACTTGTGAAGGAAATTCAGCAAAATTATTTAAAGGGTTAGAACAGTCCATTACCCAACCATTAAAGGCCATAATGTGAGGAGATAAAGAAGGGTTAAAAGCGAGAGTTGATTCGTCTTCTTGCCATGTTTGAGAAGAAAAATGCGGTGGTTGGAGAAAATAACTAAACAAATTTTTTTTATTTTTTGAAAATTTTTTTTTACATTTTTCTGAATTTTTTTTTAATTTATTTTGAATTAGTTACAAAATAAAAAATAGTTTTCTCCCAGAAGGATTCGAACCTTCGACCTTTTGGCTATTAAATTAAAAATTTACCCACTAAACCACAAAAAAAATTTTTTTAATTTTTTAAAAATTTCTAAAAATTTTAAAAATTTTCAAAAAATTTCTCGAAATATATTAATTTTAAAAATCATTTTACTTAGTAACCAAAGGACTACAATCACTTATTAAGCCTTTTCTAGGTCCATGTGAAGAAACTCTTTCATAAGAAATATGTCCCATTATTGCTCCGATCGCTGCAGATATATGGCCATCAATTGTTTGTTTTGCTTGTTCGTTTAAATGAATTAAATGGGAATTGAAAAGTTTAATAGTCTCCGTCAAGTCTGAACTGAAAGAAAACTAGTGTTCGGCAAATGACCTTTTCCGGTATTCGGTATCGGTATACCGAAAAAATACCGATACCGAAAAATACCGTTTTTTACAAAAATTGACCGGTACGGTATCGGTATCGGTATACCGGAAAAATACCGATACCGGAAAATACCGTCTCAACATTTTCGGTATACCGGCCGGTATTCGGTATTTTTTAAAAAATTTTATAAAATTTTTTAAATTTTATTTTTAAAATTTTAACAATAAATCTTAACAATCTCAAGGACTTGAGCTTCTTCTAATCGATCATAGGCAAGGTTTTAATCAGCAAAATGTCCAACAATTGCTCGACATTTAGCTAATTGAAAAATACAATGCCCCTCCCATTAGAATACCCTGCTTTAATAGTATGTCCCCTGTAGGATGATTGGAAATTACTATGCCCCCACCATTAGAATATCCTCCTTTAATAGAATGCCCCAGAAGGATAATTTAAAAATACAATACCCCCTCTAATAGAATGTCCCTATATATCCTTTTAAAGACCGCAGGCGAAAATTTTGAGAATTTTGGAAGACCAAATGACAGATTTCTTCCTTTTTCAGCGCCGCAGGCGAAAATTTTGAGAATTTCACAAATACCGAAATACCGGAAAATACCGCGGTATTTTTTCGAGGACCGGTACGGTATCGGTATCGGTATACCGAAAAAATACCGATACCGAAAAATACCGTTTTTTTCAAAATTTGACCGGTACGGTATCGGTATCGGTATACCGGAAAAAAATACCGCGGTATACCGGGAAAAATACCGCGGTATACCGTACCGTGCCGAACACTAAAGAAAACATAATAATTTTTTGGAAAAAATTTTTTCAATTTGATGAAAAAAATTTTTTGAAAAAATATCCAATACAATCTTTATTGAAGTAGTTTCATATTTTGTTATTTATTTTATCTTATTTATAAAATAAAAATAATTTTCAACCAAAAAGACTCGAACCTTAGACCCTTTTGATTGATAATTTAAGAATTTTCCCACTACACCACAGCGACAAACTTTCCTCTGCAAAGAGGAAGCCACTACAAAAAATATTTTCTTTCCGGAAAATTCTTTTTGCTTCACAGAAAACTTTATTTTGAAAAATCTAAAAGAAACCTTTTATCATTCACAGCCCATTCAATTGCAGTATCAATATCAACAGTTGATTTTAAACGTCTATATTCCTTGTCTTGAGTAATTACAATATCGTTTAATGTTGTTCCAGTATTTTGACATGACAAAGGTTCATTATTTGAATAAATATCTACAAAAATAAAATTAATTATTTAATTAAAAAGGGTAGGTAGGGGACATTTCACCAAATCGTCGTTTCAGTCTCTAGGCCATATTTTGGGCCATAACTTTTTTAATTCTCAACCGATTTAAATAATTATTATATCACTCGAAAGCCATGAATGTGAGAATTATTTTATCTAACAGGATTTTAATTTGATCATTCTACAAAAAGTTGTAGCCAAATAAATTAATAATATATCTAATCGAAAATCACGATTGCACCTACTTACCCAAATGTAACTTTTTGTAAAATAAACTGAACAAATCAATCATGTTAGATAAAATAATCCTCACATTCAGGGCTCTCGATTGAAATAATAATTATCCAAATCGTTTAAGAAATAAAAAAGTTATGAGCCAAAATGTGGTTTCAAGACTGACATAAATAAAACAGTGATTCGGCGAAATGTCCCCCCTTACCCCTTATTTAATTCAAAAATTAAAAAATAACCTTCAATTTTGGTTTCAAAACATTTTAACGCTTCTTCCCTATCAATTTGATAAAATTCTTCCAATTTTAATTTAGGAATAATTTCATCTTTTAAAATCGAATAAATTGAATTTAAATGAATTTCTGAATTAATTAAAGCAGGAATTCCTCTATTTTCCCATTTTCCTTGAGATATTTCTCTGCTAAATTGTTGTAATGCTCTATCTAAGATATATGCTGGACGTAAATGTGGAGAATTGGAAAGATTGTAGGCACATTCTGGATGGGTCTAAAAATTTTTAAAAATTTTTTTGTCAATTTTCAACAAAAATTTGAAGCTTACAAGTAAATTTGACCGACATACTCACCTATACGTGGTAAACGAAAGCAAAGCCTATGAATAAATAACAGGAAATAATAGGTGTGCCCGAGCCAAAGCTCTTATGGTGGCCTCTAAACTAGGGCAGCTTGCAATGACATTAAAATGTCATCAAAAAACATTGAAATGACAATTTATTGGAAGTGATCGTAAATCTTTTCGGACCCCTAAAAATTTTACAAAATGCCAAAATGTTGTTGCAACAATGGGAACATGTTGGCATTCAATGGCTTTTTAGATTTTCAATGTTTTGGCATTCAAAGAATGCTTCTTAAATGTTCCGCGCTCTCTTAAGATTTCCATTAATTTCTTAAAGAATTTCCAATTTTAAATCCCAAAATTTCTCAAGTTTAAACAAAACCTGTAGCCAAGAAGCATTTTTAGCTGCATGATTCCAAACAACATCTTGAATTGTTAAAATATTCCAATCAGTCTCTATTTTCCTTATTAAACGTTCTAATTCATCAAAATTACTTTCAAATAAGGGATTTAATTTGTCATGTTCCGCGATTGAATAACTAATAATTGAGAAGGGAAAATCTTTTTAAAAATTTCAAAAATCGACAAAAAATCTTTCGAACTTCTAAAAAATCCAAAAAAGCAAAAATGTTTTTTAAAAAATTAAAAAAAAATTTCAACTTAAGATCACGAAAAATTTAAAAAAAAACCAAAAAAATTTTTCCAAAAATTTCAAAAAAATTTTCACAAAAAAAAAATTTTCCAAAAAAACCTGCTATTAGAAATTCCCAATTGTTGAACAGGAGTTAAATGTATAACATTAAAACAGCATTTATTAGCAACTTGTAATCTCTCTTCCCATTCATTTAAAGGACCCAACAATTTTGTTAAAAAAGTAATTGTACAGAGTCCATTTACTGAAAGCAATTTTTGTTCTTTTCCAATTCTCCATTGAGGTAAAATTGTGAAATAACCAGAACCAAGCGGTGTAGATTTTGTTGGAGAGGCGGTATCAGCATAAAATTGGTATCTATTAAAATACAAGGTAATTACGAGTCATCACAAACAGTTTACGATAAATTAAAGAAAACCTTGTTTGGGCTCAGGCTCCGGACTAAGGTTCGGGTTTTCGAGTCGGACCAAAGTTCAAGTCATTTTTTTCGGGCCTTATTTTTATCGAATCGGGCATCGAGTCTTTTTCTGGCCAAAATTCGATGCCTGACTTGATTTTTCGGACCGGACTCTCAACTCTACTACGGACATTTCAGAATCTTATTAAGTTAGCTCCAACTTCGGCCGACCCCGCCTCAAGAGCTAACTCACTAAGCCATATTTTGAGAACAATTTACCTCTTTATTCATTTAAAACTTTGGAGATAATGTCGAAATAATCAACAATTGCCAAGAATATTTATTGTGGATTGGATTAATTCCTTTTTAATTGTTCTCATATATAAGTCCCACCCATAAACTGATTGCAATAAACCCCTTAAATACCAAAAAATTATGCAAATTTCTAAAATTTACTTGTAAGCCCCAAAAACATTACATTCAAAAACCAAAAAATTCTCGTTCGAATCCAAACTTTTAATCGCATCACCACAAAATGTAGGAAATATTTGATCAAAATCAGTATCCAATATACTCAGGCGAATAGCTTTTCCAATAAGAGATTCACCAAGTTTGAAGTGTATTTTCCAACCTAAAATTAAATTAAAAAAAAAATAAACAATTTAAAGCTTTAAGGTTGTTGGAGTAGTAAATTTTTTAAAAAATTCAGGAAATTTTAAATTAAGACAGGACTTGAAGAATCGAAAAATCAAAGTTCCGGAAACAGCCAGTGAGAAACTACGCCGTTAAGCCCAAGCTCAAAAACAGCCTAAACAATTAACCAAGACTCTGTCCTAATAAAGAATTGTTAATTTATAGACCATCACTGACCTAAATACTTGAGAGAACAATTCTGAAGAAATAAATAAGTAGACTTGACCAAATAATTTAATAAAATAATTATACAAAAAAACCTTGTTCAAGCCGAAAAACTTTGGTTTCCATAAACTCTCCAATATTTAATTCAATAACCAATGTAGTTGTATTTACACACGTGCTCATTATTTCAGGTGAATAGAAAAAATAAAAATCAAGTTTAAAAGAAAAAACAAAGAAGAAATTTTCAAATCGAAAAACCATCGATTTAAGTCATCAAAAAATAAAAATCAAAAAAATAAGTGAACTTATATTTTTAAAAATAAATTTATTTTTAATTTAGTCCTCAAATCTCATACAAAACAAACAAAAACAAAGCTCAAAAATAGACAAATCGGAATATTAAAAATAAAATTGAAGCAACCCCAATAGCAATAAATAATTTAAACACAGCCGTTCGACGATTTAATTGTCGAGCATCTTCGCGATATTTTTTGCTTAAATGGGAGAGATCGGAAGCACGAGACTCAAGAACTTGAAGAAGAAAAAAATTTTTTTTAATTAAACAAAAATTAAAAACAAACTATTTAATGCCTCCCCACGATGTATAACGTCCTCAATATTTGAAACCATAATTCTTGTAACATCTTGTAATTCATTATTGACCGCGGCAAATGCATTACGTCCTTTATCCATATGTTTTCTTTTTGCAGTTTGGATATAAGTATCTGCAAAAATATTTTTGAAAAGTTAACAGATGATCGAGAAGGGGGGGAGGGGGGGTCGTGGGTTCGAACCCGCTTGGGGTCAAATAATTTTTTTAACTCCAGGAATTCCAAATAATGGTAAAACACAAAGAAAAGCATAAAAACTGAGATTTCTGCTAGGTTATCATAGCCCAAAATTTAGGGATATTAAGGTGGGTGTAGGGGGAAACGGGGTCGTGGGTTCGAACCCGCTTGGAGTCAATTATTTTTCTAAAATCCAGGAATGTCAGGAACTCTAAAAAAAATCGCCTACACACAAAAAATAAGTATATTTTAAAATATACCAAATTCCAAAAAATGATATGGTCTAGTTGTCGAAGCCACTTGAGTTCCATATTGATTAAGAAATTCAACAGCGACATCTTCCAAATAGGCAAAAGCTAGTTTTCTATTCAAATTCTGCTCACACAAAGATAAAGCGCATATTGCACCCTTCACAATATAACTAAAAAAATTGGAAATTAAAAAATCAAAGAAGTCGAAGACAAATGAGCGTGGGAGAGGGGTCATGGGTTCGAACCCACTCGGAATCGATGAATTTTTTTAAGACCAAGAAATACCAAATAATAATAAAAACAACGAGAAAAACCATTAAATCACGGTTTCTGCCTTTTTTTCTTAAGAGATTAGCCAAAAAAAGAATAATAGTCAAAAGAAAGGAGGTCATGGGTTCGACCCCGCTCGGCGTCAAAGAATTTTTAAAAAACCCAAGAATCTAAAAAATAAAGAGAGAAATCAACTCAACGTTCTATCCCTTTATCCTACTCCAAAATCACCCCAGAAAAATTTAATCACATACTGAAAAAAATATTGTCCACTAGTTATAGATTGAATCTGTGGAGTATTTGGACTATTCAATTTACGAAAGATCACTTTTGCTTGACTCATATATTTAACCATATTGTGGTCAGGCTTAAAAATTTATTTAAAATTAAATTAAAAAAATTAAACATTGTCTGCTCCCTCAATTGAAGTTGCCAAAATTAATCCATCACTAACTCGAGCTATTAAAGTAAGCAAAATATTGTCCATCTTATTTTAAGTCTATAAAATTGCCTAAAAAATTTAATTTAATAAAGAAGAGATAAACGTATAACGTTAAAACAAATTTTAACAAAAAATGAGACAAATAAAAAATACTTTTATAAAACTGATAACGTGTCCAAAACTCAAAGTAAACGTTAAAAATTACATTTTGTAAATTTTTCAAAATACCAAAAAATCGAGAAAACGACAAAACGCCCAGACGGCAAAACGCCAAAAGACACTTTCGGTAAGAGGACCTTTAAAAATAAAAAATACAGCTTTTTACAGATTTCAATCAACAGCCCTTTTTAAAAAAAATAAATATAGAAAGTAACATATCACAATACTAAAAAACAGGGTACAGCCCAAAAGGGCGCACGGCCAAAACGGCGCAAAGCCATAACTTGCTGGGAAATTTTTGACCCAAATCAATTTTGGTACCAATCGCATTAGCTTAATGGGAGGAATCGTTTAACACTAAATTTGGAAAGATTCGAAAATCTTGAAGCAAGTTATAGCTTTGTGACGTTATGGCGCGCGGCCATTTGTCCTTTGCTGCCCCCCTTCTCTTTTTCTCTATCTCTCCTCACTACAATTCACTTTTAACTTCTTCCTTCTTCTTTCCTTCTCCATCCTTCTTTTCTTCATCTTTTTCCTTCTTTTCTTTTTTTAATTCTTCTTCTTCTTCTCCAGCCAAATCAGCAGCCCATTTTGAAAATACTTCACTTTCTGACAATTTTGTCAAATATGGTTCGACTGCAGGGAATGCTTTTGTTAATGAATTGCGAACATTTGTTGATGTTTTTGGTGGAAGATTTTTGAATGGAACAAGGACCTTGTCTGAAAGCCAATGACCAAATGAAGATTTAACCTGCAAATATTAAATTCTTATATTTTTTCGTCATTTGACATTTCGCCAGTGGACATTTGGGAACTTGACATTTGGTCAAAAGACACTTGGTCAATTGACATTTCGTCAACTCATTTGTCTTTTAAAAATAAATCCTTAGCCAAGTGCCCAAAAAGTGACATTTTGCCAGTGGACATTTGGGAACTTGACAATTGGCCAACTGACATTTGGCCAAATGACCACTTAGCCAACCAGTCAATAGAGTCCCATTAACAAAACCTCCCAAAATTTCACTCACATTGTGCATGTATTCCTTCGCTTCCGGCTCCAATCCACCATTAAACTTAGCCCAACGTTGCTTAATAATCTTCCAAGCATCTTCCAAAAGAGAAGCCAAAGTAGGGGTATTCCGTTTCAAAGCTTTCCAAACATGCTCCAAAGTTTTGTATTTTGCCAACGCATCCCAAACAGCCGCTAGTTTGTCCAATTCAGAGGTTATAATTGTTATGATTTTTTCACGCCAACCTTCCGGTATGTAATCTGGAAAGAGTGGAAAAGATTAGACAAATCTCTAACCTCACTAATATTTAAGTTGGCTACCGGGCAGGGGAGAGCAGACACGGGAAAAACGTTTAATTTCGTGATTTACCTAAGGAAAATAGGAAAGGAAAAGGAAAAGCTACTGTTTTTTCTTTTAAAGCGAGAGAAAGCTCCATCACGTAATGAAACGTTTCGCCTACATCCGGGGAGAAGCAGCATACTCCCCTTAAAAAGTTAACTATATTTTTTAAGGGGAGTATAACCACACCAAAAACTATCCCTAGTCTTTAAAAAAAATTTATCTTTAACCTTGAAATTTCATTGGCAGCCAAGACATCAATTTGGCCGGATTAGCAAAATTTTGGATAAATTGTCCAACTTTTTCCGTATCAATTGATTCCATTAATTTTTGAATTCCAGCGAATCCATCTCCTCCCTCATCGTCTTCATCATCCGAATCATTCCCTCCACTACCTAAAAAAAATAAATTTTTCCTCTTCTCTTCCCCACCTCCACAAACCTTTAGGTTTTTGTATTTCTTTTAAAGCAGATTGAACCCCCGAAAGTAAACTTCCAAACATTTGTTGAAAATCGGGTTGTTGACTAGATGAAGTTTCTATCAAATTGGTCAAGTAAAGGAATGGAAGCACCACCAATAAAGGTGCTGTAAACATTTCTCTTTCTTTTTTTCTTCTAATAGAAAAAATATTTTTCTTCCGAAATAATAAAACAAAGAAGCTAAAAAAGATAAAAAATTAAAAAAAAATTTTTTTTGATAGACCAGAGCCAAAAAAATCTTTCCCTAGTAGCGCCTTTTAATTAGGGTAGCACCCCGCGCCTTCGGAGATAGGAGTGTCGGGTTTCGGGGTCTTCCGGGGGTAGTGCCTTCGGGTCGGGGTTTTTACCTAAAAATTCGTCGAATTTCAGGGGACGGGGTGCTACCCTACTTTCAATTCTAGCCTTCTTCAACTTAAAAAAAATTTATTTTAAGTTTGGGCCTTCGAAAAAAGCCTTTCTACACTTAAATATTTTTTTTTCTCTCCTTCACTTTCTCTCTCAAAAAAAAATTAGAGGAAATAAGGAGAAAAATTTTTTTCAATAAATGGCACTCAAAAATTAAAAAATGGCCAAAAATTTTTTTTATTAAAGGGATTGCGCAGACATTTCCTCAATCATTAAATTACACGTGTATTAAAATAAAAATATTATTGATTTTTATTAAAGAAAAAATATAAAAGTGCATAAACAAATAAAAAAAAATTTTTTTTAATTTTAAAAATACAGAAGGACCTCGATTTACTGAAATATCCCCTTTAAGGCTGAAGAAGTTATATTATTAAAAATAATGGTTGGGGATTATGTATTTTTAAAAATTGGAATGAGAAAAGAGGGTATATTTAAAACCAGGATCCGACTAAAATAAGACCCTATAGAGGTAGGAGTTCGGTTTATCTAATTCCGTTTTTTTTCGTCTATTCCCCTCTATTTGCCGTAGCCTAAAATCGAGGGAAATTTTTGGGAAGAATGAAAAACGAAAAAGGAATGACATAAACCGAACTTTTACCACCCTATATACTAGTCTCCCTATTTTTCTAATTTAAAAAAAAATAAAAAAAACCATGCACAAGAACAAGAATTTAAAGAAAACTCAAGACGCATTCCTCTCTCTCCTCCTCTCTTTTTTTACACCATCTCAAATTTTTTTTCATTTCTTCCCAATATTTAATGATTGAATTGATAAACTTTGATAAGCATGAAAATCTGGTGAGAGATCTATTTTGTGACGTAAAATTGCCATTATGATAAAATCCTCGTTGAAAATTGCTGTAAAAAACAAAAAAATTTTTTTCAATTTTTCCATAATTAAACTTACGAAAATTGCAATTGATAAGGTATTGATAAAAGACTAGATCATTATGATTACAAACAATAAAATATGTTTGGTCATTCTTTTAAAAAAATTAAAATAAATTTTAAAAAATTAATTGAATTTGCGGACATTTGTGCGGATTTTTAATTTTGAGGTTATTCACTTTTCTTACAACTCCAGACGGAATGGAGACATCAGAGATGGGTCGGATTTAGAAAAAAGGAGGGTTCTGGGTCAAAAAAAAGTTCGTGGTTCAGGTAAGCCGAAAAATATTTTTCTAAAAAAATCCGTAAAAAATTTTTTGTCCGCAAAATTTCACAGCTTAAACAACCCTCTCGAAAATTTTAAAAAATCTAAACCTGCATATATTCAATCAATTCCTTTTTTGTTGGTTTTTCTTCTACAACTCTACCATCAGCTGCTTCAACAAGTTGGCGAAGAATTCTAAAGGAAGGTTGAGTTCCTTGTCCAATATGGAAAATAATATTCTTAAAAAAAAAAGAATTATTTTTTAAAATTAAAAAAATTAACCTTAAATATTTTACGTTGTCTTGCACGAAGAACAGAAACTTTTAAACTGAAAATAAAATAATTTAGGTCTAATAAAGTTTATGAGTTCAATGTATATTTGCAAATCTAATGAGAAAAAATATAATTTTTCAAAATCAAAACCTGAAACAATATTTTCTTTCATTTTCACGATCCTTGACAAAGAAAGGGAGAGGATCTGAAACAAGTAATTTTTTAAATTAACTTGGGAAATTAAAAAAAAATTTTAATGTCAAAAACAAATTAGCAGAAAAATTAGATACACAAAAAAAATAAAAAAATAATACCGACAAACTGTAAACATTTGAAGCTTGTTTCTACCTTAGAAATCAGAAAGAAATTATTTAAATAAAAAAAATTAAAAAAACCCAGTAAGGAGAAACAATATGCTTTCCCAAAGCGATACATGTAACCAAATTAACGCTTAAAAAATTTCAAAAAAATTTTTCAAAAATAATTGATTAAAAACCTTTTTCTAAGAGAACTAGTTACAAAATGAGTACATTCATTGGGCGACTCAACTACTTTTGCTGCCAAAAATCTAACTTTTTTGGACATATTATCAACCTGTTCGTTTGTAAATCCATCAAATAGAACAAAAATCTAAATTAAAATTTATTAAAAAGAGAATTAAAAAAGTACAGACATTTATAGGTTCTTTATTGCTAGCAGAAATTACATCTATTGCTTTTGATATTTGTTCCTCACTTGGTGCATTATCGGTTAATCTTTAAAAAATAAATTTTTAAATATGGTCAAATCTTCTTATAAGAAATGTTTGAAAATTGAAATAAAATTTGCTCTGTATCCGATTCGCGAAAATCGGTTACCGAAAATCGGAAATTTTGTTTTTTGTCGGCAAGATCCCTGGTACACAAATGAGTAAAATTTCAGTAAAGGTATGAGCAAACACTGACTGTAAAATACACCAAAAAATTCAATTTAAATGTTTTTTAATGTTAGTTGTAGAGCGAGAAATCCAACTAACATAAACAATATCCCTCTAATTTTATTTGTTCCCTTTTTCCCGCTCAAGGTGTATCCTACAATGAGGCAACCAAATGAATAATTAAAAAAATATTTAAAAAAGGAAACCTAAAAAGTTTTTCAGGGAAAACACTGACATCTTGAAAAATTGTTCTTTTCATTAAATATGCAGAATTAATAATCTCATCTTTAACTGGAATTTGTATATTCCAAGGAGCTTAAAAAATTAAAATTTTCATAAAAAAAAATTTCAAAAAAATTTTTTCCCCAACTTACCCATCAATCTAGCACAAAATTCACTCATTTTTCCCAAATAATAGGGAGAAATTGTAACACAAGTTAATAAAGTTTCAGCTTCAGGAAAATAACGTTGAGCTTCTGTTGGAACAAGAACATTAATATTTCCAAAATATAATTCAAAAAGCCATTTATAGTTGACAAGTTGAGTGTTGAATGAATGAGATTTTTCAATTATTTGGTCTGTCAATGAACTTTAAAAAATTAAAAAAAAATTTTTAGTCAAGTGGTTAAGGCGCTAGACTGCAATTTAATCATTATTTTTTGGGAGCAAGGTTCGACACCAACTGGGAGAAAATAAATTTCTAATTTTGTTTTATTCTTTAAAAAAATAATACTTTATAAATTCTTAGCAAGAAATTTTTTACTAAAATTTTTTTCGAAAAAAATTAATTTAAGTTTTTGTGAAAATTAAGTTTTTTAGTTGAGTGGTTAGGACGCTAGGTTTCATTTTAATTTTATATTTTGATGAGCAGGGTTCGAACCTTACGATGGAAAAAAAAATATTTTTTTAAACAAGAAAACAAATTCTCAACAAGAAAAAATTTTCAAAAAAATTTTTAGGCCTTAAAAAATTCTTTTAAACATGTCTGCTGTTCAAAAGAAAATTTTAGCTAAGTGGTTAAGACGTTAGGCTACAATTTAATTATTAGCTTTTACGAGCAAGGTATGAATCCAACTTTGGGAAAAAATTATTTTAAGCTTGGTTTTTTAATAAAAAATCTCAAAAAATGAAATTTTGAATAAATTAAAAGAAAAACCTTTTATTAATAACAAGAAAATCAGTTTTTGAATTAAACGGTACACAATAAGCACCCATTGAACGTATCATATATTTTATCGCATTGGAATCATTTTGGTCAAATCCATGGAAAGAAATTATTTTTGAAGAAATTTCTGGATTTGGGTTTAAAACACTCCAAAATCTTTAAAAAAACAAAATTAAGTTTAAAAAATGTTTTAAAAAACCCTGGCAAATGAGCAGCTTTTGATGGCTGCTCAACTAGTCTTTTTCCTATTGTATCGTTTAACCAATGTAAAGTTACTATACGTTGAGCTTTACGCTGAAAACGACGATTTCGATGTTTATCAATAAATTCCTTAAATAAATAAATTAATTAAAAAAAATATTTTTAGAAAATGGGTCTTTATAAAAATCCGCAAGTTTAGTCCGCAAGTCTCAAATTTAACTTTTATTAAAAAAATACCTATCGGGGATATTAAGGGTTAAGACAAACACGATACCCAGTCTTTTTTCGACCCAAAATCAAAACCAGATTTAAAAAAATTTTGAAAAATTCGATCCGAAACTAGACTTAAGAAAACTTGCGGATTTTTTAAAAACATAAAAGAAAAAAACCCCAACAGTGGCCAATGCACCAATTAAAAGTTGCTTATTATCAAACCTTAAAAAATGCACAAAATATATCCAAAAAAATATTTTTAATAAACTTACCAACTAGAACAAACAATATGAGTAATACGCTTAAAATAATACATTGAAAATTGAAAAAAAATTCTTTAAAAAAACCTCAGGAATACCACGTGGATTGCTTGATTCAACATCACCTTATAATTTAAAAAATCTTCAAAATATTTTTTTAAAAAAACCTCCATAAAAACGAATAACACTGGAAAGTTGATAACTTAAAAATTAAAAAATAAATTTCAAAAAATCTTTTCAAAAAAAACCTGTCAACAAGTTGAGGATTACAATCATCAATTAAAAGAAAAACACAACCAGTTAAACAAATTTCTGGATTTACAGGATTTCCAGTAGGTGTTACAATAACATGTTGTTGAACTGAAAAAAAATATTTATTTTTTAATTAAAAAAAATCTTCCTCTACAATTCATAAAAATATCTTACTCCTAGTATGAGCAGAATCAGGCCCGTAGCCAGGGGGGGTGAGGGGGGGAATTCCCCCCCCCCCCCCCCCCGAAATGGGAAAAAGGAAAAAATTTGGGGAAGGGCTGGGGCAAAAAAAGTGAATTTTTTTGGCCTACGGCCTCTAAACTTTAAAAAATTTTCGCCAACGGCGCTAAAAAACGAAAAAATCTGTCTTCTTGAGGTCCAAAATTCAAAAAAATTTCGCCTGCGGCGCTGAAAAACAAAATTTTGGCGCCTGCGGCGCCGAAAAAGTGAATTTTTTTGAAATTCTCAAAATTTTCGCCTGCGGCGCTGAAAATAAAAATTTCCATTCAATGAATTTTCTACAGCAAAAAAAGAAACAGGACTTGGACGAGCTATCAAAAATAAAACAGCCTGCCAAATAATCTTGATTTTCGAAAAAATTTAAAAAAATTTTCAGAAAAAATTTTCGGTCAAAAAATCTTTTTGAAAAAAAAAAAAGCAGACATTTCTTCATCTCCTCTGCCCTTCCATCTCACTCCAATCTCTTTTAAAATTTAAACCTAAAGATTGAGCAAGTGCTTGTGAAGGTATTTGTTGTTGCTGTTGAATTATTCCATGCTGTAACATTTGTTGTGGTCTCTGTGGAGGTAATTGTTGGTGAGAAATTTGTTGATTATACATCATATGAGCAGGAACATTTGCACAATTCGATAAATTAAAGTTTGAAGTATATTCGGGAGATGAAAAGCCGCCTGGTGCTGTAAAAAAATAAAAATTTTTAAAAAATATTTTTGAGATAATTGAATCACATCATAAGATACTCCCCTTGGAACAAAAAAATTTTTTTGTCTCCTATAATGAGTTGTCCCTTAAATAGAGGGTAACGCTTAGACAAATATACAGTCGTATCTCAATATAAAAAACAACCCTCGGGAATGAAAGAAATAAGTCTCTTATAATGAGGTGTGTCTTAAATAGAGGGTATAACTTACATATATAATTCCCCTCATCCAGTAGACGATAAAACCGAGGTTTATCTAATTTTTAGAGTATTCAATAGGTAAATCGGAAAAAAATTATTAAAAAAAAACCTCCATGTGCAACAATTTGTGTAGGTCGCATAATTTTTTCTGAAGAAGAATTTTGATGTGATTGCTGCTGCGATTGAATAAGGTTCTCTGTTGGAGATTGAAACGTTGCTGCTCTTTGTTGATGTTGTTGAAAACCCGCTGGGTATTGAGAATAATTATTAGCGACAACTTGTGGAGATTGACCATAACGAGGTGGAGGAAGTTTAAGTTGTTGTTGTTGTTGATAGTTTAAATATTCAGGTGATATAGTTGAGGAAGATGGATGCCTGAAAAATTCTTAATTATTTAGGGGGATTAAGAAAAGGAGTGAGGTAGGGTGGGCGTAGAGGGTGTTCGAAACCTTTGGGGTCGAGTCGTTTGGCATCAAAAGTTTTCAGGGATTAAGACCTTCGCAGTCAGAGAATTCCATGGTTAAAAATTAGGAGTCAGTTTTTGAGGGTTAAGACAAGAGTTAAACATGAGCAGTTAATCTTGCCTTGTGTGATGTGGCTTTAGAGTCGCCACAGGGAAAAATTAACCGGCCGTGTCCGACTCTAAACCTTAAGAGTGCGAGCACTTCAAATCATTCGGTAACAACGTTAAGTCGCAACCCAAAAGACTATTCCTTCTAACTTTATACCTTTGTTGGTTAGAAGGCGTCAAGTGTTGTTGATGTTGTTGTTGAGGAGGTGGATGAGGTGAGAAACGTGAAGGGGCACCAATTTGTTGATTAGGAAGAAGTACATTATTGCCACAACCCTCACCAGTTCCCATAAAAGCCGTTACATTTTGATGTTGATGAGGTATTTGTTGATGAACTATTTGTTGTTTAACAAGAGAAGCATGCTGTTGTTGATACATTTGTTGTTGTTGATTTGGTGAAGAAATATGTTGTTGATATGGTGGAGGTTGCTAAAAAATAAGTTCAATTTTGGAAAAATAAAAAGAAAAAAAACATGTAAGGAAAAGGAAAACCACAGCTGGGTAGAAGTTAAAAAAGCTTACATTAGGCGGAGATTTAAATCTATATAAAAAAGAAATCAAAGTCATTGCCATTTGTAGGTGTGAGCCGCCCATTTTACCTACTTTTATGTTAATTAGAGTTGGGGTTTTCGAGTCGGGCCGACGTTCGAGTCAGTTTTACGGGCTTCGATTTATCGGGCCGACCCGGCCCTTTTCGGGCCAACATTCGATGCTCGATTTGATCTTTCAGACCGGACCCTAATCCTAATGTTAGTAATTCAAAAATCAAACTTTTGCTCACAAAAATTTAAAAAAAAAACAAGAAAAGATTGGCTTAAAATTCAAAATCTCAGTGCAATCTACTGAAATTCAAAGCCAAACCTGATGTATCTGCTGTAATTGTTGCTGTTGCAATTGTTGTTGCTGTAGATGTTGTTGATGATGTATCCAATGTGGATGTCCATGCATCATGCTATTTGGATGCTGAATCATTTGTGGTGAAATGCCATATTGACTTTGCTGGATTGGGGAGAAAGGAAGTAGAGTTTGGGAAGGGTGTTGAGATTGCATAGGCTGCTGCATTTGTTGCATTGGAGCTGAAAATTTTAGAAGATAAAAAATTATAGAAATTAATATTTTTGTTCTATCAGTTAAACATCTCTATATGACAACCCTTTACGAACCACCACCATACAATACACCCTTAAGGTTAAAACTTGTGCCTTATAATTGGGTTAGCATAAATACGGAGTATCACTCTTCAGCAGCTCCTTTATTAAATAAAGGAATATCTCACCACTCATTTTTCTCTTTAGAAAGAGAAAAATTTCGACTTTAATAGAAAAAATGAAGGAGACCCAAAAGTTGAACGCTCCAAAAGTCGAACTTTGGAACCCTGTAACTTTTCGATTTGAGGGACAAAGCCAACAAAGCCAGAAACTATAATAGGTTATCGACTACGCTCTACACGATAGTATAATTTTTGTTTAAAAATTTTTACTGACAATTCAGAAGGTTCCCTTATCAGCGAAACCCTCCTATTTAAGAAAGACCTCATTATAAGGAAAAGGGTGTATCGTATAGCAAGGTTTGATCAACATAAAGTTAGGAAAGATTTATAATCAAAATTAAATATATATTTACGTTGTGCCGGAAAATATTGATGTAAATGACTCTGTTGTTGTTGTTGAACATGTGGATGTTGCTGCAAAGACATACTTCGTTGTTGTAATTGTTGAATAGCTGGACTCTGTGGTGGCTGTGAATGACACTGTGGCGGTTGGTGTTGATGTGAATGAGTTATAGGAGTTGGAGGTGCTGTTTGATGGTAAAAACTTTTTGGGGTTGCTGAATCGAGCGAAACACTTTTTTCTGCAAATTTTGAAAATTAGAGAAAAATATATAATTTTGGTTCTATACTTGTTTATGAGTCCTTTAAAGGGTATACGACCCAAACAAAGGGCCTGAGAGTCCAATAAAGAGTTTATGAGTCTGATAGAGTTAAAAGTTGAATAAAGGGATTGGGTCGATTGAAGAGTTAACAAGTCCAATGAAGGAAGGGTTCAATAAGGATGAGTCCAATGTCCAAGAGTCTAAAATCCCAGCAAAGTTTTCCCATACACATAACCCTTCTTTAGACTCATATACTAGACCAGAGCCCAAATATTTTATAAACCTCGAAATTCATTGCTCGTAGAGCTATCCATCGATAAAGACTCCATAGAAACACGTTGAGCAGCCGTTTTCTAAAATTTTTTAAAGTCAAGAAAATCATTAAAAAATACATTAGCAACACTGCTAGAAGATACTTCAGGTTTATCCAACATTATATTTCTGAATTTGTTTGGATCCAAAGGTTCCAAAGGGCTTAAAACGCCGCTAAATTCATTTGAAGCAGCAGATGTCGAAGCAAATGAAGAGTCGGCATTCTTAAAAATAAAATGAGGTACTTCTTGATAAAAATGGAAAGCTATACCACACTATAAGGTACTCACAAAAATAGCCCTAAAGGGAACTTAATAAATTTTCGGTGACCATTATTGAGTGGAGAGACGTCACCTCATCATAAGGGACAATGTGGTGTTCTCATAATGAAGTTAAACTGAAGTAGAGGACCTTCCTAAAAAATGTGCCAAATTAAGGCGATGGCGAAAGGCTAATATTTGCCTGTGGCAGTTCAAACAGAGAAGCATTCGAACCGCCACAGAACAAATACTACCGGTCACCAACCATCACCCTTATAACCTAACCAAATTTACAAAAAAATCTTCAAAGAACCTACCCCTTTATCAGCATTATTTCCAGTATCAGACATTCTCCAAAAACAAAAATTAATTGAAAAATCAACGAAAAATATAAAAGCAAAAACAATGCATTCAACAAATAACGACACATTTTCTTATTTAAATTTAAAAATAGTCAACAGATAAATACTCAAAAGATCAATGATTTTTTAATTCTCAAAATAAATATAAGAGTTGGAATATATAACTTATATATTTTGACACGCATTCTTCAACAAAAAAATCAAATTCTTTAACCAGACTTTAGGTCGATGCCAATTTCTTCTTGAGCGTTGGTATCAGCTAAAAAATATAATAATCAAAAATGGCTAATAGTCTCGCTCATTTCCTCCTTTTCCTACCATTCATTTCCACTATTGTCAAAAAAAATAAAACACCCCAGGAGGATTCAAACCCCCCAAAATACGAATAACAGCACTTTTCAAATACAACAAGGCAAACGAAAAAAACTCGGGTGCCAAATACGGCTGCCCGAATAAAATGCTTGAATCATGTGTCATTTGAAAAAGTAACAAATTTGGACCGAAATATAGGGCTTAAAATGGTCAAAATCATAGGAGAAGACCACGCTTATTTTTGGGGTCAAAAATCAATGTAAACGGGGTATATAAAAAGGGGGACACCAACGAGACTATTCCCCTCAAAAAAAGTTTAAAGAAACCTTCTCAAACTCAAAAAACTGCGCCTGCGTAAGACTGATTCCCTTCTTGCCCGGAAGCCATTTTCCTCCATCTTTCTGGTAGTACTCACGAATGTCCACATGAAGCTGTCCTTTGAAAGTGTTGATGGCAGCAAAGCGTTTCATACCAATTGGGAACATCTTCAAGTAAAAATAGAAACATTTCCAATCTAAACAAAACCTCATTTCCCTCGGCATTGACTTCAACATTGGTTGCCGCAGCAGCCTTTCCCCCTCCCTTCTCCTTCTTCCCATTTTTAGCCTTAACAGATTCCTTCTCCTCCGCGTCATCTTCAGAAACATCCTCATCAGAATCCGACTTTTTAGCAGCTGCCTTTCCTTTCTTCTGCGGAGGTTGTTTAGTCTCCTTCTTCTTTGCAGGTTGATATTCCTCATCATCACCACTAGAAGCATCATCCTCAGATTCGTCCGTTTCAGCCTTCCTCTTGTTGGAATTCTTTGCCGGTGGCGGTTGGTCATCTGCGCTCGAATCACTGTCAGAATCTTTTTGAGCAGCCTTCTTGCCTTTCTAAATTTAAAATTGAATCTCTCAAAAATCCAAGAAAATATACCGCTGGGGCAGCCTTCTTAGCTGGTGCCGCCTTGGCTGGCGCCGCAGCCTTCTTTCCATTAGCCTTCCCCTTTTTAGTCACCGGAACTGGTTCGTCAACTGAAGAGTCGTCGGATGAAGACATTTTTGTATATAATTAAGCTCGTTAAACTAACAAGGTCAAAAATAACGGTTAAAACAAAGCTGAAAATAAAAGTTTTTTTAAGAAAAGTTTACAAGAAAATCAATGGACAAGTACAAAAAAATTTTTATTGTAAAAAACGCGTAAACCATATTTGACCATAACACATTTTGCCAACAAGGGTAAAAATCTCGTTTGGTCAACAAGGTCTTCGTGGCAAAATGTAGGATTTTGCCCTTATTGGCAAAATGTGTTATTGTTTAAATGTGGTAGAGCTAAAAACCTTTAAGAAAAATACTGTATAAAGTTAAGAGAGACAGTGAGAGATTTAGAGAGAATGAATAAAATAGACATTATGCCAATTTTCTTTTTCAGTGAATATTTTAAAAAGCTTTTTAAATTGTTTTGGGGTTTTTTATAAGTTTTTTGTCTTTTCCCGTTGTTTTTCTTCTAATCTTATCTTTTAAGTTAACTTTTGTTTCATTTTTTCAGTCATGTCATTGCTTCATAAACTGCCTAAAGTAACTTCCATTGATTATTACTTTGATATTGTTTCAATTCCCGCTTGGATTTTGTTTGAGGTTTCTGATAAAATTTTTTTAAATTCAATTTATTTTCAGAGATTTTCAATTTTGCAAGCAACTCACAACGAAATTAATTTTAATTTTCGCCCTGTCCATGCTGGGACGTTGTTTACAACCATTGGTATTTTTTTTAAATTTTTCTTTAAAATTCTTTAAAGGCGTTCAAGTTCCCTATACAACTCCAAATTTAAAAAAGAATTATTTTGAAGAGCAAAGATTGTTTGCACGACTACATGGATTAAATATTAGGACTGATCCCGTTGAGTTTTTTTTTAATTTTTCTTAAATTTGCGGACAGAAAAAAAATTTGCGGACAAAATTTTTGCGGACAGAAAAAAATATTTGCGGACAAAAAATTTTGTCCGCAAAATATTTGCGGACAAAAAATTTTTTTGCGGATTAAAAATTTTTTGCGGACAAGATTTGCGGACTTTTTCATAACCTAACATCTCTACATCAATTTTCATCTAAAATTTTCATTTAATTTTATAGGAAACAATAGACAATCTATTAGACGGCATTTCCAGCTCCTTCCACCCCCAATGTGCATTGAACATGGTTGCCGCAAAATTCGGATTTTCTGAATTTCAAAAAATTTCTAGACAATTTTGGCAAAGAATTTGGGTTGAAAATAAGGCGTTAAATTCAGAAAAGGATTTGGAAGAGGTTTTTTAATTTTTTGAAATTATTTTTGAAGAATTTTCGGATAAAAATTTTTGCGGAAATAGTTTGCGGATTGTCCGCAAATTTTTTGCGGACATTAAAAAATTTTATTTTCAGGCTCTTAATTCCTCCCAAATTTGTTTGGATTTTAATTTGAACGAGAATTCATTTTCAAATGATGAATGGTGTAATAGACTAAACGAAAACCATAGAGAGGCAGTTGAAGCAAAGGTTTCTTTTTATATTTCCTTTTGAAATTAAAAAAATTAAAAATTAATTTTTAAAGTGTTTTGGCATCCCGTGGACTGTTCTTCACTTTGAAAACGATTTAAATTCAGAAAATCAAGCAAAAGAATTTTTTGGCATAGATTCTTGGCCTCTAATTTGTCAATATTTAAAAATACCTCAGAAAATGTTTGGCGATGTTTTGTTGTTTTAAGTTTTAATTTTTTGGGTGATTTTGTCATAACGGCGCAAAGCAATAATTTGCTGGAAAATTTCTGGCCCTTATCAATTTTGTATCATCCTCTTTAGCTCGATAAGTGGAATTGTTTAATACTAAATTTGGCAAGATTCCAAAGCTTGAAGCAAGTTATGACTTTGTGACATTATGGCCAAGCGCCGTTTTGGGCGTGTCCCTGTTATCCATTTTTGTTTTTTTAATAAAATAATTTTTAAAATTATTTTTTAATCAATTTTTAAAAATTAAAATTCCGTTTCTTTACGGATAATTTTTTTATTTTTTTTTAAATTTATAACTGATTTAGAGAATTTTAATTTAAAAAAATGGAATATTTACCCTACCATGTACAATTTAAAATACTTGAACAACTCAATTTTTCTGATTTATTATCACTTAAAAAGACTTGCAATTATTTTAATTATTTAATTGAACAAAACAAAAAGAAATTGGCCAAAAAAGAATTTAAGAATATTAATATTGTATGTAATTTTTTTTATTTTTTTTAATTAAAAAAATTAAATTTTAGATTGAACTCAAAAAGGAAAAGGAAACAAATTACAAAAATATAGATATTAATTATGGATTTGTTGATTTTTCGTTAAGTGGAGAATTGATGAAGAAGGTAAATTATAAATGGGGAGTTTTTGGGACTTGATAACTCCTTCAAATTTAAGAGAGCTTTAATTAGTGAATGTATCCTAGCCAAGGAAGGTTGCGAGGTGTCCGAGCTAAAAACGGTCGAGACCGGGCTCATTCGATAGAGAATGTGCCCTTTCTAGCAAGGATTTTGAGCCGTTGTTGCCCCCCGTTTTTCTGGCCATATCTTGGCCAGATCAAAAAACAGGCAAAAACGGCTCAAAATCCTTGCTAGAAAGGGCACATTCTCTATCGAATGAGCTCGGTCTCGACCGTTTTTATTTCGGACACCTCGCAACCGTCCCTAGTAAATAGAGGATATCTTAAGCAGGCTATGCGATATCTTAAGCAGGCTTTGTTAAAATTTACCTTTATCCAAGTAGCCCCAACCAAATTTTAAAAATTTTCCTTAAACTGTTTGGTTTTATTAATTTTGGGGGTATTTTTAACTTGAAGGACTATGTGTTTTTAGTTATTTTATTTTAATTTTTCTGGAAAAAAAATTTTTTTTCAGTGGAATGCTGCAATAAAAAATTCTATTCAACTTTACTCAAATAATGGTTCATCTTCGACCTACAATAACGTGTGTATAGCTTTGGCTACTGAAGTAAATAAAAGTAATTATTTAAATGATTGAAAACTTCATTATAATAGGCCAATTCTATATTAGATGGGTTACTGTTATGAGTCGATACCCTCTATTTAACGTACACCTCATTATAAGACCTTCCAGTTCCAGGCACCTTTAGATCGCCGAATGTGTGTAGGGGAAGGTTTGGAAAGGGGATTTTTTGCCCATCTATTCGCGAGCTCAAGATGGTCATAGTAACCCTGTTGTCGTCGGCAAGACATTATCCGCGAGGTTTTGTTGCAGTTTTGTTGCACGCGTTTCGCGGGAGTCAACGGTCGCTTGTTATTGTAAACAGTAACATAGCGCGATTGTTGGCTTGCGAATACATGGGTTTGATTGGCGAATAAATGGGGTGGGTACTAAATAAGTTGACAATTTCTTTCAATCTCAAGGGTTAGTGCTAGGCAAACGGATTTTCCTGTACCGCTGTAGTACCAAACCGTGCCCGACATTTATTTTTTGGCAAAAAATTTTTTAAATAAAAAATTTTTTTGTTAAAAACAGAATTTGCTGAGTTTAATGGCAATTCAGTTTTGAAGCTTCCTTTACATCCAAGAACTCTTGAGGAAATGAAAATTATTCGTTTCTGGTTAAAAAAGCTTTTTAAATGCAATTTTCACGAAGCTTTATTCGACAACTATATAATTAACCCAGAAATTATTGAAATACTTTTTGACAACAAATCCACTAAAAAATTACAATTTCATACTAAAATAGCTAATTTAACATATACTTATTATTTAATACATATTCACCAATCTGCGCACGCCTTTCAGGTAGTCTATAGCTTTTTCTGATGAGATAAAGTCGGAGCAGTTCAACTGAGTACCGGCTCTATAATTCAAGTGAGGGTTGATAATTTTTAATGTTTTTGGTACCATTTGATAGAGCATTAGATGGACTACAATATACCAAAAAATCAAAATTTTTTATGGATTGGTAAAAAAGTTATGATCTCTAAACTAACTTTTTCAAAAAAATCTGATTTCTCGGCACTTTATCGATCATAACTTTTTTTTACCAGCCGGTCAGGAATTTTGATTTTTTGATATATTGTAGCGTGAAAAAGAAGGATTTCATCCAAAATATTACTTTTTTTGCTGAATTTTCCGATATAAGAGGGAAAATAACATGGGATAGGGGGTGCAGGGATGATAAGTTCCCCTTTTGAGACTGAACTGAACCGCGACATATAGAATAAATGTAACGTGAGAGAAGGGAGTTGATATTCAGACCGTTTTCACTTTATTTTCAGCATAAGAATCGCATTGAAAATATTTTCAATTTTAATGTTAACCATTTGTGCATTAATCAACTTCTTTCGCTAAATTTTGGGCGTTACATCAATAGACCCCAAAACGACAATATTCTATTAAATTTATTTATAAATGAAGGATCAAGAATTCCTCAAATTCAAATAAAGGATTGTTCTAGACCTATATTTTGCAATTTAATTATAAACGTAAGTAGCCCCAGGGGGTATAGCCGAGACTCGATTCCCGAAAATCGGGATTTTTTCTCGAATAAAAAAATTCGCCGAAAATCGGAGAAATTCCCCGTTACCTGAAAATCCCCGGAAATTTTTATTTAAACTCGATTTCTCCAAAATTGGGACTATTCCGAAAGGGAACAGGTCAACGTATCGCGAGCCCAACGTACCCCAGAGCTATGACTTCGTTCAAAATAGTCGAATCCGGGACTCCTTGGTATTGTTCGATGCATGTCGACGAGCTGAATCGAACATATCAGGGCGTCCCGGATTCGATCATTTTGAACAAAGTTATAGCTCTGCGGTACGTTGGGGGTGTACCCTTCCCGAAATCGAGAATAAAAATTTTTTGTTGGCTATGCCTCCTGTCGGTTATACCATTTTATTTAGCATAAAAAATATTTTTTAGTACTTGGAAACATCATTAAACTACACAAATATTGTACCAATTATTTCATTTGATAACCTTTTTTGGCGTCGGGCTGAATTATTTATTAGACAGCCACAGCGTAAATTTAGCTATGGATTAATTATAAATTACAAAGAATACAGATGTAATAATATTAAAGTTTTGATTGAATTTAGTGAAAATATGTCTGGTACAGTTACTAGATTTGAAATTAGAAGAACTTAATTTTTATATTAATTTTTTCCTCACTTTTATTTAAATTTAATTCCGGAAAGTTTAATTTTCTATAAACATATATTTTATGCTTCCCGGAAAGTTTGATTATTCTATATTTTCCGGAAATAGTTTATTTATTAATTTAAATGAACATATTTTTGTGTTTTCCGGAAAATTTCCGGAAATTGTTTATTTATTAATTTTCCGTTATTACATTTTATGCTTTCCGGAAAGTTTGTCTATTCTCTATTTTCCGGAAATAGTTTATTTTTAATTATTCTGCTATTCCCCTCATTTCCATCCTTACAGTCCATTTTTATATTTTATCAAATTACCTTTTTTGTAAATTTTTTTTTCTTTTTTTAGTAAAAATATTTAATTTCAACATTTTTTTGCGTGAATAAATTAATTGTATTTAATATATAAATTTAATTATTCAACAATTTTATTTAATAAAAATAAAAACAAAAAGAGAATAGAATTAAGCTAAATAAATATCCCCCGTTCATTCCCTTGCTTCTCTCACACACCCTTCTTGACTCATAAAAATATTTCCTTAATTACGTATATATTTTAATTTTTACTTTTATACCAATCCTTTTGGGAGTTGTTTAATAAATTGAATGATGTGCTTAATTAAAGAATAAATTTTTTTATTTAAATTTTATGTAAATTAATAAAAGAAAAAGGTGAAGAGAAAAAGAGGAAGTTAAAAATGGAAAATATTTAAACTTGTTAATTGGTCTAAAAATGATAATTTCCGGAAAAGTAGAATAATTAAATTTATTAATAAAAATATATGCATATACACTTTCCGGAAAGTATTAAAGTTTGCAGCTATAAATAAAAACGAACAATTAAATATTCCGGAAACTTTATTTTATAGCGATAGAAATAAACTATGTTTTCCGGAAAGTTGTAATGATTAATAGAAATACATGAATATAAACTTTCTGGAAAGTTTATATTTTTCCGGAAAATAAATATAAATAATTAAACATTCCGGAAAATTTCTTTATAGAGTAGAACTCTATCTTTCCGGAAGGTTTATATTTTTCCGGAAAGATGGAATAAAAACTTTCCGGAAGGTTTATATTTTTCCGGAAAATTAACACAACTACTTATACATTCCGGAAAGTTTCTTTAGAGTAGTATAAAGAAAAATAATTCTATTTTCCGGAAAGTTTATATTTTTCCGGAAAGATGGAATACTCAATTAAATTAATAAAAACTTTCCGGAAAATATAAAACTTATAATAAACAAATAATTAAACATTCCGGAAGGTCTATTTAATAGTACACATTCAGATAAAATAATGTTTTTCGGTAAAATTAAAAACATTTTTTCCACCTGTAGATACTTTTTAGATATTTATTTAATATTACGCCATTTGAACTTTATTAAATAAATTTTACAAAATTATTTATTTTTGTCAGAATATTTTAATTAAATGACATTTTAAAAATAATTATCTTAATAAAAAATAGTACAAATTAAAAACAGATGTTTTGATTTGTTTTTACAAATAATATTTATTTATTTTGTTCTATTTTGGAATATGCAAGATAAATAATGGGGTAAAAGTGTAACATTTAATAATAGCTTATATAAATATTGCAGATAATATTTAATAAAAAAATACTTCCGGAATGTTTAATTATAAGCGGTAATTTATATTTTTCCGGAAAGTTTCCCTCTTAAATTTATTTATTATAATATTTCCGGAACGTTTATATTACTTTATTGTATTTTCCGGAAAGTTTATTTCATGATGGGTAATTTATTTTATTTTTCCGGAAAGAAAATAATAGTTAATAAAATATCTTTCCGGAAAGTTTAATTTTAGGAGAGTTTATTTATTGTATTTTCCGGAAAGAATATAATATTTAATAAAATAATTCAGGAAAGTTTATATTTTCCGGAAGGTTTTCCCCTAAATTTTATTTTTATTATTTTTCCGGAATTTTTATAATTTATTCATTTCTAAGTTTATTTCCGGAAAGTTTTATTGAGTTATATTTATAGTTATACTTCAAATACTAATTTCACCTTATGTTTTAATATTCCAACGTCTCATATTTTATTTTAGTTACTGAATATAGTATTTTAAATAATAAATTTATTTATTATTTTTAAAATTTAAACTTCCTGTCTATATATAAAAATGCTAATTTATTCTAACATTTTTATAAATCTCTTAAAATCATTTTAAAATTAAAAAAATTAATTTTAGTTAAAATATTTTTTTCTTTATTAATTTTTTTCAATGGCATTTGAAAAATAAAACAATTATTAATTTATTTATTAAATTTTATCTAAAGGTCAAATATGTTTTAGTTTAAGGTTAATAATTAATATTTTGTTTATAAAGTTTTTTAATATGTTTTCCGGTATATTTATTATATTTTCCGGAAAATTAAATATTGGAGAATTTATTTGTGTTTTCCGGAATGTTTCCTTCTTAATTTAATTTTATTATATTTTTCCGGAAAAATAAAAAAGAATATATAATTTTCCGGAAAAATAATAAATAAATTCACTAATATTTTTCCGAAAAGTTTAGGAGAATTCGTTTCCGGAAAGTATATAAGTACCTATTAATTTCTTCCGGAAAAAGTTTAATTTTAGGAGGAGTAATTTATATTTTCCGGAAAGTTTTCCTATTTATATTTAATTTTATATTTTCCGGAAAGTTTGTCTATTTAATTATATGTTTTTCCGGAAAGTTTGTCTATTTAATTATATGTTTTTCCGGAAAGTTTGTCTATTTAATTATATGTTTTTCCGGAAAGTTTGTCTATTTAATTTTATATTTTCCGGAAAGTTTGTCTATTTAATTTTATATTTTCCGGAAAGTATAATTTATTTATATAATAATTTCCGGATGTTTTTTATACACATATTTAAAAACATTTTTGGATTCTTACAAAGTTGGACACCTACGCAAACAAGGCCAGTAAAATCAAGTAAAAAGGGGTGCATTATTTTTTCTATCTTTTGATGAAATTAATTATTAATTTCGATATTAAATAGTTTATAGTATATAAACAGGTGGTTAAAATTTATAAAAAATATTGAAAAATTTTTTCTCAGACTCTAATGTCAAAATTCTCTCATTCTCGAGTGAGAGGGATATTAATGGGCGTGGCTTAATAGAATTTTAAATTTTTATTGTGGCAGAAGGCTATGTAAAAGGAAATGCCAACGATAGCCGCACATTGTATTAATAAAATAATTTTACTCAATTAATTAGCATTTATTTGTACATATTTTTTACAAGAATTTAAGGTTTTAAGTGAATAATAACAGGAAACAAGTTTTCCGGAAATTTTACATGATGTTTTCCTGAAATTGTTTTATTTTTTCGTCTACTATAAAACTTTTATTTTTCCGGAAAACTTTTATTTATTATTTTATTTTTCCGGAAAGTTTTTTGTTTCTCAACCTATTTTTCCGGAAAGTCATATTTTCTATTTTATTGTTCCGGAAGACTTATATTTATTATATTCCGGAAAATTAATTAATTTCCGGAAAGTTTATATTTTTCATCTTATTTTTCCGGAAAACTTATATTTTTCTTTTATTTTTCCGGAAAGTTTATATTTATTGTTTTAGAGGTGTTCTCTTTTCGAAAATTATTAGAAACTTTTATGGTAACTAAAACATCATTAACAACGCCCTCATGTTGCAATTGTTTTGTTTTTCCTCTAAACACTCCAACAACTAAGATAAAAATGCTACAACTACGAAAACAGCAAAAATCATTACAATTTCCATGTTTTTCTCGTTTAAAATTTTCCTCCACATTATTTTCTTTGTTACAAATAATTTTGTTTTGTGGGTGTTTACAAGCAGTTTCCTCTTATTTTGGTTTGCCATAATTTTAATACCCCAAAAATCTCATATCTTCTTCAGTTCTGGCAAGGTACTCAACTCTACCTGTTCGACAACACTTAAATTATAACCCTCATTATTTCAGCAAAATTAACCAAAAAATAAATCCTTTAAAACACCACTGGAATGCCCAACAAAAATTTTTTTCTTCCTTAAATCTTCCATTCGTAGACAAGGAGAAGGAAGAAATTAATGAAGAAAAACATTTTAAAAATGATTTAGAACAACATTCCTTTGCTAATAAACAAAAACGAACATCTATCATTTCTGAACATCTATCCGAACATGAGCATGTTTGTACAACAATTATTAGAAGGGACTATGCTCCGAAACGAGGGCATGGTTTGTTTTGATTATTTGTTTTTGAAAAACAAATGTTTACAACAAATGTTTTTCCGGAAAAACAACAATAAATGTTTTTGAAAAACAAATGTTTTTCCGGAAGGAATACTTGATGTTTTAATTAAAGTTGTAATGTCTAATGTTTCCTGAATTTTATTTTGTAAAGTTTCCGGAAAGTTTACTTGATGTTTTGTTTGTTTAATGTTTTTCCTGACACATTAAACTTCAATGTTTTTCAATTTTATTATTTTTTCCGGAAAACCTCATGTTTTGTTTGAAGTTTTAATGTTTTCCGGAATTTTTTTTTCCGGAATTTTATTCTCTATTGTTTCCGGAAAGCTTTCTAGCTTCCTTTTTGTTTATTAAAGTTTAATGTCTAATTTAAACTTTTCCGGAAAGTTTACTTGATGTTTTACTTTGTTTTATGTTAGTGTCTACTATTTTCCGGAATTTTACTCTTTCTAGTTTCCGGAAAGTTTTCTAGCTTCTTCGATGTTTTATTCAAAACCTTAATATTTAGTTTTCCGGAAAGTTTATTAGTTGTCTATTTTCCGGAAAGTTTCATAGTTTACTTGATGTTTTATCTATTCTCATTTCATTTTTAAAGATAAAGACAACAATCCTGTTGAAATCCAACAAGATGGGAGACGTCAATTTATTGCTACTTTTATTGAGTGTGCTAATTCCAAAGGAGATCAATGCCATGGAATTGATGATTTAATGTAAATTTATTTTTAAAAATAATCCTTAACCTATCCAAAAATAATATTTTTTACTAAAAAATCGCAAAAAGAAAAATTGCAATAAATAACAAAAAAATTATGTTTTAATTGACAAAATTGCTAAAAATGTTCTCTGGTACAGAGAGTGCTTTGTTCTCTATAGGGAATTAATATTAATCGAAAATAAATTATTAACAAAAAGGGGGATTAAGCGCATCATCACCTTCCTCATTAAGCATTTTATACATATTTCCATTTTTGGGGGTTAAAAAAGAGCAAGAAAAAAATTAAGAAAATGGCAAGAAAATAAGACAAAAATAGATAAACTACAAGACTACAATGAAAATAAAATGATACTATAATATAATAAAAACAAATGTAGAAACGGGAAACACAATGAAAAATAATAGGGAAAGCACAACGCTAATTTATTAATAAAAATTACAAATTGTAATTACCTAATAACAATTCCGGAAATGGGAATAGTGGGAAATGTAACTTGAAAATACAACTTAAAAATAAAACTTGAAAATAAGTGCAACCTGAAAATACAAACTTGAGAATGCAACTGGGAAATAAAACTTGAAAATACAAGCTTAAAAACTACAAACTTAAAAACTCAGCCGGAAAATTAAACTCAGAAATGCAAAACTTAAAATTGCAAACTTGAAAATTCAAACTTAAAATCATAAACTTAAGAACCACAAACTTGAAAATAAGACTTAAAAATAAAACTTGAAAACAAGTGCAACCTGAAAATACAAACTTAAGACTACAAGCTTGAAAATAAAACTTGAAAATACAAAACTTAAAAATTACAAGCTTAAGAACTGCAAACTTAAAAATAAAACTTAAAAAATAAACCTAAAAATAGAACTTAAAAACTACAACTTAAAAATTCGTTTATTTTTTACAGTTACTCTTCAAAATGTGTAACAGTTTACGAACTTCGCCCTGCCGGAATTCGAATGGAAGGCGATGTGGGGGATTTTGTTGATGGAGTAATCCGTGTACCGATAACCTGTCAATGCCAATTATACAGAAGATTATTTGTTGGAAACACAGATTAAAACAAAACGTTGAACCTCTCATCCTCACTCTTTATAAGCATTTATATTAAATCGTTATGGTTATTTGAATAAAATAAGCATGTTTCTCAGCTTTCAAGTTTATTTAAAGGTCTAGGAAGAAAATTACAAATTGTAAAAAGTTTTATTTTTTAACTAACAAAAAGGTTACAAATTGTAAAATAAATTACAAATTGTAGAATTTAATAACAATTGTAAAAAAGTTTTATTTCAAGTTTTAAACTAAAAATTACAAATTGTAAAAAGTTTTACCAAAAAGTTTTAAAAATTGTAAAAAAAAAGTTTATTTAAATATTACAAACTGTAAAAAAGTTTTAATTCAAGTTTTAAACTTAAATTACAAATTGTAAAAAGTTTATTTAAATTCAAAACTCCAACCAAAAATTTATTCAGAAATAAAATACAACTTTATTTAAAAATATTGTAGTATATGTGTAAAAGCAGTAGATAGCAGCCATAAATGTCTTTTTTTAGAGGAAGTGATTTTGATACAAAATGATAAGAAAATAATAAAATAAATTTTGAATAAATATTCTTGCATCATTAAAAATAAATAAAATTGAAGTGAAATTTAATTACAAACTTAAGGGCACGCGCATAGGCAAGGAATGCTGAACTTATAAATTGAAAAAAAATTTTTTTAATATATAATTGCACTTAAAAGTGATATAATTGCCAACAAATAAAATGTGGAGATTTGAAAAATATTATGATATTTTATAAAGACAAAAAATTTAATCTGGCAAGAAGTCAAAGAAAGTATAATAGTTATATGTAACTAAAATAGAGCCTGTCTAGGTTTTATATTTTTAAGGTTATTTATTTTTACAATTTGTAAAAAGTTTTATTTTCAAGTTTACTCCTAAATTACAAATTGTAAAAAGTTTATTTTCAAGTTTAATCTTGAATTACAAATTGTAAAAAGTTCTATTTCGAATTTAAACTAAAATTACAATTTTAAAATGTTTTAATTCAAGTTTAAACTAATATTACAAATTGTAAAAAAAGTTTATTTGAATCCTCAATAAAAATTACAAATTGTAAAAAGTTCTATTTTCAAGCTTAATCTTAAAATTACAATTTGTAATTACAATTGTTCAGGTTCTAAACTAAAAATTACAAATTGTAAAAAAAAGTTTATTTTCTAGTTTAATCTTAAATTACAAATTCTCTCCAGATAGGCTCTATTTTAGTAATTTTTAAAAAATAAATTAAAAGAGGTAAGTAAAAAATAAATATAATATTTAAATAATATTTTTTAATTTTGTTGAATCACAAATGCTCAATTAAATAAAATAATTGTAGATATTTTTCAAAGTTCTTGTTCAATTAATATAACTTTAATCCTTTTACCTTCATGAATATATTCCTTCATTTCAATTACTCCACTAATATCTGTCTGTGTTTGAACATTAACCAAAGATCTTTTTGTCGTTGTTTTTAATTCTTGTTTTATAATTTTATTTTTATTATTTTTTTCCAAATCATTATTAATCTCTAAAGGCGTTTTTTGTGGTTGAGAAGTAATGGGAGAGGTATTGTTGTTGTTGTTATTGTGTGCTTCCGCTGTAGCTTTGTTTGAAAGCCTAAAAATTATTTTACAGATTGTAAAAAAGTTTAATTGTAGGTTTTAAAGGAGAATTACAAATTGTAAAATGTTTCGGTAAATGTCCAGCTTACTGTCCGTATGTCCATAAAACTTTTTACAATTTGTAAAGCTATTTTAAAAAATTTACAAATTATAATAAGTTTTAATTTCAGGTTTTAAATAAATTACAAATTGTAAAAAAAGTTTTAATTTTAACCGTAAACTTGTAAAAAAATTGAAAAACAAAACTACAATTTGCAAAGTTTGATTTTCAAGTTTTAAAAGAGAATTACAAATTGTAAAATGTTTTGGTAATTGTCTAAGTGAAACTTTTTACAATTTGTAAAGTTATCTAAAAACGATTACAAATTGTAAAAAGTTCTTATTTTAAACATAAGGTTGTAAAACAAATTGTAAAAATTAAATTACAATTTGTAAAAAGTTTTTGTTCTAGCGAAAATAATTGTAAGTTTTTACAAATTGTAAATATTCTCTGATTTATTAAAAAAAATTCTCTACTTTTGAAGAATTCCATTTACAATTGCTCCCTTTCTCTTAAATAAATTATTTTGAACGGGAATATTTGGTGTCGCCAAATAATTGTTGTTATTATTAACAAAATTATTATTTATAGTTTCTTGAAAATTATTTTGATTTTGCTGTTGAACTTGATTTTGGGTTGCTTGATGATTGTTTCTAATCATTGTAGCAGCAGCAGAAAAAAGAACAGCAGACAACATTGGTGAACCCAAATTAACTATAAAATCAGAATTATAGGTAGAATTATTTTTAATAAATTTTCCGGAAAGATTTTAAATCAATTTATTTCCGGAAAGTTTTTATTTAAAGAATATTCCTTTGCAAAACTTGTTTCCGGAAAACCTTGTTTCAGAAAAACTTTTTTTCCGGAAAAACATTCGAAAACCTTACTTTCTAACTTTTCCGGAAAAACTTGTATAAAATATATAATCAGAATTATTATAGTCAGAATTATTTTTAATAAACTTTCCGGAAGGTTTTAAATTAATTAATTTCTTTCCGGAAAGTTTTTATTTAACGAATATTCCTTCGCAAAAACTTGTTTCCGGAAAACCTTGTTTCAGAAAAACTTTTCCGGAAAAACATTCGGAAAACTTACTTACCGAACTTTTCCGGAAAAACTTGTATAAAATATATAATCAGAATTATTATAGTCAGAATTATTTTTAATAAACCTTCCGGAACATCTTAAAACAATTTTTTTCCGGAAAGTTTCTAAATAAAAAATATTCTCTCGCAAAACATGTTCGGAAAAATTTCTTCCGTGAAACTTTATTCCAGAAAACTTTTCCGGAAAAACTTGCATGATATATTATCAGAATTTTCATGTTTTAAAAAAATCAGAATTTCTTACAATAATCAGGCGTATTGCACAAATTATTCCCCTTTTCATTATTATTCCCATTATTTCCCAAAAATATATTTGGAGAAGCAGTAGAGATTGGATAATGTCCAGAATTATTATTCATTAATTTTGGTGTTAATAATCCCTCAGAAATTAAATTATTATTAGATAAAGTCTGAATAGAATGTTGTAAAATATTCTGATTTAATTGTTTTGGACTGTGTTGTCGATTAAATAAATATTTTGGTGTATTTTGTGGAACAAATAAATTATTTGTATTTTCTTCTTTTTTTAATATAATTTCAGGATTATTATTTTTGAGTAAATTTAATTCGCAAATTAATTGTTTATTTAGAGTATTGTCATCATCTTCTAAAAAATTATTTTAATTAAGTTCCGGAAAATTGTAAAATTATTTATTTTGTTTCCGGAAGATTATAATTTTATTTATTTTCATTCCGGAAAGTTATAAAATTATTTGTTTTCTTTCCGGAAAGTTGTAAAATATATTTATTTTCTTTCCGGAAAATTGTAATACTATTTATTTTGTTTCCGGAAAGTTGTAGAATAATTTATTCTCTTTCCGGAAAATTGTAAAAATAATTTTTTCTTCCGGAAATTTTCTTTCCGGAAAATTGTGATTTTATTTATATTGCTTCCGGAAAATTGTAATTTTGTCTGTTTTCTTTCCGGAAAATTATAATTTATTTATTTCATTTCCGGAAAATTGTAAAAATAAAATAATATACCTAATAAAATACCTTTAATATTATTAATAACATCAACAATAGGAGAATCTCTTCCTTCATTGTTATCAACATCATTCTTTATTGTTACATTATTATTTCCATTTAAAAATTCATTATTACCCTCTTCCATAGGAATCTCAGATTTTGCTGCTCTTAACATTCCAACCTTTTTTAATAAAAAAATATTTTTATTGGTAAAATGAGTGATTTTTGGAGGGGTTTTTGCCAATAACTTTAAAATTTAAAAACCTAAAATTCAATTTTATATTTTATTTTGTAGAAAATTTAATTGTCTATCGAATGATACAAAAATCATTTAAATTGGTTCATCCATTCGAAAGTTAGAAAAATTCAAGTAAACTCACTTTTCTAATAGTCTCCTCTACAGCCGAATTAGCCATCTTCATTCTAGCCCTTTTATGTCCTCTTTCAAAAGTATTTTTTAAACGTTGATTGGATTCCCCAATTGTTAAGGGTGAACAAAAATGATCAGAAGCATCGGGAAAGTCGGGATCATTTATTAATAAATCATTTTTGACGGCAATACAGGGAACGGCTGGTAGACGGTCTTTTGATAGAGTTCTTTGAAGCTATGAGAAAGAAGGAAAAATAATTTTTATAATTAGGAAAATTCTTTTTTTTAAATAGTCTCTATTTCCGGAAAGTTTTAAAATAATTTATATTCTTTCAGGAAATTTATAATATTTTATGTGTTTTCCGGAAAGTTGTAACATTGTTTATTAACTTTCCGGAAAGTTGTAGTATTATATATTTCTTTCCGGAAAGTTGTGACCTTATATAAATATTCCCTTTCCGGAAAGTTGTAAAAATTATATATTTTCCTTCCGGAAATTTATTATATTATGTTTGTGTATTCCGGAAAGTTGTAACGTTATATAATTTCTTTCCGGAAACTTGTAAATTTGTTTATTCACTCTTTCCGGAAGATTGTAACGCTGTATATTCACTTCCCGGAAAGTTGTAAAAATATAATTTCCTTCCGGAAAATTATATATTTTCTTTCCGGAAAATTTATATTTTTATGTTTTCCGGAATTTCTATTCCCAAGTTATACCTTCCCTATATATTCTGATTCTAATTTCACTAATAAATTTTATTTTTTATTTACCCGATGTCGAAGAGCTCGACATGCCATACAACGATAATAAACTGTAGTCAATCCAGATTGGTTAGTGAAACGCGTTTTATAAGCAAATTCCCGCCTTCGGCCAGGATGGGAGCGAGAATCATAAATCAGAATTTGACGACCATGCCCACTTGGTGCATAAATTGGCTGAAAACCAGAATTTTAGAAAAATCAGAACAGAATTATAACAGAATTTCAGATCAGAATTTCAAAACCAGAATTCAACACAAAATCAGAATTTTAAAATCAGAAAGTCTACCTGAACAGGTGTGAAGGGCAATTCATGTCGTTTCACCACTCCTTAAATTTTTTTAAAATCAGAATTTAATAAATCAGAATTTCAAATACCCGGAGGAGCCAAAGACAATGCTGGAATTGGAGAACGTCTCTGCCTGCGTTCTTTCAAATTTTGCGGAGTTTGTTGATTCAAAGTTGTATTGGTTGAAGGAGTGCTGCTTCGACTGCTACTTCCCCCACCAGTTCCACTACATTCAGCAATTAAAGAAAGCGAGTCTCCGTTGCCTAGAAGGTGATGATGGTTTTGATGTCCGTCGTTTAAGGTTGTTGAACTGCTTGGGGCTGAACTGTCAACCTGAAAAAAATTTTTCAAAATCAGAATTTGAGAAACCAGAATTTTGAAAAATCAGAATTTATTAAAAATCATAATTTAAAAAAAAATCAGAATTTTAGAAAATCAGAATTTTAGAAAAATCAGAATTTGAAAAATCAGAATTTAAAATCAGAATTTTAGAAAAATCAGAATTTGAAAAATCAAAATTTAAAATCAGAATTTTAGAAAATCAGAATTTTAGAAAAATCAGAATTTTAGAAAAATCAGAATTTGAAAAATCAGAATTTATGAAAAATCAGAATTTTGAAATCAGAATTTTAAAAAATCAGAATTTTAAAAAATCAGAATTTAAAAATTAAATAAATCAGAATTTCTGAAAAATCAAAATCTTAGAAAAATCACTCACAGAATTTGGAGAGGTTGCAGTAGAACCAGGCACTGTAGTAGCCACCATAGAAACTGTCCCATTACCATTATTATTGCTAGAAGTGGCCGCCGCTATAAAATTTTTAAATTAATTATATCCTCTAATAAATAAGTATTTTCTACCTGCTGCCGCAACATTTCTTAATAACGCGGCCAAATCAAATTTTTGTTCCATATTTCCAAATAAATTATTATTTGTAGTAGTAGATGTAGTTGTTGTTGCTGCTGTAGCTGCATCCATTTACTACTTTGTTTTACTGAAAAAAAATTTTTTTTTGAAAAATTTTTTTTCAAATTTTATGGGCAAACGAAGAAATGTTCTTTTCCTTCTTTAAATGTCCTCCAGTAGGGATTCTCTAATAAATAGGCCGGTCAGTCGGCCATTCTCTCCCTCCCCACCAAAACATTTTCTTTTCCCCCTCCCCCTCATCATGATCATCCCCATTGACCTGGCAATTCAAAATCGCCGGAGGGGAAGAACTGTATCTACGGAAAATTGTAAAGAAAGGATGAAGGAAAGGTGAAGGAGAGTGACCTGCCACCTTTTCGGCTCTTCCCCTTCCTCCTTCAATTTGCCAGGCGACTGGCTCGTCGATCAGAAACACTCTTTCTCTGCAGGGGATGTGTGAAAAAATAAAGGATGTATATATAGAAATGAGGACACTAAAGAATGAATGGAACGAAGAATTAGGACGAAGAATTGGGGCTATATAGTTAGATCCGCGAAGAGATGGGGAAAAGCGCGAAGGAACGCTTAAAAGAAGAAAATAAAGGGGAAAAATAGGGCAAAGTGGAAAAAAGGAATTTTAAAAATGGGGGATACTGTGGAAGGATAAAGATATATTTGAAAATGAAAAATAGGGATAAAGATAAATATAAGGACATATTTCTGATTAATGAATGAATAGTATAAAAAGGATAAATAAAATTAGTGTTCGAATGGTTAGAGAATAAAATCCGGAAAAGTATGTACTATGTATTTTCAAGGAGTTTAATAATTTACGGAAAATATAAAGTTACCGGAAATGTAGAAGATTCCGGAAAATATATTTAGAATACCTATAGCGTATATTTATATTTTCCGGAAAGTTTAAATATAGAATAAAATATAATCCGGAAAGGTAATAATGTATTTTCTTTAATAATTTTCCGGAAAAAATAAATAAAATATTTTCCGGAAAGGTTTTTATTAAAACAAAGTTTATTTATTTCAAAATAAGTAAGTTTATTTTTCCGGAAAGTTTATTTTAGAGAAAATATATTTCCTGAATAAAGTTTATATTCCTAAAAGGTTGTATTTTTCCGGAAAACATTTTATTTATAACTATGAATAAGCTTATTTTCCGGAAAGTATACGTTAAAATAAACCTTACATAAATAATTTTGCAGCTTATAAAAGAGGAAATTAAAGAATACTTTTAAATTAAATTTAAATAAATAAATTTAGTAAAAATCTAATTTTGCTTTATTTTTGTCCAGTTTTTAAAAATGCACACAAGGATTTTTATGTTTGGTTTCCTAGAATTAATCGGCTCTCGAAAATAAGGGCCCCGCCCCATCGTATCCAGGCCGGCTGGTTAGTTTAGTTTTAAATGGGGTCGCGCGCTGTTGCCCTCTGGCTGGGTGAATGTTTGTGGGGATATTTATTTAGGATCGGCTGGATGGAATGAAAGAAAGAGGGGAGGGTCTAGAAAAGGAAGGGTCTCTCTCTGGAAGGGTCTCTAAAGGCTAAACGACGGCTCTGAAAATAGGACGGGAGTGTGTTCAACGTTTTTAATCATACAAGGGGCGTCCAATGCGCAAAAACGGGAACAAATTTGGAGATTTATAGAATATATTTGGGGTAAAGGGGGGAGGAAGATGTTGATCTTTTTAGATATGTTGGGTGATGAGTTGGGCAGAGGTAGGTGATGAGTTGGGAGGAGTAGTTGATCAGTTGGGTGGAGGTGGTGGTAGAGTGACCCGTTGATCATTTTAGGTATTTAGTGATGAGTTGGGTAGAGTCCGTGGTAGAGGGCAGAGTGACCCCATGAAATAAATGAAATGATTGAAGGGAAGAAAATTGGAGGAATGGGAACAAGCAATGAAGAAAAAATGAAAAAAATTAAGAAAAAAAGATCAGCCAAAAAAGGACCGCTCGGTAGCACAATTAAAAAATATACTCGCGCGCCAGCCGCTTTTTGAGAGGGCAAAAGGATAAAAAAAAAGAAAAAAACAGGGCCGAAGCCGATTATAGCTCTCTAAAAAGGCTTGGATCTCTGAAATACGGGTCAACTGAAGAAAAAAATTTTTTTGCACGTTTGGAGGGGATCACACATTTTTTGAAAGTCCGTGGAGAGGGAAAAAAGAGAGAGGTCCGTAAAATGGACGGCCCTGTGTATGAGTGAAAAGCGGCAAGCATTCCCTCTCTCTCTGGGTTAATTTGATGCCCAAAAAGTGCAGAAATTTGAAAAAAATAAAATGAGGAAAGAACATTTATTGAAGGTAGAAAATTGCTTGAAGACTGTAAGGATTAAAAAATGGACAGGGAAGAGAGGGAAGAACATTAAAAAATGTGTGCCTTTGTCCTTTAAATTGGCAGGATTATTAAAATAAATAAAGAAAAAAAATATTTAGTTAAAAGTTCACCAATCAAAGGACGAGGAATCAAGTTGCAAATTTGGTGGGGCAAATATTGAGGAGGAAAGGAAGGATTAAAATGCCGACAAAGGAGAAAATGAAGAAGGAAAATAAGTTTATATTACTTAATAATAATTTTGAAGACCCTCCAAATTAATCAAATTAAATTAAAGGAAAAATAAAAATTATTTTGAGTAAGAATAAAGATATCTGATATTTAGGTATTGATAAATAGAGAGGTGATCTTGTGGAATAATGAGTAAATTATTTAATGTTTTAATAAACTTTCCGAAAAACATCTATTAAAACATCAAAACAAATGTTTAAATTAAAATTTTCCGGAAAATGTTTAACAGAATGTTTAAATGTTTTAATAAACATTCCGGAACAATGTTTGGATGTTTTTATTAAAACTTTCCGGAAAACATCTATTAAAACAACACTGGTTAGGATGTTTTAATTAAATCTTACCGGAAAACTTAATAAAAGAATTTTAACGGAGAGACATCAAAACAAATGTTTAAATAAACATTCCGGAAGATGTTCAAACATTTAAATGTTTTAATAACTTTCCGGAAAACATTTATTAAAACAATGTTTGGATGTTTTTATTAAAACTTTCCGGAAAATCTAATAAAAGAATTTTAACGGAGAGAAAGAAGTTAAAATACTATTAAAAATCAAAAAATTGTCCACCTCAATTTAATAAAAAAACAAAGGTCATTAAAACTTTTTTTCCTCGATATATAATTTTCAGGATTTTTCACCTAATTTATATAAAACAAAAATTCTTTTATAAAATCAAAGGCTTTTGCTAAATTTGGCGATTTTTCCTTCCTTCCAATTTTAGCAAAAATCATCGTTCTTTCATTCTTTACGTCTCCGGTCAGATGGTTGCCCCAAATCCGGGAAGGGCCTTCGTCGATTGGAGGAATGGGGTTAAAGAGAGAAAAAGCCTTTTACTATAATTTAGCTATTTTATTAAATTAAGCAAAAAGGGGAAAGAATATATTTAATAAAACTTTCCGGAAAACATTTTATAAAACATCCATGAAAATGTTTAAATTAAAACATTTCCGGAAAGGCTTAGAGAAACATTTGTTTAGATGTTTAAATAAAAATTTTCCGGAAAACATTAACTAAAACATCAATGAAAATGTTTATATAAAGCGTTCCGGAAAAACATCTAATAAAACTTTCCGGAAAACATTTTATAAAACATCCATGAAAATGTTTAAATTAAAACATTTCCGGAAAGGTTTAGAAAAACATTTGTTTAGATGTTTAAATAAAAGTTTTCCGGAAAACATTAACTAAAACATCAATTAAAATGTTTATATAAAGCGTTCCGGAAAAACATCTAATAAAACTTTCCGGAAAAACATCCTTTAAATAATAAATAAAATAAACATCTAAAAAACTTTCCGGAAAAAGTTTATTTAAACAAATATGTTTATTCACTCCCAGAAATACCCCTATAATTCTTTACTTAACGTCACGGCCCTACTAACTACGAGAAAAATGGAAGGAGGAAGAAAAAGCCTTTTTAAAAAAAGAGAAAAAAGGAGAGATATTTTCAGATGCGCAAAAGTGGACAATCTCTAAACAACCAGCCGGGCACATCACAACAAGCCTAGTTAAAACACACAACTTGCAAAAAATGAGAAAATCTGGGTCAAACACTTGGGCGAGAATAGAAGAAAAAAATTTTTGGAGCAGCGGGAAAAAGAAAAGCAAAAAAATCTTTTCTGTTATTAAAAGAAAAAGCCCCCATTTACTTGCCGTCACGGAGCCTATGGATAAAAATAAATTTTCTCGTCCTTTGAAAAGCTTTGAAAAGAGGAAAGGAGGAGAGTGAATGAACCAAATCGGGAGGATAATATAGAAAAAAATCTAAAAAAAAATATTTTTATGCCGGGACTGGTTATTTTGTGGACTTTACACTAAATTAGGGAAGATATTTGTGACCCGCATAGACTGGAGCTAAAATTTGTTTTAATTAAGATGTTGATTAGAATTTTCCGGAAAACATCTACTAAAACTCGCATAAACATGTTTAGTATATTTATTAACACTTTCCGGAAAACATTTATTGAAAACATCTATTAAAATGTTCATATTTAATTAAAACTTTTCCGGAAAAGTTTATTAAAACATCCATTTAAATGTTTAGACTAAAACAATTCCGGAAAACATTTATTAAAACATCCATTAAAACATTAACTTTTAATTATAACTTTCCGGAAGGTTTTAATATTCTTTTAAAAACGTTAAGGCAAACAACCAATAGGCGAAAGATGGGTGAACGAGGAAATAAGACGGATATCTTAAGATGAGGACGAGAATGAATAAATGAGAGAATAGAGAGTAAAGAATAAATCTCGGGACAAAAAAAAATATTAAAAAATTTAACCAATCAAAAATAATTTTTATTTATTTTTGTGACTTTGATGAGCGGAAAAATAAAAAAAAAGTTAAAAAATGGGGAAGAAAAATTTCCAAGGCCAAGGACAAAAATAACCCTTTTATTTTAATATAATTCCAAGGCCAAGTTTCTTCCTTTTATTATTTTACTCAACACCAGCCGCCACGAACTAATACACCTTTTTAGGTAAATAATACAGCCGAACATTAAAAGTAATAAATAGTTTAAATTTAAAAACAATGAAGGATGTTTATATAAACATGAAAATTAATAAAACATGAAAAACATTCCGGAAAAACATTTATAAATTTGGCTGAGCGGAAAAATGAAAACATTTGTAAAACATTGAATAAAGTTTTCCGGAAAACATTTAAGTAATTAAAACTTCCGGAAAAACATCTATTAAAAACATTCAAGAAGACAAACAATTTTCCGGAAGGTGTTCATAAAACATTCCGGAAAAACATTTATAAACATTCAGTTAATATTAAAGGTTTCCGGAAAATGTTTGTTAAAAACATTAAAGAATATAAAACGTTTTCCGGAAAATGTTTATTATTTATTATACATATTGTTATTCTTCAATATTTAAAGTTTTTCCGGAAAATGTTTATAAAACTTTCCGGAAAGTTTTATCGTTTGTTTCAACAAATAATAAAAATAAGACAAATCAATATAACAATATCGGCATTTTTGTGCCTTTTTCGAGTATTAAAAAAGAATTTTTTTTGTAAGTGATGGGTGAATAAAAGGTGGACTTTAAGAGTTGTTTTGTGCATGTGAAAAGGCCATATTACTATTAGGACCATCAAAAATGATGGCCTTCAGCAGCTCATGCTGTCTCTCCCCCAACCTCCTCCCCCCTTATTTTACTACCCCCATATTTTGCCTTCTTCACACAGCATGTATTAAATAGTTATATGGAAGGGGATGGCCAGAGAAGGAATTTTAGTCTCATGAAAAGTGGTAGTGGCGTTGATGATGGCCAACCCATGAGAAATAAAACTGTGGAGAAAGTGAAGGTCAAAGCAACATAAAAATAAAAATATGAACGAGTTTTGGAAGAGTAATTTCGGCCAAAAGAAGAAAAATTTTTTTAAAGTCCTGCGCATCTCTGACCATTAATAATAAAATAAAAATAAATTTTTATAGGGGAAAGAGAGAATTGTTGCTTCCATTTTTCAGCTCCCGTCGCGAATCACCAGCCACATTGCTAAGCTTGCCTGGTCAGGCCATCACTCATGGAAAGGGCCGTAGAGGGCAAAGAGGAAGTAGTAGTAGAAAAGGGAGTATTTGATGGAATTGTAGGGGGAAGAGGATGACAGTCACAAACGCGCATCAAGGCCAAAAGAAGCATTTTAGGGTTGTTTTTGTTGTAATGACTCTAGGACTGTAATAAAATGAGTAGTAGAATGGGCAATTTAAAAATGAAAGGAAAAATAAAGATTTGGACATAAAAAATAAGATGGTGGCATTTTTGTAGGCAATGGAAAAAAATGTCCGCAAATGTTGTCCGCAAAAATAGATGTTTAAAAGTTGTTGTTAAAACTTTCCGGAAAACTTATTAACATTTTCCGGAAAATGTTCAAAAGACAATTTAATTATAAAGTTGCTGGAAAACTTTTATGATGTTTTTAAAAAGTTTCCGGAAAAACAAATAAATTATAAAATGTTTTTCCGGAAAATGTTTATAAAACTTTTAAAAACTTTCCGGAAAACATTTATATTTCTAAAAAGTTTCCGGAAAATATAAATGTTTATTAAAACTTTCCGGAAAACAATTTAATTTAAAAACATCACAACAAATTAATTATAAAATGTTTTTATTTCTGAAAAATCAGGAAAATGTTTTTCCGGAAAATGTTTAAGGACATAAAAAATAATTAAATAGTCTAAATGCCACTAAGGGTATAATTTTACAATTAATATTTAAGAAGCCAAAAATAATTATTTAAAAATATTCCCCATTCAATAGGCCTTCCTCCCCTTCAATTTCTTGCTTTTGCTGTCGTAAATTGTTGAACACTTTCAAGGAAATGGTTATACAAAAATGGCAAAACGGCAAAATAATGGGGGGAAGGGACAAAGGAAGAAGTAAAAAAAGTAGAAGATGGTCTTGCACATGCAAAAAGGTTGAAGAGATTAAAAATAAAAATAAAAATAGGGAGGAATTTGGGGGGAAAGTTGATGTGTGTGTCTGTTGATGTGATTTACGGCCAAAAATTAATTTTTTTAATTTTTAAAAATTTTTGGAAAATTTTAAAATAATTTTAAAAATAAGAAGGAAATAAAAATAAAAAATAAAATAAAAATTAATTTCTTCTCCCCACATATTTTTGTTCTAAAAAAGTGAAGGCCTAGTGATGATCGACACACCAATTCTCGGCCAAACAACAAATAATAAAAATAAAAAAATATTTTCTGTTGACTAAAATAATTTTTCTGTAAAAAACAAAAACAAAAAATGGCCAGAAATTGAAAAAAGTGGAGAGAGGTGGGGTAATAAAGTTCTGAGAGAGAAAATGAAGAAATTAAAATTACGTCAAGTTTGCAATAAAAATTTGTTTTTAAATTAACTGAGTAATGTTTTGATGTTTTTATAACGTTATGTTTTGTTTGTTGTTCCGGAATGTTTTTAATAAACTTGTTTTGTGATGTTTTAATGAACAATTCCGGAAAGACTTAAAAACATTGAGAAATAGTTTATTCCGGAAAAACTATGTTTGTCTAATGTTTTCCGGAATGTTTAAATGTTTTGATGTTTTTATAACGTTATGTTTTGTTTGTTGTTCGTGAATGTTTTTAATAAACTTGTTTTGTGATGTTTTAATGAACAATTCCGGAAAGAATTAAAAACATTGAGAAATTGTATATTCCGGAAAAACTAGGTTTGACTAATGTTTTCCGGAATGTTTATTTATTATATCTGGAATGTTTTAATGTTTTCCGGAATTTCCGGAAAGAGATTGCTAAAACATGTTTTTAACAATGTTTTCCGGAATTTTAATACCTAACCTATTCCGGAAAGATATAAACAAATTTTGGAAGTGTTTTTCCGTAAAGTTTACAAGAATACTCTCTAACTAATGTTTCCGGAATGTTTATTAAATAAATTTTAACAAGTTCCGGAAAGTTGAAAATTTGCGGACAAATTTTGCAGACAATCTTCTTTCCACTAATTCTTTTGTTTTTAATTTTTGTAAAATTACTTTTACAGTTTTACATCAAAATCGTTTAACTATATCTACCAAAAATATACTACTATATTTTCTCGTTGACACTCTTTTTTGGCCTTGACGAGAGCAACATAGAGTTTGGCTATTATTTCTAGTTTATGTGTAGGTGTGCCAGGCTCAGGCAGGTATAGAAGAAGAATAAATTTATTTTTTAATTTTTTTAGAGGGCCACGCATTTTTGCATTCGCCGAGTGATGGCCAAGGCCAACAATTTGTTGAACTGTTCCACGTACTTCTTTTTTTGTTTGTTAGTTTGAGAGAGGAAAGTATTACAAAATTAATGGCCAAAAAATATATTAATTTTTATTTTAAACAAAATAGAAAATTTATTTCAAGTTCCGGAAAGTTTGAAAACAGACCTTAAACAAGATTTTCCGGAAAGTTTTAAAACAATTTTAAAAAACTTTGACAGGAATAATTAATATATTCCAGGAAGGTTCATTAAAACACTTTTGGAATGTTTTCCGGAAAGTTTAAGTTAATTTATTTGTTCCGGAAAGTTTTTAAGTTCAGGAAAGTTTGAAATTTGCGGACAACTTTTGCGGACTATCTCAAAGAGTTTCTTTAAAATTTTTTTTAAAAATTCAAAAATTAATTTTAAAATTTTAATTAACAATTTAGTACATCTCTTCCCTTCTCTTGTTTGATCCATTGGATGAACTACAAAAAAAAATTTAGGTCAGGCATCAGTATGGATATATCTGAACATTAAAAAGCCCCCCTCCACACCTTTTAGTAGTTTAGGGGCAGATCGCAACCATTCACAAAATTTCTTTTTTTTTCTTTAAAATTAAAAGGAAACAGAAAATGTGAAAAACATCAAAATGGACGAGAATTGGAGAGAGATTTATGTCAAAAGAGCCGAACAAATCGCCGCGCAGCCAAATTGGAAGGGAGGGAAGAATGAAGGATATGCAGGAATTGGGTCATAAATTCAACTAAACTCCCGGTTCAATGCTCTCTTAAACTTTTTGAAAAAAGTTAATGCCTTAAAGCATGTAGAATAGGGAAAAAGAAAAGAAAAGGGGGGAAAAGGGACTTGAAAATTAAAAAAAAGAAGCAAAAAATCTGTGGAAATTTAATTAAATACCCCTCAAAAAAATTTAAATAAAAAAATTCGCGGCTATAATTTAAAAAAATTAAATAAGCTAGTTGAGTGCCAAAAATAGAGTGTTCTCAACAGAAAAATAAATGTTAGCACTGAACCGACCTTTTAAGTTTATTAAAATTAATTTTCTTTAATTGTCTAATTCCCTTATCTTTTTTACTTTTGCTTCTCTAATTAATTAAGCTTTTAGAATTAGCTTTTCTCGCAATGTCATATTTCACCAATAACACATTTTGCCAATAAGGATAAAAATTTGCGTTTTGTCAACAAGCCTTATTGGCAAAACGTTAAATTTTACCCTTATTGGCAAAATGTGGTATTGTCGAAATATGGAGAAGCTTAAAATCAACAAAATAGGGACACTCTGACTTGTTTTTTTCAATTTAAAGCTTTAGCTTACCAATTTAATTTAATTTGCCTTTTCCTTTCCCATTTTTAATTGATTAACCCAATAAATCAATTAAATACTTGCTATTTTAGTTAATTTCAATTCAATTTTAGAAATGTCGTTTTTTAATAAAGAAAATTTTCAAAAACTTGGAAGAGCCGCTAGCGTCCTAAATTCAGGCATTCAAGCAGTTACAGCCGCCCAACAAGTCTACCAGGCCGTTAACGGAACGGGGACGCAAAATGGGACGACTAATCAACAACTCCAACCTTCCCAAAGAGAAATTACTTTTGTCCAGCCAAATGCTGCTGAGAAGGGGGATAAAAATAAAAGTTTGTTTGGAGAGTTTAATGAAGAGGTTTTTTTGATTTAATTTAATAGAAAATTAAAAAAAATTTTTTTTTAGTTTCTCAAAAAGAATATTTCTTTAATTAATCAACATCGTCCTTCTGATGGTTCTACTCCGCTAATTTGTGCTGTTTTGCGAAAATGCCTGGATTCTGTTGTTTTGCTTTTATCTAATGGGGTGAGTATTGCAATTGGACATCGATATAAGATATCCCCACGGAAAAATACGTCAAAGGGTCTCTTATAATATGTTGTATTTTTAATTGAGGGTATCGCTTAAATAGCTCCTTTACCCCTTTGAGGAGCTATTTAAGAGAGAATTTAAAAAAACGTCTTTAATTGAGGGTGTATCTCCCAGCGATATGCATTTTCGCCTTTAGTCGAATTTTGCCGTTTTTGATGTTTCGCCTTTCCTAATTTGCTTTTTAAAATCAGTTTAGGCAGACCCCAGGTATCTACATAAGGCTCGAATATCTTTTAAATTTCTTTTAAAATTTTTATTTTTCAGGCTTCTGTAAACGCTACCGATTCAAAAGGAAATACAGCTTTGCATTATGCAGATTCACCTCTAATTGTAAAAGCATTAATTATTTTCAGAGCCGATTTGAATATTAAAAATAAAGCTGGAAATGATTGTTTTTCTGGTAGAAAAAGGTTTTGTTAATTTTCTTTTAAATTCTGTGGGGAATTTTTGTGGGAAATTTTTAGACAATTCAGTTTTTGGAGTTATTTTTAAATTTTATTTAGATTAAAAAATTTTTTCCCAGTCAAAAGTCCTCCAAAAATAATTTAAAAATCAAATTGAAGCAAAATATTACAAATTAAATGAATTTACCATGACTGTGAATCGAACCTTCGTGCCTCTTCATTTTTTTTATAAGAAATCCAAAATTTTTCCGACTTAACCAAAAAGCCTATATTTGTTATGAAAAAATAATTTTTAGGCAAAAAACTACCAATTAAATATTTTTACCATGACTGGATATCGAACCCTAGTGCCCCTCTTTAATTTTTATAAAAAATCCAAAAATTTTCCCACTTAACCAAAAAGACCATTTTTCTTCAAAATTTCGAAAATTGCCGGGTTAAGCTTAAATAAACATTTATTTATTCATTTTTAGGCAGGAAATTACTCAAATTTTATTAAAAGCCAAACTTTGGGATGAACTAAAAATTATTGAAAATGCATCAACCACAACTTCCTCTTCACTTCAAACAAAAATAAATGAACATAAACAACAAATAGCCATTCAATATCAATTTAGAAAAGATTTAGAAGACAAAAAACGATCCCTTAGATTGTTGTCTTTGGATGGGGGAGGGATTAAAGGGCTTGTACTTATTCAGGTTTTTTTTGTTAAATTTATTTTGGTTAAAAATTGTGAGGGCTATGTTAGTTGTTTTGGCAAATTGGGGAGTTTTCGGGGGGTGGTTTTCGAGATTCGATATCAATGAAAATTTTTGATAAATCAGCTGATATTCGATTTTTTTCAAATATATCGAATATGCAATTTGAAAAATAAAAAAATTTAATAGCCCAATAAAGCATTATTTGAATTTTTCCTGTGGTTTCATCGATAATTAAATTTATTCTTCATACTGGGTATTGAACTTATGACCCCTTAATTTTTATCTAAAATCTAAAACATTCTAAAAAATTTTAATTTTAAAGATATTGATGGAATTGGAAGATATTTGTGGAAATACTGAAAATTTTGTGACAAAAAATTTTGATTGGATTGCTGGGACGAGTACTGGAGCGGTTGATATTTTATTTTTTAAACGATTCTGTTGAAATTTTTTTTTCAGATTTTGGCCCTAGCATTGGCAGACGGATATAAACCAATACAATGTTTACGTCTCTACTTGCGATTAAAAGATGAAATTTTTCTAACTCGTTCAAATCCTTTGGTGCCTTATCCTGATGAAAAAATTGAAAAATTCTTGAAAGAAAATTTTGGAGAAACTCGGAAAATGGCTAATATTAAGAATGAAAAATTGAAGTAAGGGAAAGGTTTTTTGTTACTACTTAATTTCTTTATGAGGTGGCCCCCAATACTAGATATCTCTTATTTAGTTGGTTGGGGGATAGGGGAGCTAAAGGCGTGCTGAAGTGGAGGAGGGTGCTTATACTTTCTGGATATCCCTTTGGAGAGGGGAGAGGAGCGCCGCAGGCGAAAATTTTAAGAATTTTGGGGGCTGTAGAGAATTTTGAGGAATCCAAATATAGGCTGACCTGTTTACGATACACCTCATTCCCAAGGGTATATATGTGGGACTTCTCTTAAAAATTAATTTTTAAATTTCCAGAGTTTTTGTTACAGCAACAAAAGCAGATCAAATTCCTATAAAAATGATACTTTATCGAAGCTATGATACTCCGTTGAAAAAACCAATAGATCCTTTACCTCAAAATGTAAATATTTGGAAAGCTGCTAGATGCTCTAGGTTTTTCTTCTTTTAACGATTTTAATAATTTTATTTTAATTTTTTAGTGCCGCTCCAACCTTTTTTAGTAGCGTAAATGGAGTTATGGATGGAGGTTTATTTTTTTAAATTATTCTATTAAAAATTTTAATTTCTAACTTGTCATATTGGGATGAATTTAGCATTTATCACCGTGAGAATTTAGTTTTTAATTTTTAAAATTCTAAATTTAGCCACTTCGTCATATGGGGGAAATTTGGACATTTCGTTACATATGGGATTATCCGTTTCGTCACATAGGGCAAAGGAAGCCTTTTGTTACAAAGGAGAATTTAGCCATTTTGGCACACAAGAAATTTTTACTTTTTACTATTAAATATTAACACTTTTTCAGGCCTAATGGCAAACAATCCTGGAGTTACATTACTTTTGGAAGTTTTTAAAAATATTGATTTTCAAGCATTGAGTGACAAAAATGAAAACCCTGTGAGTGAAAAAAAATTTTTTTATAATTTTTTAAATTTTTAAGCCTCCCGATTTGGCTTTTATGCTTTCCCTAGGTACAGGAAAAAGCCCCGAAGTCGCTGTACCAATACCAGAATTTTCTCCTGAATTGGGATTGCAAGGGATAATTCAAACAGTGCAGTCACTTAATAATTTGAAGTCAATACTTGTTGAACAGGTTTTTTTTTAATTTTAAAACTTGTCTAGTTTATGCTTTTCCCATAAGTTGTGGTTGGCATATGGATTTTTATTTTTCATATTAGGGCTTGGACTTCTTTAATTTTTTGACTGGGATAATAATAAGACTGGACCAGATCTGTGCGAGACACCAACTTTATTTTTTTTACGACGAAAAGAAACAAATTAAAAAGCGTTTCGTAATGAAACAGAAAAATTATTCGCACAGATCTGGATCGGACTGAGAAGGGGGTTCTCGATAATTGAGATTTTGGCGTCATGGTTGGGTCTCTAGCTGGAACCATCAAAATTAAAATTGGTCCCAGACCTTATACTATTAGGGTTTTGCTTAACTCCCCATCTAATACACAAAATTTATGGGACGCATAAACTGGACTAGTCCCTGAATTTTTAAAATTTATTTTTTAAAGTTATCAACTTCTGACGGTCAAGTGGTGGAAATAGCTCGTTATATGTCACATACTCGTCGTGTCCCATATTTCCGTCTTACGCCTTCATTAAATACAGATATTCAGTTGGACACTGTGGACAATACTTTGCTTATTGAAATGCTTTGGACTACCAAGGTTTTGAAAATTTTGGAATTTCTAGGGGGGGGGGGGGGTCCCTTAGGTTTCTGGGATTCCCAAAAAAAATTTTCGAATTTTTAGAATATTTTTGGTTTTAAGGAATATATAAGAGAAAAATGCTCAACTGATGTCTTGTCTTTGTTGGAACTTTTTTCTGCATTTAATAGAGGCAACGAATAAATTTAAAAAGGAATGATTCTAATATTGACGTTAAAAGTGCAATAAGTACATTTAATTATTTATACAACGAAATACTAATTTCTGGATACCTAATTCCTAAAAAAATCCTCCATATTGTGTCGCAAAAAAATTTTTTTGAGATATTTATTAGAGTTGGAGAACCGAACCAGAAACGAAACCTGCAAGTTGAAAACAGGCAATAAATTAAAACTCGAAAATCCAAAAATAATATTTTTGCGGCACATTTTTTTATATTAATATGCCATTTCAAAAATGCTTTAACCCCTTTCTTTTTTAAATTATTTCCTATAGAATTTCCTTTCTTAAATAATTATTTCGCATGGATTCCTTTTTTAAATAATTCTAAAATCACTTTAGATTTTTATTAAGTATTTATATAACGTCAAACAAATCTTTAAAAATCTGAAAATATGATAAAAATTTTCGGTCATTCATTTTTTTACATTTAATAAAATTCCTCCTACCAAGAAATTGTTTAACCCTAAAATTTAAATTTAATAAATATTAAAAAAATATTTTTTAATACCTTTGGTATATCAGTTTCAGCCATTCTTTTTGCAAAATTTTCAATTCGTTCAATACCAATAACTTTAAAAAAATTTTTATTAAAAAATATTTTGTCCGCAAAATATTTGCGGATTAAAAATTTTGTCCGCAAAATATTTGCAGACAAATTTTTTTAATTTTCAATAAATTAAAAAATTAACCTACCAGGATATTTAGTCAATTCTCCATCCGCTACAATTTTTACATCTTTTTCGCTTCCCTCACTCGTTAAAATTGATAAAAACAATGTTTGTTTATCCAATAAATTTTTTTCTTCCAAAAATGCTTTTAATTCAGAAAATAAATTTTTTTCTGATTCAACTTCATGAAATAATTTAATTTTGTGGTCGGTTACTGAACCTTGAATCCATCTTTAAATTATAATTTTTTTAATTTTTTAGTGAAAAACGACCTTTAAGGTTTCGTTTTTTTTAAATTTGGTTGTCATTAGGGTGAGAAGAGCTGCCTAAGCGATACCCTCTATTTAATAGACACCTTGGATAACAGTCAAACCTCTCAATAAGATACCCCAATATTAGATACACCCAATATTAGATTTAGGATGCGATTATAATTTTTGAAAATTTTTGGTTGACCACAGGGCTGTGGGGAGGGAGCTTATGCTAGGTGATACCCTCTATTTAACACACCTCATTATAAGATAAAATTTCAGATTTTTCCCAAGGGGCATCTTATGATTTTAAAAATTAAATTTAAAAATTAAAACCTAATAGCTTCCCTAGCATTTGCACTATCCTTCTTTAATTTATCCAATTTTGCCAAAACTGAACGTGTAATGATTGTATTTTGTTTTGCTGTTTGACAAAGTTGATCCATTAAAGTTAAACGTTCTAATAATACGTGGTGGTCAGGCGCAATATAAACAGGGATTTTGCTAAGAGTTTCATTCTATATATAAATAAAAAATCAGAATTTAAAAAAAACTCCCTTACAATTTTGCTGACATGTGCAGAATGTAAACGAGAAATTCCTTCCATTGTTTTTCGTTCTTTTTCGCCAATATTGAATGATGCCAATTTAAAATATTTATCAAAAACAATACCAGCAAAGCGTGCAGAAATTATATTACGTATATAATACACCTTTATTAAATAAAAAAATTTTTGAAAATCCGCAAAAATTTTGCGGACAAGAAAAATTGTCCGCAAAAAATTTGCGGACAATTTTTTTTAATTTTTGAATTTTAAAAATTAAAAAATCATATTAAAAAACTAAAAAGACATACCAAAACAACAACAAATAATTTATTTCCTTTATTTTCATCAAATTTGTACATGAACCAATTTACAAGGGCACGTCTTTCCGAAGAGCTCGAAGGGTCTTCTGCTTCCATTAGAGGTGAAATACGAGTAATTAAATCATTTAAAAGTTCCACAAATGTTTTTAAAATGTTTTGGTATTGCTAGAAAAATTTTTGAAATTAAAAAAATTTTGAAAATCCGCAAAAAAATTTGCGGACAATTTTTTGCGGATTTTTCTTGTCCGCAAAAATTTTTTTGCGGATTTTACCTAAAAAAATTAAAAAAATCTTACAAGTTTAAGTGAAACAGAAAGTTTTTTTATTGTAAAATATTCAGCACAATTACTAATAAATTCAGAAACTATTATTGCTGATTGCCAAATCGTTGTTAAAAAAGTAATATCATCCTCTTCTTCATTTTGTTGATTATTTGTTAAATTATTTTTAATTTTTTCTTCCTTTTCATTTTCAGAGTTTGAGGAGGAAGAGGAAGACCTTTAAAAAAATAAAAAAAAAATTTAAAAATCCGCAAAAAATTTGCGGACAGTCCGCAAAAAACTTGCGGACAAATTTTTTGCGGATTAAAAAATTTTTTGCGGATTAATCAAAACCCGGGGGTTACAAACTAAAAAATCGGCATTATTTAAAATTAAAAATTTTTTTTCCAAACCTTTCCTTCTTTTTCCTTCTCCTTTTATTAATTTGAACATCCTCTTCTTCATCATTTTCCTTCGCAGCAAAAAGTCTTCTCGCCTCTTCCAAAACATAAATTAATTTTTGACAAGTAAAAGAAGTAATGTAACGAAAATGTTCATCCGTTGCTAAAAAATTTGGAAAATTAGAAAAAAAATAATTTTAAAAAATCCGCAAAAAAATTTTGCGGACAATTTTTGCGGACAAAAATAAAAATCCGCAAAATTTTTGCGGACAAAAAATTTTAAAAAAGAAACGTTGATTTTGTAGAGCAAAAGAAACAGCCAAAGTGCAACAATTAATGTGTTGTAAAAATGTTTTAAAATTATTTGAGGTTTTGAATGATTCAAAAAGTTTGTCCATTTCTTTACGGGATTCTTCAAATTGTAAACGACTAGAAGGAAAAAATTTTTTAATTAATTTTCAAAAATAAGTTAGACATTATAAGATACCCCCATGAGACTGAAAATTTTTTTTGTCTCTTATAATGAGCTGTCTATTAAATAGAGGGTATCGTTTAGACTCCTCCACACAGCGGAACTAAAATTAAAAAACGTCTCTTAAATAGAGGTGTATCTCATATTGAGGGTATGTTATAGAGAGGTCTGACTGTATAAGATACACCCAATACTGGATACACCTCAATTTAAGAGACGTTTTTTTTAATTTTGGTTGGCTACTATGTGGAGGAGCAGCTTAAGCGATACCCTCTATTTAAGTGACACTTCGCTATAAGCGACTTTTTTCACCTCCAAGGGTGTGTCTTATAGAGGTGGTTTTTATAAAAAATTTTTGTTACCTAAATTCAAAAGCCACAATATTAACAAATTTTAAAGTAACATCAAATTCAAAATTAGCAGAAGAATTGTTGTTGCTTGTTCCCTCTTTATTTGCCAATAAATCAATATTATTTTGTATTCCATCAGAATTTTTGTCAGCTTTTTTGTGTTGAGCTAGTGAACGTAGAAAGAGGAAAAAGGCTAAGTTTGGGTCGATTTTGGAGTTTAATAAGGCTAACTGAAAAAATTTAAAAGAAATTTTTTTTTGAAAATTTTTAGAAATTTTTTGTGAAATTTCAAAAAATTTTCACAAAATTCAAAAATTTCCGAAAAAAAAAGTTTTTAAAAAATTTTCAGAAATTAAAAATTTTTGAAAATTTTTATTAAAAATTTTTTTGAAAATTGCTAGAAATTTTTGCAAAATTGTTTGTGAAACCTCAGAAAAATCTTTGAGAAATTTTCAAAAAAAATTAGAAAACTTCAAAAAAATTTTGTGAAAATTTTCAAGGATTTTCCAGAGAATTTTTTCAAATTTTCAAAAAATTTTTTCAAAAAAAAATCAAAAATATTCCAAACCTGACTATAAGGCTTCCAATTTTTCGGGTCACAAAACGCCGCATTAACATAACATTGTTCACAAATTGTAAAATCCCTTTTATCCTCTCCACAATAAATAAAAGAGTATCGATACAAGTCTCCCAGCCACAAAAGAAGAGAATGTTTGAAATCTTGAAATTTTGTCAAAAAAGAAGAAATTTGAGAAATATTTGATGAAATGAAGATTTTTAATGATTTAATTGCGTTCTCTTCCTTTTTAAAATTTAAAAATTAAAAAAAAATTTTTTTTTGTCCGCAAAAATTTGCGGATTTTTTTGCGGACAAACCAAACCCCGAGGGATTTTAAAATTATTTTTGCAAACCTGATTAGTTTCTTCAGTCAAAAATTGTTTGAAGACTTGTTCCTCGTTAAAAAAATGTTTAAAGGCAGCAATGGGTTTATAACAACAATAAATCCAAAATATTTCCAACGCTTCACGGCGAAAAGTAGAATATTGGGCAAGAGATTCACATTCTTGGGATAAACTGGAAAAAAAAGGTAAAGGTGTTAGAGAAGAGTCAAACTTCGATTTTAGATAAACACAAATGAGTTGGGGTTCAAATTTTACTCTTTATTAAAGAAAGTGAGCAAGACACAGCCACTCTAAAATACTAAAACTTTAATCAGCTATAACTTTTCGATTTGGGGGGTCAGGGCCAAAAAATGGCAATAGATTATCGACCTAGCTCTACACAATGGTGTAAAAATAAATACTAAAATTTTAAATACAGTCGAAATGTTTCCTTTTAAGTATTATTAAAATTTTCAGCGCCATGGGCAGAGATAGGTCGGGCTTTCTCAATTTTCTTATGATCGGATTGGTCAGATTTCAGGAAAATCGACTCATATCTTGACTAGGGGGGCTTAATAAGGGTCAGTGACAGGCCTAATTTAAAAATAGCCAATAAAATTATTTTAAAAAATTATAAAAAATAACCTTTGCCTCAACCTCAAAACCTTCTCATCTTCCAGCATTTGTTCAACTGTATCAATCTCATTATACAGCCTTTTAATTTGACTCATACGATATTTAACACACCTAAAATTAAAAAAAAATTTTCTAATTTTTAAAAATTTAAAAAACCGAAAAAGTTGAACAGCTTCGTCTGACGAATTGTCACCTTGAGGTATTTTGGAGTCCATTTCGAAAAAAATTAAAAATAAATTTAAGGAGAATTTTTAAAAAATATTAGAAATTAAAAAAAATAAATTTAAAGGAACACAAGAAAGAAATATCAAAATTTATTAAGAATCAGAAAACAAAAATAAATCAAAAAATAATTATTTAATATGTATTACTGAAAGAATAGGCAAAAAAAATTTGTTAAGATTTTAAAAGAATATAGATAGGCAAAAAATTGGTATTTTTGCGGACACTTTTTGCAGACTTTATTTGCGGACAAAATTCTGCAAATTTTATTTTTGCGGATTTTTCTTTTTGCGGACAATGTTCTAAAAATGCGTGTAAACCCTTCCAGTTATAAAATACATATCAAATAAAATTAATTTTTTAACGGCACAATTAAATGAGCATTCTTAAATAAAATAATATTGTAATATTATTAAAGCCAAACTTCCAACAATTAAACATAGTGTCAAAAATTATTTTAAGTAAAATGAGCGATTTCGCCAGCGGTATTTTTTCCAAACTGACAACAAGGCTTTAACTGCTTCCCACGCCATTTGCAAAATGCAATTCCAGCAACCACACTAACAAGAATCACAGCTCCAGTAGTAATAGCAATTCGACGCCAACGATTACGGCCTCTCTCTGTCTCGTCAGAAATTACCTTTAAAAAAAGAAATTTAATGAAGTTGGATTAAAAAAGTCTGGGCGACTGATTTTCGAATCCACAGAGTTGGGCCTAATCCTGGACATGTATAGAAGCCTAGGAAACGACCAGGGTAAAAACTAAAAAGCCCATGAATGACTGAAACAAGAAACTTCCCAGAAAGCTGAAAAATGAGGCACTGGGCAGTGATAAAGATCCCGGCCGGATCCTAGGCTACTCCTTATCCAAAGCTACTACCTGTAAGAAGAATGAACCTAGGAAAAAACAGGGGGCCAAAGATGTCAAAAACTGATAGACTATGAGGGTAATCTTGTGCTTTACTGGTCCCTAGAAAAAAATGTGGTAAAAGTACTTTTTCGATATTTTTGAGGTCTGCCAGTAGGTAATCGAGTGTGCTGAGTTCGAATATGAGCTTAGAATTTGTTTATTTCGAACCCCGGACCCGAATTCGACCATGTCAAACATGGGGTAAAAATTTGAAATTTCAAATTTTATATCTAATCGGACTAGACCCTTCGAGTTGAGTCGATTGGTATCAAAATTATTACGTTTCGACATCTTTAGACTAAGTTATGCTGTCTGATTTGTATACTGAGGTCTAACCAAGCGTGTATTTAATTGATCATAACTTAGTCTAAAGTGCTCGACGTGGTCGAATTCGGGTCCAGGATTCGAAATAAACAAATTCTAAGCCCATATTCGAACTCAGCACACTCGATTACCTACTGGCAGACCTCAATAATATTGAAAAAGTACTTTTACCACATTTTTTCTAGGGACCAGTAAAGCACAAGATTACCGACTATGAGTTCAAGTGACCGCTTTAGACTTTGCTACAACTCGCTAAGAAATGCTCGGCTCTGGATTCAGGGAAACCCTTTAACTTTCCCTATCTCAATTTTCAAAATTCAAACCTCAAAATCTTCCGGAACCGCCGTCTTCGTCTTTTGCCCTTGTTGATCCTTCCCAGCCTCTTTCTTTACTTTATCCTTTTCAGTCAGCATTGAAGTATGCTTAAGCGGCGCTGAAAAATATTTTAAAATTTTATGACTCGAAGAGAAAAAACAAACCAAAATCCTTCCCAACATTGTCGAAAACCTCTGGAGGTTCAATAAAAGGCTCAACATCCTTCTCTTTTTTAGGCATAACTGGAGGCAAAGATTTGCTTTTGTTGTCGTCCTGAATGTTAGAAGAAACTGGAGACAAAGGTTCAGGAGACAGTTTGGCTTTAGGAACCGACGGCAGCTTCGGGAACTTTAAATTAATCTAGAGAGGAATTTATAAAATTTAATTTTAATGAGGGGACCGAGAAGGAAAAAGGTTAAAATTCAAGTTCGTACCTCTCCTCCTTTCTCTCCCTCAAGGTACTAAAAATAGTCAGACCTAGCTTCCTTCCTCAACTATAATCTATTCCGCTATGGCATACAATCAGTCAATAAAAGAATAGAGGCTTCTATGGGACAAATTGTAAGTTTTTGTTAAGTGGGACAAAATGTCTTTTTTCGATACCCTGAGGAAGAGAACAGGAAAAGAGAGGACGAACTTGAATTTTCGAATAAAAGCAAATTTCAAGTCCAAAACTAGATTAAATTTTGAATTTTTATAAAAGTTTAGAAAAAACCTTAAAGTCAATATCATCCGTTGTCAAATTTGTCATTTGTGGTGGTTGAGCATTAACAACATCTTTACTGTCTTGATTCTCAACTCTTGGGGGAGTTTGGGATTGCTCAGACATTGAGAATTATTATTATTTAAACAAAAGCTAAAAAATATAGAAATTTAAAACAAAATAAGGAAAAAAATTTCTGAAAAACTTTTAACAAATTATAGGAAAAAAATTGAGCGCTCTATTTGACAAATTGTAAGTTTTTGTTCAGTGTGACGAAATGTCTATGGACGAAACGTAATCCCCTAAAGTTATTTAAGGTAGGGGACGATTCATCGCCAATTCAGTATCGCCAATTCAGTATCGCCGATTCAGTATTGGCCGATTCAGTATTTGGCTTTTTTGGCCATAACTTTTTGCTCGATCAATATTGTGGGAATTATTATATATGATTTGATAGGCCTCGGAGTGCTGCATCTTTTTCATAATTGGACTGACCTGATCTTATCACTCTACAAAAAGTTATCACTGATAAACGACGTCACAGGCATAAAGAATCGGTTTTCACGCTGTAACTTTTTTTGAGATCATCAGATCAGATCGGGCCAATTATGAAAAAGATGTCGAATCATGAGACCTTTCGAATGATATGAGAATTATTCAAATCGGTCGAATATCAGGAAAGTTATGGCCATATACTGAATCGGCGGATACTGAATCGGCGATACTGAATCGGCTATACTGAATCGGCGATACTGAATCGTCCTTAACCGAGTTATTTAACATTTAATTTCTCTACTAACAATAATATTTTATTAATCTCTTTCTCTAATTTCTTCACTTAAATTTTGTTATGGGACAAATTGTAAGATTTAGTTCAATGTGATAAAATGGCTTTAGACGAAAAGTGTGTTTTGTCGAATTTCTTTTACATTTTATTTCTCTACCAACCATAATCTTTTTCATATATCCTTCTCTAATTTCTTCAGTTAAAAGAAGACTTTCTCTAATTTTTCATTATGTCAACTTTCAATTTGTTTGGATTTATTAAATTGTAAACAACTATTTTTCTTTCTTTTCCTCAACTATTTTTCGTAAAATTTGTATTAAATTAATACCTTTTTGATTGTTTTTAGGCTTTTAGAGTTGCAATTTCTTAATAAATTTAATAAAAATAAAGAATGAATCGAAAGGATGATCAATCTACTTCTTCTCTACCAACCAGAAGATTAGTAGGAGCTCCACCAAGTGCCGCGGTAATGAGAATTGCAGGTTTCTTTTGGTCTTTTTCGGTAATATTCAATTTCGTTCCCCCCCTCCTTTTTTCCATCCTCAAAGTATTAAAAATGGTCAGTCTGACTTAAGTTATAGAACTCGTCGAGCTGAGTCGAATGACACTAAAATCAAAAAAATCCGACTTGATTTGACCGAAATACAGACCCCTGAAAATTGAACAACCATAGGGGTGATTTTTTAGAATAAAAATTTTTTATGGAAATGATAGCTCATTCGAAAGAGCTCGTCGAGCTGAGTCGAATGATACCGAAATCAACGTAATCGGACCAGTTTTGACAAAGTTATGGCATTATTTAGACCTACCGGAGTCGGCAACCTTATGTCATAACTTTGTCAAAACTGGTCCGATTACGTTGATTTCGGTATCATTCGACTCAGCTCGACGAGCTCTTTCGAATGAGCTATCATTTCCATAAAAAATTTTTATTCTAAAAAATCACCCCTATGGTTGTTCAATTTTCAGGGGTCTGTATTTCGGTCAAATCAAGTCGGATTTTTTTGATTTTAGTGTCATTCGACTCAGCTCGACGAGTTCTATAACTTAAGTCAGACTGACCATTTTTAATACTTTGAGGATGGAAAAAGGAGGGGGGGAACGAAATTGAATATTACCTCTTTTTCTAGTTAATTTAACTTCAAGTTGCAGCAAAAGAATTGAAAGTTGAACAAAAGAGGCGTCCAATAAATCCAGTAGAGACTGAGGAAAGTGCTGATGATGATTCCGAAACTGAAAAAACTGCTGAGGAAACGGAGGAAGTTGATGATTCTAAAACTAATGAGGAACAACCTCCTGAAAAAAAGCGAAGAAAGAGAAGGAAGAAAAGAATAAGGCTTACTGATACGGGGTTGAAGACAAAGAAGAAAGTTGATAAGAAAGAGAAAATGGTGCCAGAACAGAAGGATAAGCGGTAAGGGGAATTTTAGATTAAAGTCGACATCATTTTACTCACTTTATTTACCTCATTTTAACTTTTACCAGATTCTTGGACAATTCTAACACGGAGAGGTTGCGAGGTGTCCGAGCTAAAAACGGTCGAGACCGGGCTCATTCGATAGAGAATATGCCCTTTTTAGCAAGGATTTTTTGCCGTTTTTGCCCGTTTTTTGATTTGGCCAAGATATGGCCCTCCAAAGTCCCAAAATTTGCCATAATTTTCCCCCCTCAAATATAAACATTAAATAATGGTTTAATTTTGTTTGCGTTGTGGTCTAGTGGTGAGTGTGCTTGACTTACACTTTTTCTCTAAAAAGTTCGATTCTTTTTCGGGTTTTATTATTTTATCTAACTGTTTTAAACATTATTTATTCCTTTTTCAACAAAAAAATTTTTTTTTGTTTGAAAAAAAATTTTTTAATTTTTTTTTAAATTTTTTAAAATTTTTAAATTTAAAAAAAAATTTTTTAACTAAATTTGCTATAAAACTAGAACTATTTCAAACAATTAGGTGTATTACATCCAAAAGGGGACGATAATGAAAAACAACGGATCGGATGATCGAATTCTCCCGGAGAATCTTCTCTCCACCCAATAACTCGTCAGAATAAAGTTAAAAAAAATTTTTTTTTTAATTTAAAAATTTTAAAAAATTAAAAAAAAATTTTTTTTCAAACAAAAAAAAATTTTTTTGTTGAAAAAGGAATAAATAATGTTTAAAACAGTTAGATAAAATAATAAAACACGAAAAAGAATCGAACTTTTTAGAGAAAAAGTGTAAGTCAAGTACACTCACCACTAGACCACAACGCCAACAAAATTAAACCATTATTTAATGTTTATATTTGAGGGGGGAAAATTATGGCAAATTTTGGGACTTTGGAGGGCCATATCTTGGCCAAATCAAAAAACGGGCAAAAACGGCAAAAAATCCTTGCTAGAAAGGGCATATTCTCTATCGAATGAGCCCAGTCTCGACCGTTTTTAGCTCGGACACCTCGCAACCTCTCCGTGTAAGCTTTGTGTCCCCCTCCCCTCCCCACTTTTTTGTAGAACGTATTTACACAGAAATTCCTATTGGCCTTGAGTCAGGTAAAAATCAGGGAACATGGAACTGCCTTGATTTTGCCTTTGGTTTTAGGAAAAATCAAGGCCTAAAATCTGGCCAGATCCAGGCCTATCTCTCATAGAGACGTTTGACTTTATTTGTTTATTTTTTATGAAACCTTCGAATTTTTACTTTTGGCTATCTAAAAGTTTTTCTTATGTTAAAATCATTTCTTTATGTTTCAGAATAGAAGACGACCAAGACATGGACAGCGATCCTCCTAGTGCCAAACCAGAACCTCAAAAAGAAGAGCCTTCTCCTCCAAAGCCTAAAGAACGACCTAAACTTGAAGATTTGTCACATTTTCAGTTGTTTTGTGACAACATATTAAGAAAACTGGTCATGAAGGATCCTGAAGGATATTTTGCTAATCCTGTTTCTGAGTATATTTCAAATTATATTTTTCTTTTTGGATAGCCCAAAAATGAGCTTGGTGCCAGTTATGGTTTTTTGATTTTCATGGACCTTTCTTGGCCCTTTGTTGAGTCTTTGGCTTAATTTTGGCGGTATTTGACTCAGTTGTCCTTATCGGAGTAGGGGACTTCCGACGGAATTTTACCCATGGGAAAAATAGCTGACATGAGAAGAGGGAAGGGATATCCAAAAAGTACCTTATTTTTCTTCAAAAAATTTTTTTCTGTTCAGTGAAGAAGCTCCAGATTACAAAAATTTGATTCAAACTCCAATGGCTTTTGCAATAATTCGAGACAAAATTGAACAAGACGAATATCCCCAACTTGCCGCTTTTCGTTCAGATGTTGAATTAATTGTTTCAAACGCCCAAACTTACAATCCTGAAGGTTCTCTTTTTTATTTGGCAGCAGAAAAACTTTCAACTTTAATCAAATATTATTTTTCTGAAAAATATTTGCTTTATTTAATTTATGCGTTACCTTTTGGAAGAATGGTTCCAATTGAAAGAGTCGGGGTTAAAATACCTAATGAAAGAAAAAGAATTCAAAAACAACTTATTGCGAATACAAGAGAAAGGGAGAGGATGAATGCTTTGATAAAGTAAGAAAAATTTTGTTTATTTTTGATTGATCGGTTTAATTTGAAGGCCAAGGTTTTGGTATTTTTTCATAGCCAAGAAATTTCTCGAGCTTTTTTGGGAGTTTTTCGAGACTTCAGGCTAATGAGCTTGGACACATATTCAAAAAATTTTAATAGAGAATACCGAGTTTAAATAAGCTAAAGTTAGGGTTTCTTCTATTTTATTGGTAGTCCAGCCTATGATATTTGCGCTTCCTGAGATTTTTCTGGACTCCAAAACAAAGACAATATCAGCCCATTCCTGGACTTTTTTAAAAATCCCAATCTCTAGAGAATCCATTATTGACGAAATTTCTGTAACGGTTTACTCTTTATTTTTAATTTTTCCATTTTATTATAAAAATTCTTTTTTTAGAGATACAGAAACTCCACGAGATATAATTGAATCTGCTCCAAAATTTATTCGAGTATGTTTTTTTCGTTAAAAATAATTTTTTTATTAAAGAGTCGTTTAACTTCACGTCGTCCAAATTGCAATTTAGTTTATTTTGACAATAAAAATGGAGCTTTGGCATTAAATTTGCTTACTTCAAATAATTTGGAAGAAGAAGAGGGATATAATGAAGAAGGAGGAGGAAATTTCCCACAAAAATTAAAACTTGGAGATTTGGTAAAACCTTTGGAACAAGGCAATCCTGGAATGTTAATTGAAGCTTTTGAACCTAAAATAAATCAACAATTCCCCTTAATTTCTTACACAAATCCTGGACCTTTTGCTTCATTTGCACCACAATGGGATTCGACTTGGGCAACACTTTCTAAAAGAGGTTTGTTCAAAAATAATTTTTTTTGTTAAAAATTTAATTCAAAAAAGTCTAATTTTTGGAAAAACTCTTTTTACATAAATTAACTAAAATTGACCTGATTTTTCCGTCTTTAATGACAAGTTGATTAACTTTTTTGATTTATCTTTCTATAATAAAATAGGTATTTTCTAGAGTTCCGTTTCCGGACAAAATTTTGCTTCCGGTGGAACATTAGTATGTTCCTTCTTGTCTTTTTTAAAAAGAAGCCTTCTTGATTGTCTTTTTACTTTGTTTTTTCATCAAAATTTTAAGTCTAACTTAAAATATTTTGTCTTCAACTAACAAATTTTCCTTTTTATTTTTTATATTTTTTTTTGTCTTTAAAATTCAAGAAATTTTTTTGCAGATAGTCAATTGCTCTTATCTTGTTATGGTGACCAAGACAATGTTAGCGATGTTTTTTCTCTTCGGCAAATGGTTGAAAATGTAGATGATGGTAATTTTATGGATGATATGTTTGATGTAAATTTTTTTGGAAAAATTTTGAAAATTAAAACAAAAATTTTTTTTCAAGGAGCTTACTGATGGAGAACATAGCAAAACTATAGCAGCACTTGAAGGAAAGGAAATGGAAAAGGTTTAAATTGGAATTTAATTTGAATTAATTTTTAAGTATATTTTTAATGTTAGTCTAATGTTGTCGCTTCCAATCCGCTGGATGAAAAACTTGAACAAACTGGGAGTATGTTACAAGTAAATTTTTTTGAAGATTTTTCCGTTGAGGGTCCTTTCTCCTTTTATTCTTCTAAGAATCTGCAAGTCAAAATGTCCGCAAGTCTAAAAATCAAAATTCCCCAAAATGTCCGCAAATATTTTTGACTTGCGGATAAATTATGCGGACATTTTTTGTAGTGCTCCTTTATACATTCTAAAGCCCGCAAGTCTCAAATATGTCCGCAAATATTTTAGCGGATAAAATTTGCGGACATTTTTTTATATGTCTCCTTTATACTTTCTAAAATCTGCAAGTCTCAAATATATCCGCAAGTATTGGAGACATTTACTTGCGGACATATTTGATAAACAACTTGCAGACTTCTATGTGAGCATAAAATAAGAGGAACATCTTTTGAATATTTACTTAATTACATTTTAATTATTTAAGCAATTAGCTGCTGTTCAAAATAAGCGTTTGAGTCAACCACCGCCTACAGCTATTAGTTATGCTTTGGTACCTGATCAAGGTTTTTTTGAAAAAAAAATTTTTTTAATTCAAATAATTTTTAGAAGAAACTCATTTGGCTACTTCAATAGCTCAAGATCTCACTAAACAAATACTTGAATCAAATGTCCGTCCAGGCGATATAGTTTCTCCAAAAATGGTCCATCAAGCATTGGGATTGGATGCTGATGATTTTGATGTTATTTCTGAATTTTTGGATGTTTAGTATATTTTTTTGATTTTTTAAACATTTTTTAAAGAATTTTCTTTATTTTATTGTCGGACCGTGTCATAATGCTAACACTAAACGTGAACTGCCAAACCCCAAAGGCCGTCAAAATGACAACATTGGAAAAGTATGGGAATTATCAACAACGGGAGATGTTTTTTGGTATTTTTTAACGGCTTTCTGGGGGGTTTGGCATTTCAACGTCTTTGGCATTATGAAAGCATACCCTTTTATTGTACCTCTTGGAAAATGAAATCTTTTTGATTTTTTAAATTTTTTGAAATAAAAATTTTTCTTAGAATTTGGTGGTCTATTGATTAATTTTTTCTAATTATTAATATTTTTAATTTAATAGAAATTTTATTTAAAAAATTTTTAGATCTCTATAATCATTAACTTGAAGGTTTCTTGTATTAATCTCTTGGATGTGCAATGTCTTTAGTTATGCTGCCAATCAAGGAAAATGAACAGCCTCCGTGTATGCGTGGTTTTTTTTGTTTATTTTTAAGTGGCAGGCCAGACATTAAGTATTCTTTGGGAAGACTAACTTCACAGTCCTTCGTTCTTCCTTACAAGAAAGTATTTTTTCTTTTGTTAGTGGGTAGTGCTATGTAATGAACTTCGGTATAGATTTTTTTAGAATTTGGCTTCGGAGCCTCTGATTCTCTGGTCCGTTCTATGTATTTTAGTTCCTGACTCCATTGGCTCTTGTTCAATGCGGTGATGATTTTTTTTTTAGAAATTGGGGAAGGGAAAATTTTTTTATTTTCCTGAGGGGGTTTTACTTAAAAAACTATCAAATTTCCCTTTAAAAATTTTTTTTTCAAGTGGATATTTCAATATCGTCAGAAGACCAAGAAGATACAAGCTGGATTGATTGCTCAGAAGAATTATCAAAAAATTGTTTTTCACAATTTGGAGAATTACGAAAATCTGGCCATTTAACAGATGTTATAATTAAAGTTGAAGGAAGAGAAATTTCAGCACACAAAATTATTTTAGCTTCAACAATTCCTTTTTTTAATGCAATGTTTACTTGTGAAATGATTGAAGCTCATTCTAATGTTATTACTTTACCTAGTTTGTTTTTTTTTCTCTATTTTTTTAAATATTTATGGAGGGTTTTCTTAAGCGATTCTTGGACTAAAGGTCGTAACCATGGGTCGATTTCAAGGAGCTTTATGCGGAGTGTACGCCAAAATTGTGGCGTTTTGAACGCAAATCTTGTACAAATATTTTTTATTTTTCAGCGCTGCATGTTTTTTTCTGCCCCATAAACCCATGGCTACGCCCTTGTCCATCTAAAATTCTAACAATAAGCTTCCAATTGACTTTCTTTCCCCTTTCAGACATTGATGCAGACACGATGGAGTCAATTTTAAATTTTGCTTACTCTGGTCGTCTTAAATTTACATTTAAAAATATTGAACGTTTATTAAAAGCTGCTGTAAGGGTTTTTTTAATTTCTTTTATTTTTGAAAATTTTTTGTAATATCCCACATCCTCTGAATTTTGTGGGTCTGAATCTTCGGTATACAGACATGCTCTAACCTAAAAACCTGGTAGCCGACGCAGTTATTTTTGACCATTATGAGACCATGGGGCTGACAATTGTGACAAGAACTAAATTCTGGTGTCATTAACTCAGCTCGGCGAGCTGTTCTGAATGGGCTTTTTGAATGGTTTTTTGACTTTTATTTTACTTTCACTTTCTCTAAAATATTTTTTTTCAGTTTTTTATTTTTAAATTTTCTATTTTTTTAATAAAATTAGGATTATCTCCAACTTACAATTCTTTCAAATCGTTGTGCAGAAATTTGGAAATATCGAATAAGTGAAAAAAATGTATTTTCTATTAGACGTTTTGCTTTAATGTATAATATTCCTCAAGGTTTTTTTTAATTTTTTTTTCTAAAGAATTTTTCTTCTCATTTTTTCTAGCCGTAATCGATGCCGATTGTTATATTCAACAAAATTTTTGTTTTATTTCCAAAACTACAGAATTTGCTCAATTAGATTTTACAACTGTTTTAAATATTTTAAATTGGGATCAATTACATGTTGATAATGAAGGAAGGGTATTTGAAGCTGTTTGTCATTGGATCGAATTTGATATTTCTAATAGACTCGTTTTTGCTCCAAAGTTTGTTTTTTGAGAAATTTTTTCGGGTATTTTTTTGGTATTTTGTGTTTAGCAATTCCAGATCACGAGTTATCCGACCCCAATCCGAAACCCAACCATATTCTCTGCCATTCACGTTCCACACAGTATTTTCTATTTTTCCAAAATATTAGTTTGCCAAAGGTTCATAATGGTCAAAGGATTAAATTTATTTGAAAAACGGTCATTAGTAGATTGGGGCAGGTTAGTAGCCTGAATATTTTTCGTGGGGAGGGCAGGGGAAATAATTTTTGGCACAGAAGACGAAAATTTTTAGAATTTTAGTAGCTCAAGGCGGAGATTATTCACTATTTTTTCCATCCTTTCTCCAAATTTTTTTTCCTTTTCCCATTTCCGGGGAGGGAGGGGAATCCCCTCCCTCTAGCTACGTCCCTGGATTGACCCATTTTCTTAACCGAATAAACAAAATTCAATTTAAAATTTTTTTCTTCCCATTTTTTACAGACTTTTAACCGCTGTTCGTTTACCTCTTTTACGCCCTGCCTACCTTATTGATAAAGTTAGTCGTAATCCATATTTTTGTAATTCAATGGAATGTAGAGATTTAATTGATGAAGCAAAAAATTATCATTTAATGCCAGAAAGACGTTCAAATTTCAATTCAATATTCAAAATAAATATAAGAGTGTGTACAGAAATGCCTGGGAATATTTATGTTTTGGGAGGATTAAATCAAATACAGCCTTCTATTGTTGAATTTTATGACCCAACAATTAAAAAATGGAAGCCTAGTAAAGCTATGACTTCACAGAGGACTAGGTTTGTTCGTATTTTTTGATGGGATTTTTTAATTTGGGGTTCTGTCCGCAAATTAAAGAAAAGTCCGCAATTTTCTAAGTGTCCGCAAAAGTCTAAAAAATGTGTCCGCAAGTCTTCAAAACGTCCGCAAGTTAAAAAATGAAGCAAATTTAAAAGATGTCCGCAAGTCTAAAAAATGTCTGTAAATTTAAGAAGATGTCCGCAATTTTAAAAAATGTCCACAAATATACTTACTTTTTTAAAGAGTTGGTGTTGCTGTTTCAAACGGAAAAATTTATGTTGTTGGCGGCTATAATGGTTCAGAACGTTTACGTTGTGTTGAAGTAAACATTTTTTTTGAAATTTTTGTTTAAATTTTTTTTTTTTAAAGATGTTTGACACAGTTAGTGGAAATTGGGTTAAGGTAATTTGAAATTTTTTTTTGACTATTGTTCCTATATGTCGCAACAGGGGTGTGCCGAAAGTGATTTTAAAACGCGAAAGGCAAAAGTCCAAATAAGGCGATAATCGACGAAAGGCGAAACTCGCACTCCCCTTGTCCGCAAGTTTTTAGAGAAAAGTCCGCAAATTTTTTTAGAAAGTCAGCAAGTCTTAAAATATATAATTCTTCTAGCTTGTTTCAATGTTTAAACGTCGTTCTGCAATGTGTGCAACAGCTTTGGGTGAACACGTTTATGTTATTGGGGGTTATGATGGAACAAATGCATTGTATTTTTTTATTTTTTAAATTAAAAAAGAAATAAATTTTAGAGATTCTGTGGAAATTTATGAAATAAAAAGTGATTATTGGTCTTTTGGACCTTCAATGTTGGCTAAAAGATGTGCTGCTGGAATAGCTATTTCGAAGGGGTTAATTTATGGTTTGTTTGTAATTTTGTTTTTTTGTTCTGATTTTTCAGAATCTTCTGATTTTTTAGAATATTCTGATTTTTCAGAACATTCATATTTTTCAGAATATTCTGATTTTCAGAATGTTCTGATTTGTCTGATTTTTTTTCAGAATATTTGATTTTTTTTTCTTTCAAATTTTTAAAATAAATTTTTCTAGTAATCGGTGGTCATAACGGCGTTCAAATATTCAACACAATGGAGTGTTACGATCCAGTTATTGAAAAATGGTCTTCTGTTGCACCGATGTTGGAACCTCGGTGTAGATTAGCAGCAACTTCACATCAGAATAAAATTTATGTTGTTGGAGGGTTTGTGATGATTTTATTTTTTTGGAGTGACTTTTGGTCCCAAAAATTTTTAAAAAAAGTTTGATCTGAAATTTGTTTTAAAATTGTTCGAATTTTTTGTTAGTTGGTTCCAAAGGAATTTTTGGAAAATTTTCTTCTTTTAAAATTTTTAATTAAAGTTATTACGACGGCAACTTTCTCAAAAGTGCAGAAGTTTACGATCCAGAGACTGATACTTGGTCCTCAATTGCCCCAATGAATTTATCGAGAGCGCGTGTTTCTCTTGTAACTAATGGGAATTTTTTGTATGCAATTGGTGGATATGACGGGGAGGTTTGAAATTTTTTGAGGAATTTTTGGGGAATTTGCGGACTTTTTTTGCGGACTTTTTTGCGGATTTTCTTTTTCCGTACTTTTTTGACACTTTTCTTTTTGATCTTTATTGTCTTAAAATCCGCAAAAAAGGCATTTACGTTTATTAAATAAATTTTTCCTTTTAACAGAATAATCTAAACTCAGTGGAAATATACAACCCAGCCAAAAATCAATGGGAATTTGGTGCACCAATGACGTCTCATGAAGGGGTTTGTTTTAAAAATTTTTAAATAATTAAATTTTTAATAAAAAAATAAAATCAACCAAAAACCTAATTTTTAAAAAATATTTTACCCGCAAAGGGTTCGAACCTCGTCCTTTATTTTCTTCTTATTTCCCACTTAACCACAAAGTTTAACATCTGTATTTTCAATTTGAAAATTACAAAAAAATTTCTAGGCCAAAATTTTGACAAATTCTGTCTAAGAAATTTTAGAACAACTAAAAACTAATTTTTAAAAATGTTTTACCCGCAATGGGTTCGAATCCTCGATCCCCTTTTTTCCTCTTTTCTCATTCCACATTCCACTTAACCACGAGATTAAATTTAATTTAATTTTCATTTTTAAGGGTGTTGGAGCAGTTGTTGTACCAACATTGCCTCGAATGCATACTAATCGAAATAATAATAATAATGGAAGTGGAGTTAAAAGGCCTTACAATTTTGATGATTATGGAGAAGATGGAGGGGGAGGAGGAAATGGTGGAGGACCTTCAACCTCGAGAAGGATGAGTGAACAAATTGAATAAAAGTATTTTTTATTTATTTAAATTTAAAGAAAAATGAAACTTTCCTGTTTTTCTAAATGCATTTTTCAGAAAAAATTTTATTAGATTTTAAGTCAAATATTTTAAAAAATCCCAAAAATTTTACTACTAAATATATGCATATATTGTGATTTATTTTTGACAAAATAAATTATTTACAAATTTTTAAAAAATTGGAAAAGAGTTTTTCTAAGCAAAAACATCCAAAAAATTAATTTTTTAAATGTTTTACCCTTAAAGGGTTCGAACCCTCGACCCCTTTTCTTCCTCCTTTCCACAATGTATTCCACTTAACCATGAGGTTAAAAATTCAGTTTTATCAATTAATTTAATTAAAAATTTGCAAAAAATTTTCTAAGCCTAATTTTGACAAATTTAGTTCTAAAAAATTTTTCAAACAAACAAAATTTATTTTAAAAAATGTTTACCCCGCAAAGTGTTCGAACCCTCGATTTTTCTTCCACCCCACATTTTATTAAAAATATGCACCTAACCACGAGGTCAAAAGTCATGTTTTTTCAATAAAAAATTGTCAACTAAAACTTCCTTCTTAAGCGAAACAAAGAAAAATAAAGTTCAATCGGATATAGATTTTCCCAGCAAATATTTTTTGAAAAAGAAAAATATTCTAGCAAGAAAAAATGCTGCTTCACAGCAGCATTTTTATTTTATTTAAAAAATTTTTTTTAATTTAAAGTAAATTCTTTTTAAATAATAATTAAAAAATTCTTTTCTTCCAGCATTTTTTCAGATTGATTTTTTAATTTTGCCATTATTTTATAATTTTTTCCTGGACACGAAAATAATGTTTTTGCCCAAGTTAACAATAGAGGGAGTCCTTGGATTTAATTTTAAAAAATCCCAAAAAATTATAAAAATGCCCATTTTGGTTATTTTACTTCTTCAATGTCTTGTTAATTATTCCCAAGCAAGATACAAGCGTTTTATAAAAGAAGAAAATTCAAAATTGATAAATAATGAGGAATATTTAATACAAACTTGTGTGGCTTATTGTGATGCTCAATTTGGGAGAGAATTTGAGGTGAAAAAAATTTTTTCTGACTAAAAAATTTGATTTCCCACATTAAAAATTTTTAAACAACAAAAAAACTAATTTTTAAAAATATTTAACCCGCAAAGGGTTCGAACCCACGACCCATTTTTCCCTCATTTCCACTCCGTGTTGCACTTAACCACGAGGCTAAAAGTCTTATTTTTTCGATAAATTCTTTCTTTAAAAATTGTGAAAAATTTTCTAAGCCTAATTTCGACAAAATTCCCCCTTAGAAATTTTATAACAATCAAAAACTAACCTTAAAAAATGTTTCCCCCATAAAGGGTTCGAACCCACGACCTCTTTCCCCTTCATAACTTATTAAATACGCACCTAACCACTAGGCCAAATATTAAAATTTAAACAGGAACACTTTGGACGCAGCTATTTCACTCAATTTTTTGATTTTCCAATTGATTCATTAATTGTATCTTCTCTCAACAATTTTAATTCTTTTTGTTCTCTAGTTGAGCAGAGAAGTTGTTGCCTTCAACAAGAATGTCTTAAATCTTCTGTGCCAGCTTCACCTCAAACACATATTTGTTTGGAGCATAGAGCTGATTTTGAAAGGGCGTTGGCTTGTTTAAAGTAGAGAAAAAATTTTTGAAAATTTTTTAAAATTTTTTCTTCAGTTCCACCGTCCCCCACTTCAAATTTCATTCAATCTGTTCAACAGCTGCAAAACAAAGTGTGGACATTAAAAGGCTGGCAGATGAGACTCACGGATTTGACATTCACTTAACAGAACAATATCGGCAACAGGATCTTCGTTGCCGTTTTCAAGCCTGTACACTTTCGGCTAGGGTAAAAATACGGGCAGACTTCTATAGGATATTGGGCTGACCTTATAATGAGGTGTCTCCTAAATAGAGGGTATCACCCGAGCTCTCCCCCACGCGCTAGCCAAAAAATGTCAAATATTGGTGTATCTTATACTTTGGGTACCATCTTGTCGTGTCCGAAAATCAAGGAAATTTCAGATAATGCTAATCAACGAGCACTGTAACCAAAACGGTATTGGAAAGGATCAAAGAGAACACGCACGCCAGACTGTTAGGCGCTACTATGAGGATGATTTAGAGCTTGATTTGATTGAATATGGAGAAACACTGAACGCTACAAGACGCTTCCCGCGTTTTTGTGCTGCTTTTTTGGCACAACAAAAAGTGGGAGATGAATTAAAATTTGTTTTTTGCACTCACAACAAAACGGAAGTCGCGACAAAATAATACAAAGGGTCCAAATCTACCTATTGTCTAGTTTTCCTCGTGTATCATTTTGTCGTTAGTATCGTTGTGTCGCACGTGCCATTTTGTCGCAACAAAATAGTACAATGGGAACCATTTTGTCGAGTGTACCGTTTTGTCGCTAGTGCAGAAAAAGTTTTTTTACCCCTTAAAAAATTGTATTTTTAGGCGGAACCTATAGCTCTACTTATAGACCACAAATCTTCACAAATTTATTTGGATGAATTAAATATTTTGTTAAAAATAATTGGGGCGGACACGGCAAAAATGCTTGAAACGGGAATTTAAAATATTAAAATAAATAAAGATTGGTTAAAAATTGAAAAATAAATATGATTGTATAAATATTTAGAATATTTTTTAGAAATTTTTTAAAATTTTTCTGCTTGTTTTAATCAAATAGTTATCTCTTTTTTGTTTGTTTTTTTATTTATTTTTAGTTATTTAGGCTTAAGATCCGGTTGTTTTAAACGTGTCTGGTGAAAACGGCAGTGGTGAATTGGGCAGTGAGTAATTTGGGCAGTGAGTGATTTGGGCAGTAAACGTTTTTTAAAAAATAATTTTACACGCAAAAACAATTTGAGTAACGTTAGAAGAATAATTTTGAGTGATTTGGGCAGTAACTTAGAATTTTTAAATTATTTACACAAAAATACAAAGAACCGCACCCCTTTTTCATTATCTATATATAATAGTAAAAAGGCAGTCAGCTAAAAAAAAGTCCTTCAGAGTTTTGAGAGGTCGTAGAGGGGTGGGGTTTTTTTCTATAGGTGGGAAATTTAATGTAGTTTTCAGGAAAAATCCGAAAATTGGGGGTCAAGAAGCGAAAAAACGAGATATTTTGAAAAAACATGTTTTTTCGAAACTTTGAGGTCGGAAATGAGTATGAAGACGATGTCGGGGAAAGTTGGGTCAGTTACAAGGTTGAAGCACCACAACATGGAGAATATGATAGAAAAAGAGTTGAAGTCGTTCGGACAACGGGGAGGGTAGATGTGCCTGTTGACAACTTTTTTGTCAAAGTGGTACCTAAGGATTTAAGGTGTTTAGAGGGGTCTGAGCAAACAGTGGTTGGGAGAAAAGTTGTAGAGCGTGGTCGGTTTCTTAAGAAAAAAGTTTGTTTCAATTTGATTGGATTAACAGAAAAAAAGATATGGAGTAAAAAGTGAAATTTTAAGAAAGTTGCATAAAAGTGACCTTAACTTTATTTAGTTTTGGAGTTAGAAGAAAAGTGTTGGGAGATGTAAGATAGAGCATTAAATTCTGCATCGAATAAGCTTTGTTTTACGTTAATATGATTTTTTTGAGCCAAGTTATGAATTTTTTAAAAAATTAAAATTTTGGGAAAAAATTTTTAAATTTGACGATCTAGACCGTCCGATCTGGAAAGTTAAGCAACGGTGAAGCGTTTTTTGTAACTTTTGAAGTAGTTATCGGAAAAATATGATTGAGGTGTCACTCGACGTGGAAAAATCAGGCGAATTTTTAAGATAATTTTTGAAAGGGTCACTTGAGTCTGAGGGTGGGATATTTGAGTCTGAAGGTTTAAATCAGTGGAAATTAAATTTAAAAATTATAAAAATTAAAGGGAATATTAGAAAATGAGTTTTTAAAAAAAAAGTGCACTTGAGTCTCATTTTTTAATATGAGTCTGGGACTGAAATTTTTATAAAAATGTTAAACTCTAATATTTTTTAAAAAATAACTTTAATTCGGAACGCGTTGCAGAAAACGCGTTGCCGGAGGCAACCGCCAGAATTAAAAATTATTTTAAAAATTCGGAACGCGTTGCAGAAAACGCGTTGCCGGAGGCAACCGCCAGACTTAAAAATTATATTTTAAAAAATCGGAACGCGTTGCAGATAACGCGTTGCCGGAGGCAACCGCCAGAATTAAAAATTATTTTTGAGAAGATACGGAACGCGTCGCTGAAATGCGTTGCCGGAGGCAACCGCCAGACTTTAAAATTATTTTTTTAAGAAATCGGAACTCGTTGCAGAAAACGCGTTGCTGGAGGCAACCGCCAGAATTAAAAATTATTTCTGAGAAGATACGGAACGCGTCGCTGAAATGCGTTGCCGGAGGCAACCGCCAGACTTTAAAATTATTTTTTTAAGAAATCGGAACTCGTTGCAGAAAACGCGTTGCTGGAGGCAACCGCCAGAATTAAAAATTATTTTTTGAGAAAATTGTAACGCGTTGCAGATAACGCGTTGCCGGAGGCAACCGCCAGAATTAAAAATTATTTTTGAGAAGATACGGAACGCGTCGCTGAAACGCGTTGCCGGAGGCAACCGCCGGAAATAAAAATATTTTTTTAAAAATTCGGAACGCGTTGCAGATAACGCGTTGCCGGAAGCAACCGCCGGAAATTAAAATTGTTTTTTAATTCGGAACGTATTGCAGATAATGCGTTGCCGGAGGCAACCGTCAGAAATTAAAAATTTTTTCTAATTTCGAACGCATTACAGAAAACATGCGGGCCGAAGGCCCGCATGTTTATTTATGACTAAAATTCAAAAGTTTATAACTTTTGAAGTATTAGATGTAGAAAGATGGTTGAGGTGTTATTCGACGGGGAATTGAATGAGGAGTTTAATGAAGATATTTTTAAAAGTGTCACTTGAGTCTGAGGGTTGGACATTTGAGTCTGAAGTTTTCACATAGTGGGAAATTGATCCAAATTAATTTAAATCAGTTGTAATAACGCTGGAGTCAGCATTAATACCCAAAAGCTATTAAAACTACTCAGCTATTCGCGCCGAACGCTGGTTATCTATATATAATAGTAAAAAGGCAGTCAGCTAAAAAAAAGTCCCCAGAGCTTTTGAGTGGGTGTATCGGGGTGGGGTTTTTTGCTATAGATGGGAAATTTAATGTAGTTTTCAGGAAAAATCCGAAAATTGGGGGTCAAGAAGCGAAAAAACGAGATATTTTGAAAAAACGTGTTTTTTCGAATCTTTGAAGTGAAATTTGAGATAAAAGATGAAGTCGGGGGAAGTTGGGTCAGTTACAAGGTTAAATCTACACTATATGGAGAATATGATAGAAAAAGAGTTGAAGTCGTTCGGACAACTAGAAGGGTAGATGTGCTGTCCACAAGAATTTATGTCAAAGTGGTAACTTTGAATTTAGGATATTTAGAGGGGTCTGATCAAAAAGTGGTTGGGAGAAAAGTTGTAGAGCTTGGTCGACTTCTTAAGAAAAAAGTTTGTTTCAAGTTGATTGGATTAACAGAAAAAAAGATATGGAGTAAAAAGTGCATTTTTGAGTATATTTCATAAAAGTGACCTTAACTATGTTTTATTTCAGAGTTAGACGAAAATTGTTGGGAGATGAAAGATAGAGCTTTAAATTCTGCATCGAATAAGCTTTGTTTTATGTTAATTTAACTTTTTTGCACCGAGTTATGAATTTTTTTAAAAATTAAAATTTTGGGAAAAAATTTTTAATTTTGACGATCTAGACCGTCCGATCTGGAAAGTTAAGCAACGGTGAGGCGTTTTTTGTAACTTTTGAAGTAGTTATCGGAAAAATATGATTGAGGTGTCATTCGACGTGTAAAAATCAAGCTAATTTTTTGAAAATTTTTTGAAGGGGTCACTTGAGTCTGAGGGTGGAATATTTGAGTCTGAAGGCTAAAATCAGTGGAAATGAATTTAAAAAATTCTAAAAATTAATAAGAATATTAAAAAATAAATTTTTAGTAAAAAGTACACTTGAGTCTCATTTATACTTTCAGTCTGGGACTGAAATTTTTATAAAATTTTATAAAAATAAGGCAAATTAATTTATAAGTTAATTTTACGTTTAATTTAATTTTAAAATTCGTAACGCATTGCAGAAAACGCGTTGCAGTAAAGCGTTGCCGGAGGCAACCGCCAGAATAAAAAAATTTTTTTAATTGCCGGAACGCGTTGCAACCGCCAGACTTAAAAATTATTTTTTGAGAAAATCGGAACACGTTGCAGATAACGCGTTGCCGGAGGCAACCGCCGGAATTTAAAATTATTATTTTAAAAATTCGGAACGCGTTGCATAAAACGCGTTGCCGGAGGCAACTGCCGCAAATTAAAATTATTTTTTAAAAAATTCGGAACACGTTGCAGATAACGCGTTGCCGAAGGCAACCGCCAGAAAGTAATGATATTTTTAAAAAATTCGGAACGCGTTGCAGATAACGCGTTGCCGGAGGCAACCGCCGGAAGTTAAAATTATTATTTTAAAAATTCGGAACGCGTTGCATAAAACGCGTTGCCGGAGGCAACCGCCAGAATTAAAAATTGCTTTTTCAACTAGGAACGCGTTGCAGAAAACATGCGGGCCGAAGGCCCGCATGTTTATTTAATGACTTAAATTTAAAAATTTATAACTTTTAAAGTATTAGTCGTAGAGAGATGGTTTATGTGTCATTCGATAGGGAATTGAATGAGGAGTTGAATGAAGATATTTTTAAGAGTGTCACTTGAGTCTGAGAATGGTAATTTGAGTCTGAAGATACAAAACACTGGGAAATTGATCCAAATTAATTTAAATCAGTTGTAATAACGCTGGAGTCAGCCTTACTACCCAAAAGCTATTAAAACTACTCAGCAATTCGCGCCGAACGCTGGTTATCTATATATAATAGTAACAAGGCACTCAGCTAAAAAAAAGTCCTCCGGAAGTTTGAGAGGTCGTAGAGGGGTGGGGTTTTTTTCTATAGGTGGGAAATTTAATGTAGTTTTCAGGAAAAATCCGAAAAGTTGGGGTCCAATGGAGAAAAAATTAGATATTTCGAAAAAACGTGTTTTTTCGAATCTTTGAAGTGAAATTTGAATATGAAGATGAAGTCGGGGAAAGTTGGGTCAGTTACAAGGTTGAAGCACCACAACATGGAGAATATGATAGAAAAAGAGTTGAAGTCGTTCTGACATCGGGGAGGGTAGATGTGCCTGTTGACAACTTTTTTGTCAAAGTGGTAACTTTGGATTTAAGGTATTTAGAGGGGTCTGATCAAAAAGTGGTTGGGAGAAAAGTTGTAGAGCGTGGTGGGTTTCATAAGAAAAAAGTTTGTTTCAACTTGATTGGAATAACAGAAAAAAAGATATGGACTAAAAATTAAAATTTTTAGGAGGTTGCATAAAAGTGACATTAACTATATTTTGTTTTGGAGTTAGAAGAAAAGTGTTGGGAGATGAAAGATAGAGAATTAAATTCTGCATCGAATAAGCTTTGTTTTATGTTAATTTTATGTTAATATAAATATTTAGAATATTTTTTAGAAATTTTTTAAAATTTTTCTGCTT